AGAATTGGCTTAATACAGAGAAGTCGCTGCATTTGCCCAATTTGGTTCAGATTTGGATGCTGCCACATAATAATTATTAAACAGAGGTGCCTAATTAACCGAATTGCTTAAATAAAAATAATACGTATGCTATTATGGCAATCATATTTTAGGTCCCAATGTGTGCTGAAGAATAAGTTTGTGTTATTTATGCTGGTGTCAGAGGATTTTTGGATAAAGTATAAACTTCAGAAATCGCTAAATTCGAAGAGAAATTCCTCACTCATCTCAGAACAAATTACCCAGCTATGTTAGAAAGAATTAGAAGGTATTAAAATTGTTGATAATTATAGTACTGGTGAATTGAGCAAACAAGATGATGCTGAATTGAAGAGTATCTTAGAAGTCTTCATTCCAGAAGCTGGTCTTGCTATGAAATAATGATAAATAACAATAAAAAAAATATTTAAAATCAAAATATAAAAAAGAATTCTTATAACATAATAAATTTTATCAATTATTCATCAATTTCTCCCATTCTAAAATAGTTTATTCAAGATTTTCAACACTTTTTTGCAACCTGTCTTCAGCAAACTTTGACATGATAGACCAAAGTGGTCGTACAATGAATTTAAAAAATCCGACTTCAGACTTGGCCATAATTGGTTACTAACATTATAATTTTCATACTTAATCTAAATCTTTCATGTATGGCAATTGAGGATATCCAAATTTACCTTCCAAATTATATTGTTCCTAGAATTCCATATTCACTCTTGTGCTCCATTCCCTACTCAAATTAAATGGTTTGGCTCCTCCAGTGAAGTCAGATGTATGAATAATCATACCTGTCATTAATTTGATGTCATCTTCAGTTCCAAAGTTTAGTTCTTTGATTCTGGCTTCAAAGTTTTTGATTAAATTAAAATGCTCAGTTATATCTGTGTATAGAATATTGGAAATAAAGAGTTTGCGAAAATCTCTGAATTCAACTGATGTAAAATTAGGAATAATATTTGTTGAAGGAGCACATAACAATTTGATTGAAGTAGCTGCGTGATGTTACTCCAACACACTTCTATCGTGATATCTAATAGTCAAATTTGACAAACTGTTGATCTCAAAAATGTTTGTTCTTCCTGTATGAGATACATCATGACACAATCCAGATAGAATCAATACAAATTTAGTGAATTAATTCAGTAAATGAGCATATTAGGTTTTCATTATTTCCAAACTGATAGCATGTGTACATTGCATAACTGTTACTCCATGATCATAATTATGAAATTAATTGCCTCTCTTATTATATTTGTATTCCAATGCACACAAAAAACTACACAATGCATCCTAGCTTATCCTATAATCTTCAATGAAATTATTTCTTCTCAATATTGAAAAAACTACTTTCTGTTTCTCTAACCAATCTGTGCTGTATGGCAATATATTAAAATCTAGATTATCTATATTCTCAATACAAGTCTCAGTGATCATGTCTGGAAAAAAATGATTAATCCCTTTAGTTTTTGGAATCAAACGAAAACTCTCACTTTCCTAAAGTGAATTTCTTTAATCTAAATGTCTAGGACTGAAACTTGGACTGTAATTTTTAAATTGTGACTATTTTTACGTTGCTTTAGGCTTAAACATTTACACCACTGAATTTTTTAGTTACGGGTGTTTTTATTCTAATTTATCCAAATATTGTTTAGTTTCTTATTAAAGAAAACTCTTTCTAAGTTTTTGCCATTAGTTTGCATCTAATGATTTTTGATTATATCTAAACCAACCCTACTGGAATATCACATAAAACCCTTTGAAATATTTCTCTTCCATTTTCATAAACACTTCATATGAAGCATTACTATCTGTTATTTTCCATTTATTTTAATCTTGCAATTGATTTTCTATATGCTGGATCAAATTTTTATTCTTAAATATACTCGTGTATGAAGCATTATGAAATTAAGGGTTAAAATTGATATTGAACTCCTCCGCCAATTTACTAGTTATTGGTTATGACACGAAAGTAATTTATCCTTGTTTATCAAACTCGAATATAACTGAATCTTATGATTTCACAAAAAATTTGTAAAACGTAGTTCGATCATAGCACTACTTGATAAATTTTAAATATTTGTTGAAACTCAAATTAAGTTGTTTGTACACATTCATGTCTTCTTTTCTATTTAAATCAAAGCATATATAAATGCTCAAGTTTAGGGAATCTCTAAAATCAAATTCTACATATGGATGGATGCTTAGAAAAGATGAGTTGTCTTTACACACTTTATATCTTTCACTCAAAATAGAGATTGAATTATGAATGAAGAAGTATTTAGAACATCTGATGAAAGCTATTCCTATATCTTAAATCATATGAGATAGTTGTAAAAGATTAAAACATTAGACTCTAGCTTATTTTGTAGTTTCAAGTAAAAAATAAGCTAATTGGTTGACTTCCTCAAAAAATTAGTATTCATTGCATAAGGACAAGAAAGATTCAATAATAATCTTATGTTCTCCTTTGGAATGATAACAAAATAAACATGAGGAATTTTATATTTTGAGGAAATAGTTGCCCCTGAATTTATGAGTTTAAAATAAGGAGTTTATTACTGGACAAGAATCTGAAATCTGAATGATATTGCCCTCTAGTATTGTTTAAATTTCTAGTTACAACTGGTCTGTTAATTGTATTTCTTCAAATTATCCAGTTTCTGAGTGATAAATTTCGTTGTTAATAATAAAAGATATTTCATCTGCATCAACCAAACTTTTCATAAAGGTTCTTAAGACATTATTTAAATTTTGGGTAGATAATTTATCATCCATTAAAAGTAGATGGCATCTCAAATAGTCATTGAAATGTTACTGTAATTAAAATGAATAAATTTACTTTCATATCCCTATAAAGTTATTAAAGATTTTCGATAACATAAGTAGAATGGGTTATATTGCTTCCTTATTTAGATTCACATAATTTGGATACTTATTTCTACGAATTGCTAGGCGTTGACGTTGCGGTTTTAGTTACAAACTCTCCAACTTTTCTGAGTTTTTCACTGAGTTCATGACTTAAGTGCTTAATAATGATGTAGATTCAATACAAATTATGAATCAGATTGCCAGAGTGTCATAAGTTGATCTAACTGATCAATAAGATTTGTTTCATTGAATTATGAAACCCTTGAAAGGGAGTTTCCTCTTCTTCTTTATCTAATGTGGCTTCCATTCAGTTCAAAAGATTAATATCTTATGTTTGGTTATGGTTCTAGAGTTTGTAAATATTAAAGGATGGCAGTCTGGTAATCTTACTCATCATAGATGGAGCATACAAGGTTATTCAATTGATAATCTTTAGTGGTCAGATTCACTTTCAATAAATGTTTTTGTTTAGAGGAAATAAGCCCTTTCTACTCTAGATCGTTTATTTAGTTAAAAAACTTAATGTAGTTGCTTAATTTTTCTTTAGGCATAAATATTTTATTATAAAATCACTTCTATTTTTTATCATCTCTTACTGAGAAATCTTTATATTATAATTTATCAATTTCCCTTTCATTTGTCTTTATCATCTTCTCAATTCTATCATTTAAGTAAAATTAAAATACTTGCTTTTTGGAGATCCAACATTAGATAACCAATGAATCCTAAGATAGTTAAGAATCACAAATTATTTTACATTTCTTCACACTTTTTTTGATCACCTTAAGCAACTCCTTTGACTGATCCATCTTTTTAATTCTCGACCCATCCTACCAATCCTAAATTAGTTCCTTGCTCTTTTGTAAACTTCCTAAAGAATACTCCTATTTAAGATATGAGATTTTACTTACCTTGTACTTTTCCAATAACTTGAAAATCAAAGCTAAAATACTTTTTGATCATTTTAATTTAATGTAATAAATGAATAAAACTGGAACAGGTTTTAAGACACTTAAATTAAGATCATCTCACTCCTTTCGTCCATAGAGTGCTTATTAAGAATAAATAGTAAGCATAATTCCATTTGAAATGAGTGAACAAGCTTACTCAACCTCTCTTAAGATGGACCTATTAAATATTGAGGATGAAATTTCAAAACTGAATAAATTGGGCATTCAATAATCTCGATTGAATTCAAACCATACCCAAAAAATAAAACAATGGATTTCAAATATAAAAATGAATGATAAATGTTTGGATCCTCAAAGAGTTATTCAAATTTGCAATTGTTCTGATGCCAATGAGACTTTAGTTAAATTGTACAATATGATATAAAACTTTGACTTCTACGTCAATAAAATAACAGAGCTCCAATGTATTCATTACTTATAATACGAATAATGTTTTACTAACTTCTAATCGAATTACTTCTAAAAAATAGCATCTCAAGGTATATTGCCAAATAGGTTCTTAATGGAGTCTATTGAACTTGGAGAATTATTGAATACTTAGTTTAAAAGAAAGGGGATCTGAATCACTCGAATGGAGAAAGCATTTTACAATAAAAACTGTATGAATTAAAAGACGAGAACTTAAAACTATTGAGTGACATCAAATAGTTAAAAAGTCAATGTAGAAAGTTGTAAGATTAACTATAAAATTCAACCACTTTGAGTCAAAGTTAATTGAGTCAGGTTACAGTTGAATTGCCTCCTAATCCTACTTCATATTATAATAAAGTAATTGATGAAGTCAAAGATAGTTATTAGAATCTCGTCACTATGCTTAGAGATGTAAACATCTTTTGAATAAATAAATAGGAAAATCTATAGCTTGGATTAAGATTAAGCGAAATGCAATCAAAATATACAAATGCGAGCAATGAAATCATAGAATTAAATAAGAAAGTTGATAGTATGAAGACTCAGAAAGTGAAATTAAATATTTATATAATAGGATGACTTGTATAAGAGATTTGTGGCTAAATACAAAACTACAGAGGAGTTTGAATAATCATATGAAGCTGCCTTAAAGGAGGAATACACTTCTATGGAAATATCATTCAAACAAAAAATATCATAGTTATAACACAGTATTGATCAAAATAGTAGAGACTATTAAAAGAAATTGGTACAATATGCTTTGAATATAATTAGCTTGAGCAGAAATAAGTTATAGATTAATAGACCGATAGAGAAAGAATGTTAATTAAAAAAATGAGTTTATATTAAAAACTTTGAATTAATATTTCAATAATTATTTTGATAGGTCAACCTCTCTTATTCTTGCTCCACTAAACGTTACTTCTCCTCTTATTTTATCCTCAGATCCTAGATGTTCACACATCCATATTACATCAATTCGTTTCTTAATTTAGTAATCATTCTCAGACTTGGGAACTCTCAAACTCATTAAGGCCAACTATGATTTATTTTAAGTGCACAGTGATGATATGGCAATCATGATTTCACAAAAGTACAAAACTGTTTGAATTATTACTAATCCTAATTACATTGGATAATTCAAAGTTGGAATAATATACTGCATCACTTAAAGAGCAAGAGATATAATATTTACAATGGTTATTAGCACAAATGAAAATAGTTCTGGGAACTTTAGTTAATTAATAGCTATAATACCTATTCTTTAATATTCCCGCTATATCCATTTGATAACCGAAATCCTTCAAGCACAGCCCAAATGAGCAGCAATACTAAATTCAATGTATCCATTAAATTAGATTTGACTATCCAAAGCTATAAAAACGATGAAATCATATATTTTTACCCTCTGAATATTAATACCTAAAGTGATATACAAGAATAATAAGGAGAAATATGCATTGAAGTACAGTAACTTCTGTAATAATAAACTAGCTGTCAATTAGGATTCTAGGAAGCGAGTTGCTCTTGGACGAGGGTATGAAGTCGATCCGTAAATAATATGTCTTATACTTTGTTTATTATTTTACATATTAAAAAAATGTAATAGGAAGATCTCACGCCGTGGCTAATTTAAATGTTACAACCAGTATATCTATAAATTGAATTGTTAGTATTCCTCCATCTTTGAGACTATGTACTCGGTTGGATTTAAAATATTTGACACAATTATCTTGAAATAAGGAGAACCTAAATAATGGTTCTACATGGATGATAAAGTAATCATAATGCTAAATTTCGAAAGCATTGTATTAAAACACATGATGACGAATGGTTGAAATGGAGAGTTTTTGGGACTTATTGTAGGGCCAAGAATGTAAATAGACTAAGTGAATTTATATAATCTGACAACTTGGATTAAGTGCAATTGCAGGCTCCATGTAGTTGTGAGGAATTACAAACTACATGCAAATGCTACATATTCCATTTTGAATAGAAATTAGCATAAGGTAACATCAAATCATTAATTCTAATAGGACGTATTTATAGGGCAGTTTCATAAGAAGTAGCTAATGAACTTTTTAAAAATCCCAATGAGAAATCAGAAATCATTACGAATTGGACTAAAATTATTGGTTGTGGAGTAACAAAATCACCTAAACATATATTTTAAGTAACAGTTTTGAAAGAACAAATTGATGATCAACCTAAATTTAGAGTCAATAGGAAGAGGTTTGCCTAAACTCCCTTATAAAAGGAGGAATTCTCTAAACAAGAAAATATAGTCAAAAAGCCAGTCTAACTAAAGGAAGAATATGATAAATCTTTGGCAGCATAATAGAATACCAAATGTGAGCATTTTGCTTTTAGTTTGCTTAGATTCTTGGAAGGGAGACTCTAAAGATCAATCTAACTACTCCAAGTAGAGTTTTTTATGACTGAAGGGGATCTATAAATATATTTGACTGGCTTAGATAATATTCAATTTCATTCTGATGGAGAACCAGTTGAAATAGCTACCTTATATCCTGTGAAACAATAGGTGCATAACTTTGATAAGTGTGCTGGATTGTATTGTCATTATGCGACCAATAATATTTTTTATGATGAATTCGATGAATAATTCTCGTTATTCATAATGGCAGGAGAGAAAGAAACACATAAGAAAATTACATATAAATCAATATTCTTGGATATGATTGAGAGATTTAAAACCATTAAAATGTTGGAACCATATCTCAATAAGCCACCGACTGAATAATTGATATTCAAATTAAGGATATGTAAATTCTAATTATAATTCATAGATTATTCATTGGGAGATATTACAAATAGTGCTTATTTTAAGCATTTGAAGATTTCCAATTTCTATAAATAGGAAACTGTTTGTTAGTTTTGTTTTCATGTTTATAATAAAATAGATTCATTGAGAAATCAATATTTAAAAAATAAGAGAACGATACTCAATTCATAATAAATTGAAGCAGAAGTCTCCAAATTTATGAGTTAAAGTAATTGAATCATTCATTTTTATAGATTATGCTTAGAAGGAAGCTAAAGTTTAAATGAGATTTCATAATAAATTCTTTGATAAACTCAAATAATTCGATACAGATTAACTAAAATTCTTTTAGGAATTTACATTGACTAGTGTTCAAGATGACAAATACTTTTTAAAAAGAGGGAAGTTAACGAGATCACTTTAATAACATCAATAGGCTGGATTTTAATTGCCTACTATCATAAAGGTTTAGGTGAATGATAAAGATAATATGATAAAGAAGACTAAGTATTTGATTCCGAAAGAGTAAGCTGAATCATTGGGTTTGAAGCATTATTTGGGTCACGCTAAGAATTTACCATTTAGTGATTAAGGTTTGGCCATTAGTAAAAGTTCACTTGAGCTCAATAAGCTTCAAGATAAGATAAGGGAAATATAGATGATAAAAGAGAGAATGGATTTAGAGAAAATTAAAAGAGTGAGAGAGGATATCTAAGTGATTATGTGCACATATTATGGGAAAGGAAAGGAAGAGAAGGACCGTTTGATGGATTTTGTCGAGACTCTCAAGAAAAGAGAAATGTAATTGGAAGCTTTGGAGGATACATCTGAATAGATAAGATCTCCTGCAATCCAAATTGTAACTGACAAGAATGACTTTTTATCCGAAAATTAAAGGAAGATCAAATAAGACAAGGAGAAAAAAGAATAAGAGATATTGTAGACCAAGAAAGACTTTTTAGAAGTAAATAGCGATCTAGCCTTTTCTGTATTTAGAAGAGATTATGTATCTGAACGCAATAGTGAATATTGATTTTATATTTTAATTTTTTGTAAATGGCTTCCCATCTGATTCGGTATGTATTAGTAATTCTATTCATAGTAAAGATTATGAAACTGGCAAGTTCTTTCTCATCAACAATGTGAATGGTGCAACAAAAGAGATTACTAAAACAGGGGATTTCGTTAAAAAATTTAGCTTGGATTATACAGGCAAGCTCGGATTCAAAAATAGAATTGAATAGCCAGATCCATGTCATTATCCATGCAGCATCGAATCATTAACTTAGTTTCCTCCATTCTACATACCTTAGCCAGACAAATTTGATGGTTATGCTCAATTACCTCGTACTTTGCAAAAGCCTTTTTATAATAATAATATGAGATAGAGATCCGATGCTACTATAGAGAGTGCAATGGAATTAGTGAAATAACAATCCTTTAATAATAAATATCAAATAGAAAAACCAATTAAACATATAACAGGGACTCTCAATGATTTTAATTTTGTGTAAAATTTGAAGAAAATTAAAGTACTTGAGCATCGAAAAAGTACAAAACAGCGAAACTTTACCAATCATATCAACTGTGTCAAAGTGATAAATAAAGAAGAAATTCAAGCACCAAATCTCACTCTACTTCGAAGGAGCAGAATCAAATCACAACTATTACCCAAAACTATCCCTTTCGGCAGCAGTAACTCAAGAGAACCCTCTGAAATTAGATATATTGTACCCATGGAAGAAAAAGAAATTAAAAGTGTTCATCAATTCCAATAATATTAATCCGAACACAAGGAAAGTGAACTAATGTATGAGTCTAGAACATTTATTAAATCTCAAAGCCAATCTAAAGTGACACGAAATGACTTGCATTCTTCTCATCTTACATTAAACCACTTTAGAGAAAAAGTGGATATTGCTTAGAAGGAAGAAAACGCATATATTATTCCATAATAAAAGGAAAAACTCTCCATTTCCTCAAAAGGAAGGTTCAGTGCCATTAAAACTAAAAGCAATGGCGATTAATATGTCACAGATCGAATAATTATGAAACTATGTATTATTGTTAAATATATTATTAGTTTAGCCAGACCTATTTAAATGATATTAATATATATTTAATCATTAATCATCTTCTCCTTATTTTTTAGGTCCTTAAATAACAATCAATAGAAGGTCTTTGTCAGGTGCAATAAGGATCTCATTTTACTTTGACTTTATCCGTAAAAATGCTAAATCATTTGTTGGGTCCAAGTCACGCACCAGTGATCTAGCTTTTTAAGCCAAAATAGGTATTGATTTGGCTATAGTGTCACCTTATTTTACAATCAAAAATAACAGTTACCTTCTTCCTTTTTCTCATTTAGATAGGTTGTCCTGGTAATTGTCCCTTCATGATTTACAATCACTATGCCTTAAACTGATTTATGATTTTTAATTCTGTTTATAGTGTCCTCAATATCTACGTCTGACATTTTTATATTGATATTTATATTCTTAATATTAATTAAATAAATCAAATTTGTTATGATATTTATGATTTCTCAAGAATAATTAGTTTGATTGATTGAAATTAGTATTTTTGTGATTCTTATTTTGGAAGGATCAAACATTTGATGATGATAATTATTGTCTTAACTAAATTGGTAGTGATATTAAAAAAAATTATATACTTCTGTAGGGATATAAGATAGCTTTGTACAATTGGCAAGACTATAATAATATTCTTATAGTCAATTCCTTTTTACATTTATGATTAAGTTCAAAAAATGATTAATATATGTAGTATTTTTCAATTAGTAATAAAATAATAATATCAAATTCATCATTTTCTAGTTCTCTACTTCATATTAAACATAAACTCTAATTTAATAATTTTAACATGAATATCTAATCTAAAGAATAATTTCCTTAAAATTATATCTTATTATCGTTTTTTTAATTTGATGGTTTCATCATTTACACTTTTTGAAGATGAAGCATTTTTAGTTTATTTTGAAACCTTCATAGGAGATACTTCTGTCTTTTTAGTAGTTGGTCCCACACTGTTAGTTCTTAGAGAAGGGGGTATTTAAGAGGAAGATGAAACCCTAATTAATTGAGGTTCCTTAAGAAGTTTCTGTTGAGATTGCTAATTGATATTTAGAACATCAAAAACTTAAGCAACTGGAGTATTCTTTGTAGAATCCTCTATCAATGTTTGATTAATGTGATACATGGCATTACTTAAATCCAAGGCTTCAAAATTGTTTATTTAAGGGGTTTAATTCTAGGCATCAGGAACTACTATTTATGTTTCAATCTACAATTATTTAAATCTAGTAGTGTCAACGCTTGAACCTCTAGCAGTGCTATTTCTCCTGCTTCTTAAAGGAGTGAATATTTTTTCTGGCCTAACTGCATTACAATTCAAAGTTTGAATTCTTGTTTGTGATGATGTGTATTTTCTATCAGCTTTGTTAGCTGAGATTTTAATATCAAAATTAGGTTGTTTGACATCTGCATTTTAGCTAATCTTAGTCAAATTTTTCTATTCACTTGACTGAAGTGTGTGATTTTTGTTTGATGAAATATTATTTTCTTTTACTGGAGATTTCTTTTTTATAGGAGAATGTTTATGTTACACAGTTTAGAGATTTTAATCTACTTTAACTACTTGCATTACTCTTTCTTAAACCTCCACTTATGAAATATCCTCAGAAAATGTAACTAGTGTTTTATGCAATTTAATATTAGTTTTATTTGGAGATTATTTTTTTTCTATTATTTATTCATTCTTTTCTTTAAGAATATGTTTTATTTCTGTTAAATTCTCATCTAATTATCCATCTGAATCTGATATTATATCAATTTTCTTAATTCTATTTTCTTAGTCTTGTTTTTTGAACAAATTGATTCTATGAGGACTTCTTTTTTTTGGCTCGATTTGGATTTGATCAAAAATTGATAAGATATTTTAAATCTTTTTACTTTCTTATTGCTTCTTTTCTGTTTGTAAAATCTACATAAAGCTATCATGTTATTAATCTATAAAGCCGCTGTTATTTTGATAATCAATAGCTGATTATTATTCCATTACTTCTACAGTATTCTTTTATTTTTAGCATTATTCAGGCTTTAAAAAGGACTTTATTATTTTAGTTTGTTTAATCTCCATTTGAGATGATTATTCAGTTGAATTAGTTTATGGAATTTCTTCAGAGGTCTCGTCTTTTTAGGTTTATGACTTGAGAACTTAATCTATTGACTTCTCTGGTTTTAACTACAATTTACTAAAAAATGTATTCAATGAAGATTATATCGGAGGTAATTGTAATTCTGCTGCAGAAGCTTAGACTAATTATACTGAATTTTCTAAAGATAATGAAGGAGATTGAAAGTCTTTGGAATAACATTATTGTTTTACAGATTCCTATTTTTTTAATCCTTATTAAGTTGCAGGCATACTATTAAAGATATCTTAAATTAATAGTGCTTATCTTTTCAATTAAACTTTATCTTTCTCATCTTCCTCTTAACAAACGCTTTATTCAACTGAATTTTCTTCATCTAATGTATACAAGCTATTATTTTATGTTTTAAATTTTGGTTGCTCATAAATTTCTCTGATTGATTATAATTTTTAGCTTATTGTATTTTATTAGACAATAATCGATTCTTGATTGATTTGCTTAGTTGTTCTAAGATCTTCTGTTTCTTTTGAATGATCAATTGATTACTCTATGATCTACTCATAACTTTATTTCAAAATTTAATCGAATTATTTTTTGTATTATTCTAATAATTTTGAAGATTGTTTTGTTTCTTCTTAACATTATTTTGGCATGTTCATAGAATTTAATTATTTTAATTATTAGTTTTCTTCATCCTTTTATTATTATTCTAATTTTTATTTCAATTCTAGTTTTTACTATTATAATTGTTAGTATTTTTATTGTTCCTCTAATTTTTATTATTATAATTTCAATTATTATTCTTATTCCTACTTCTATTGTTATTCTAATTTTTATTGCTATTCTTATTCTTATTTCTATTTTTAATTTGATGATTCTATTTTATTTTCATTTAATTATTACTATTCTGCATTTTTATTTCTCTAATTTTCTTATAACCCTAACTGTTATTTTTACTATTGTTATTATTATTCAAATTATATTTCAGAATTCTATTATTGCTAGTATGGTAGTTCTAATTCTTGTGCTTAATGTTGTTAATTAATTTATTTTTGTTGGGATTAAGTGTCTAAAGGCGATGTTTTATCATTTAAATTTAATTTTGAAATTTCTAAGGGTGCAAAGATTTCAGATTTCTTTTGTTAACTTGTTTTGAAGTTGAAATTTGGATTAATTTGTAATTCTTTATCTTTTTCTACTTATTATTTAACTACATTATCTTATTTATTAGATTTTTCAAATAAAGCATCAAGAATATTATTACTTTATTATCTATATCTTTATTCTTTTGATTATATAGTAGGATCATCCACTTTCTCAATCCTGTCGGTTTATCGATTGCTAGTTTCTGATCTTTCTGTTCTTTCTCCTCTGAGATATTTGTTTTATCTAACCTCTTAAGTTTTCTTTTTAGAAGGTGGATCCCATTAATCAAATAATTGTTATTTTAAGTTTTAGACTGTGCTTCTACAAAAAGTTCTTTCAATAGCTGAAATAGATTATTCATTCTAATTTTGTTTGGAGATTGATTAAATAGAAGCACAACAGAATTAAGAGAATTAATCTGCAAATATAAATTTGACCTCCTAAAATTCTTTCTTTTTACAATTAATTTGTATTTCATGCCCATAATTCATTTTCTTAAACAAGGTCTAATTTACAAAAAATTAATGATTTTAAAAATCTTCTAGATTCCATTACAGAATGTATTTTCCTTATATTCCAAACACAAATCTACTGCTAGCTTAAATATCCTCTAGATTTGATGTTTTTAGTTTAATCATTTTAGTATTATAGCAATAGGCATCGCCATTTTCAGTAATAGCAATACCACCAAACTAGAATAACAATGATTTCTTAAAATATCCATTAACTCCCAAGCCATTCAACTACTAAATAGGAATTTGACTGCCATTCTCAATGTTAAAGATCTTTCCACCAACTTAATTAATGAGTTAAAATTATACTTGTTATCAATGTCATTTTGTCTTGATAGGCACTGATATGTTTACAATGAGAATAGATAGGTTTATTATTTTTCCAAAAAAATCCTCTACCAGAATGATCAATAGCAGTTGTTGGAGTAATGTTCATATAATTCTTTCCAGATACTAGCAATTTTGGTTATTAGTCAATTTAATAGAGGTCACCATTACCTTAAAAAATGAGATAATTTTATACTCTGCAAACAAAACAAAGTTTTACTATCAGAACATATCTGTGACACGTTTGATAAGACATTTAGAGCCTCAGACTCATTATATGATTCAATTTGATTGTCAGTAACTACAAGTCTTTTCAATGTGCAATTTTCAATGTAATATAGAGAGACTCCCAACTTGATTGCCTAAGTAAATCTAAATCTAAGTGATTAGATATTCTAAAGTATTCATTAATAAGCATACATCCAACTAATCGAATATAACAGACATATTTTATATACGTTAATATTATAATTTATCAAACCAATAAATCAAACAACTCCTTTGAATCATTTACAACTTCATATTTATAAATGCATTTTCGTCATGTTCTCCATAACCTTTTTGATGTTCTCCTTTTTAGCTACTTCTATAGCCACTAAACATGGTCCCCTTTCCCTATTTTACTTTTTCTAAAATTGGATATGACTAATTTCATCATCTGGTCCCAAACATCTAATACTAGTATTAAAAGTTACAAACTAACAAAACTCTTGAGAATGCCAGGTCTGAATGGAATTTGAATCAAAAAGAAGTATTTCAATCCTTCAAACAATAAAGAATGCTCCTTAAATTCATCAAATCTTGAAAGATCTACTGTTCCTCCTGAAATTAAACAGACTACATTTTTATCTTTTATTTATGATGCATATTAATCCAGAACTGAGACTGCCAATGCCTAAAAGATATATACAATAATGTTACTCCTGCTGGTTCCACTGCTATACCCTAATTATACAATTCAAGGATTGTTGAACTCACTTTTCCTTCAGGTACTACTACCAAATCATCTAGACTACGTTAACAAATATCAAATGTAATTTTAGGAACTGTTTTTACAGCAGATCCATCACAGAATCTAGACATTGTTTCTATTGTCACAACTTCTTATGCATCAAATGATGCCTTCATAGATGCTGCTCCATCAGGTTGAACCCCAATAATTTTGGTATTTGGAGACATTGCCTTGAAGTAGGTTGCTATTCCAGCTGCCAATGCTCCTGCTCCAACTGGCACAAAAACGTAATCAACTTCTCCAGGAAAATCTTCTATTATTTCTATGCTCTTTATAATCAATACAATTTATTATACAATTGTTGCATTCCCTATGATAGCTTTAACATTATCACAGGGATGTATCATTATCCTATCGTGTTATTTTATATATTCTTAAGCTGCTGCTTCAGCTTCATCAAATGATTCTCCAACACTTCTTATCTCAACATAATCCTTTCCATACTTCTAAATTATATCTATCTTCCATTGAAAACACACTTCAGGCAGAAAAACAGTTCCTAACATTATCATCATTGATGTACCTTTTATTTTGAAATGATTGCAAAAGAAAGCAAATGCCTCTGCAAAATTACCATCACTAACAGTAACTAAGCCTTTTGCTCTTTGTTCTTAAGTTAAACTGATAAAAGAGTTGAATGCACCTCTCATCTTAAATACTCTGATTTATTGTTGATCCTCCCTCTTCAGATGAATATTACAATGGTATTTCTCTGACAATCTCAGAGATTTCTACAACTTAGTTCTAAAATTTAAGGAGCTGTCCTTTTAAAGACGATGCGCCTAAGTTATCATTGGAATTGTTATGGATGACATTTAAGATATATTATTTAATTAATTTCTCAAGTGATAACCAAAATAATAATTTTATTTGACTATTCTACATTCTTTTAAGATATACTAAATTACCACACTTTTTTTATTGGGATATATTATAACTTATAGAATCTTAATCAATCTACATTATTTGAATTATTTTTTATAAAATCGTAATAGGAATCATTTAATCTTTATAAATTAATTTGCTAGTATATAATCAAGATAACCACTTAAAACTCTTTTATGTTACTAACCTTTACATTTAATAAATCTTTTATTTTCATACATTTTGAGATATTAAACATTCCATCAATATAATTTTATAAATATTATTATAATAATTTTATATATACTTTATAACAAATTATCATCAACTTCAATTAAATTAATAATTCAATATTTATATTTTATTTATCTGTCAACTAATTATTTTATATTAAGAGAACTGCAAACTGCAATTTAATTGATTATTATATACTGGCTGCTATCTAAAATCATTCTCATATTACTATATATGTGATTTGTTTATAGATTTGTGAATAAGATAATTATTTAAAGAGATAATAACCATTGAAAGTGATTAAATCAAGTGTTTTTATTATCTGAGGAATACTTTAATATATAGTTAATTTAAGTATTTATAAAATTGATAAAAAGGTAATATTAAATCACTGTTTATTCTTTAAAAATAGTTCTATCTCTTCTTCTGTCAACCATCTCTACCTAGTTCCATTCTTCCAAATACCATATCTCTTTATGCCATTTCCTAAATGATATATGCCAATTCCTTATTAAGAACCATCAATCCACTACCCTTCATATTTCCTACCATCAGCCCATTCAAACACACCAGGTCCGTGCTTGAGATCATTTACGTATTCCTCTCATAAGTGTGACTGCTTATACCCCTTCAAATTTTCTGCCATCATTCCACATCAATCTCCCATGTCCATTCATCTTATTATTTTTCCATTCTCCAATATATATTCTATGATCTGGCCATTCATAAGTTCCATATCCATCAATTTCATTATCTTAAAAATTGCCTTCATATTTTGACCCATCTGCAAAATATAAGATTCCTTATCCATTTTTTTTCCCACTTGCATAAGTTCCTTCATACTTTGAGCCATCAGGCCAAACTTCAACACCTTAACCGTGCTATTGTGCATCCACCCACTATTTAAATCAAAATACAAAATACATCTCCTTCATATCTGGCTCCATTTACATGTGTATAAACACCTTTTCCATTTGCTTTATCATTACTGAATTCTCCTTCATAAATATCTCCATCTGCATGAATTAATTTACCAATTCCAGAACTCTTATCATCCTTCCATTCCCCCTCATAACAAGAGCCATCAGACCAAACTACCCTTCCAATTCCATCGCGCTTGCCCAACAACCATTCCCCTTCATATAGAGTATCTTTATCAATTTAAACAGCTGGAAACTTAGTGCGAACATTGCAATACAATTGGTTTCCTTCCCTTTTACTTTATTCAAGGTCTATTTTAAATTTATCCCTTTCCCTCTATTGATTGGTTGTCTTTATCGAAACAATTGAATTAACAACATCACTATTATCATCCATTTCAAAATCACTTTTATAATTTTCTTTGACTACAATCTCTCCTTCTTTATTGCAACATGTTGCCTAACAATTTCCCATTAAAATAATATTAATTGATAATAATTTTCATTTAGATCAATAATATTCTTGAAGATTTCCAAAAACAATTAAAAATCAAAATATTGTTTACTTTTTTTTTATGTTCCTATTTAGAATTTACAGATTTAAATTATTAATTATAAGTTAGTGCATGCCTTCAACTCTAAATTAATAATTAAATTTTTTTTACACTTTACATTACGATTAAATCCCGAATTTGCCTCTTTATCTTTTCTACTAATAATTGTAGTGAAATTATTCTATTTCTTTTATTTAATACGTATTTCTTGAATATCTTTTTCTCTAATCTTTGTTTTATGGACTTCTATCATTCTTATCATCTTTTTCTTCTTTGATTTCAAACAAAAAATCATCCATTCTCCACTACTTTGATATAAGAAAATCTATTATCTTAGCCTTAGTTCAAAAATTGAATTTTAAACATTTTCATTGAATCTTTAGAATGTAATTATTACTCTTAAATTTTAATAAAAATGAATAATTGGCACTCTTCTGAAATGAATTCTTCTCCTTCTTCATTTTTATTTCTTAAAACTAAATTTAAAAAATATTTAACAATCTAATTGTAATACTTAATAATATCTCAAAAATCTTCTAAATAAATTCTTTATGTTTAATATCAAAATTTGTCGTAAGCTTATAAACCCCCCAATTCAGATTACACATCCAACAACTCTATTAATAATACTAGATGATGTGATATGAATTGTTAAAATATTATATTCCTATTTTAATTATTTTTACTTAGTAAGATTATAAAATGTATGAATCTTAACTCTAGTTACATATTAGATTTATTCAATTCCTATCTTGTTCATAGATTAATTTGCTGTTTTAGCAGAATCATATTGTATAAATGTAATAATAATATTTAAGTCTATCTTTTTATTATTATAGTCTTAATTTTATAGGAGCTATATTGAAGTCCTTTTTATCAATTTATAAACTACATTAAATCATCCCTTTACTGTTTAGGTCTTATGAAATATTTAAATAAATATAAATAATTGTGTTTGAACATTTGTCTAGGATTGAATCAATTTTCTTTGACCAATTTTATTTTCCATATTTGCTAAAAGATATTTATACTATCAATATCAAAGAAGCTGTTGGAACAAAGGATGAAACAGGACAAATAAATTTTTTTGCCTTTATTTATCACAATCATAATTATATAACGTCTATTTCTTATAAGATAATAGTAGAGTTCTTATATTCTATTTCCTCGTCTTGTTAGTTGTCTACTCTTAATTATATTGACATATATTTCTTCAAAAATTATTTACTTCATACTTTGAATTTCTCAGTTTTCTTTAGAATATTCTAAATCAAATAATTTATTTTCAATTTCTTCATCTTTTTAAATATTAACTATTTGGTCTCCCATTGATTTCCTCTTTAAATTGTGAATCCTATTCTCATTCCTTTAATAAATGTAAAATTAAGGCTTAGGTAGAAAATTTTGGGGCTTTGAGAATGACACAAAAATTATTTTGTTTAAAATGTTTTAATTATATTTTTTTAATAATGATTTAATTTAAAATCTTTCTTAAGACAAGCAAACCTTGGATTTTCCAAAAAATTAATAGTTTAAATTTGTATTTTAAGCAGAATGTCGAAAATGGGTATAGAAGAGCAAATTAGCAATAAATAAGTGAAATTCTTGAATCCTAAAAAAGATAAAATAATCATTATTATTTCACATTACAAAACTATCTTATCCTAACGAATCAACTCAAAGATTAACTCCAAATCTCTTTTTCTGAGCATACTGAATCAATTAAAATTTAACAATTTTTAATAAATATCAATATCTACATTATTAAATTATTAAAAGCTGTTTAAAATCAATATTGTATCTAAATAACAGTATATCGATAGTAGAGTTTAATAAGTTAAGCGGATATCAATTTAAACTTATAATGGTTGATTTTATATTAATTTTCAAGAGAGAATTTTATTTATTTCATCAATCAAGTATTTTTGATCTTTAAATTCCAACTATGAAATACCTCTCAAAATTTGAAAGTTTAACTTTTTTTGAACAGCATCTCATTATTTAGAATACTTAATGATTACTAATATATTTTCATTAATTATATATTTTTCTAATTTCGGATTTAACAAAAATCAATGAATCAAATCAAAGGACCTAAATTAAACTTTAGTACGCCTATCAAAATATAAGACTTCATTGAAGAAAAACCATATTCAGTGTTTGATTTTGAAAACACCGACTGCTTCAAAAATGAAAAAATTTCTAAATAAGTCAAATTTGCACCTACAATCACTATTTTTCTTAGATATCAAGACGAGGAAATCAATAGGTTCAGGGATAGACTTAAAACATAAGTATAAATGACAAAAGAAACATATAATCTTAATCCGACCCTTGAAGAATCCCCAAAAAAATAGTAACTTAAATCATGTATGAGGGTTCCTATAGATACGGATTATTGAAGTTTTGATTAAATTGTTTCTTTTGTTTTACTTTATACTGTTCCCTCAAATATTCATATACTCACTAATTATTTCAATATCTCTTTCATATATTCTGAACTGTTGTAAAATAGGATTTAAAGATCCTAATAATCCTGCTAATTTAAAGAACGTATTGCTTTAATAAAAAAAGTTCAATATTTATAAAAAATTTAACATAAAATTTTCAATATTCTATGATAAAAAGTATACCACCATTATTATACAGCAAGGTATTTGCTTTAATGTCAAAAAGAAGAGATTAATTACAATTAGACAAATGAATATAATACTTATTATTGAATTTTACCAAACAATAAAAATTAAGGACAAATAGTATAAAATCAATTAGTGAAAATTATAATAATATTTTTAGAAGATAAACAGTAGCTACAAGTGAATCAAACCTGGTATATTAATTTATGCTTATAACCCTTATTTCAAGTATTTTAAATGCAGATATTTTCATCTTTAAGCTTTTATATTCTAAGATTCTTCTTAGATCATTACAATATCAAAAAATAATTATAATTTATTTTATATCTAAACTTTGATATCATCCAAATTCTAACGTAATTTAAAGTTAATAATTTTAATAGCTTAAATTATTTCCCATCCTCTTACAATGGTTTGATTATATTATCACCCATTATAAAAAAATTTATTTAATTGAAATTTATTAATGTATTTATAATATAATAAAAACCTTATGCAACATTCTCCAATATTTATGTGTTCCAAATTCAAGTATTTTAGAGGATGATAAATTTTGAAAAGTTATTAGATTATTATTGATGGAATCGCGCAATTTAAGAAAAAATAATTTGAATTTAATATTTTGAGCAAATGTGAGAATTAAGAGAGATGGAATTTATGAATTAAAGATTATTAGATTAGAAGTCCTAGAACCTATATCTGTTTTTTTTATTATGTAGCTATATAAATAAAAAATAAAAATTGTGTTTACAATTGTATAACAAATGCAATATTTATATTTATTCCTTTTCAAATAATTAATAAATGGATTGATATATCATAAAAATGTTATAAATTTCTCTCTCTTTTGTTAAGTGAATTGATGTGTTTGTAAAATTGCCAATATAACAAAAACCGCAAAAAATAACACCATCATTCTGTAATAATTTTTATAATTTAATTAGCCTTCTAATGGGTTTTGATAAACATTTGCTTACTATTATGATTATTGTCCTTAATTCATTTTATTTATAGCTAGGTTATTAAATAATTAATATTTTTTATGTTAATATATATTTATTAATTAATATGCAAACACCGATTAAAAAGCAACCAAAAAGCATAAGACAAATTATTAAAGACTTAATACTTAAGGAGGTGGAGATGGAAAGCAAGAAAAAAATAAATATAATTATCATTCCCACTAGAATTGGTTAATCGTGTTGGGGAACTCGAAACTTAAGAAGAATATCGCCTTCGAATCACCAAAAAATTGAATAAGGTGCAATAGTTTCCCCTATAAACTGTAGCCAGATTTCTCCAATGAACTAAAGCCAAGGATCTCCTTCAAACTATAGAATTAAAAATACGTCAAAGTATGGAAAATTATTAAAAATGAACAATTAAGAATAACCTTACTAAGCTAGCAAAAAAAAACAAAAATATAAAACTGAACCTCGTTAGAAATCTTAATCTGTCAATACTGCGAAGCCTTTTCATCAAAGATTACCATCTTTGCCTCGAAGGATAAATTACTTTGCTGACGAGGCCAAAAGTTTATAACTTAAATTAACTGACACTATTGAAGGATATAGGGTACAACAAGACGATATGTCTTTGGAGATTGATGAATATGTTAAGATGAATTATATTAATTAGTTTAAACATTAAGAAAATTGAAGTGTTAGTTTATTCTTTAATTAGTGTACTTTTAAAAATTAAAAGTGTGTTTTGGAAAAATTATTTTTTCAATAATAATGAACAAAATTAAAAGAAAGCTCTTCTCTATGGAGGCCATCCTAGATTCCAGAACTATAAACGATCAACTCTATTTTTTAGTTAAATGGGCTGGTTATCCAATCTCATAGTCCACATGGGAAAAAGCAGACAAAGTGCCGGCCGATTCAAATATGATATCAGAGTATAAAATGAGTGTTCAAATGCTTGGAAAGACCTTCTATTTTGATCCGTTAGATTAACCTCCTTAAATAGAGGACTTCGTAGAAGTCCCACCTTAAAAAAGTGAACTCTCTACTTTTAACACAAAACTGAGTGAATTTTAACATCAAATCAATACTCTCAAAGATGATGTTAGACTTATTCTATAAACTTAATTGAGACTCATTAAAGAACTAAAAATGTCAAAAAATGTTATTCATCACTATGACCTATAAAGATCACCTGCCTCTCAAGACAAACCATAGTCTATTTAATCTGACATGATGTAACAATACTAACAATGTGCTTTGATAAATTATGATGGTTCTTTTGAATAAGGAGATAAAGTTGAAAAAATTGGTAGAGCTGTTTAAATTAAAAAAACTAAAACTAAGATGTATTATATTTTATGGAAAAGAAGAAACAATGGTACAATATTGATGTAATAATTAGGTTAAATTCCCAAAAATTCATGGGTTGAAAGTGACAAAATCATAGAGAATGAACCTGTTAAAGTATGTCAATACTTATGGAATAAATTAATTTGAATTAATAATATAATTAAATAGAATGGTTTATTTAGATTAAGTATTACTCAATTACGTTTATTTTTTGAATTGAAATCTTTTGTGTTCATTTCTGTCGTAAAAGCTTTCTAACTTTTAGGGCTGCCCAATTACTTTTTTTATTATTCCAAAATCTGTTATTGATGTATTATTTTATCTTATTATTATTTAATCTATATTAATAAATAATCTTACTATCTAGTTCAATTTAGTGATTTCTTAAGAGTACAATAGGTTATTATTTTCTTTGATATTTATCTCTAAGATATTGCATCTAAATAGATATTTAATTTTTACTTTTATCTTAATATTTCATTTTCTTATTTAAGTTATTCAAATATTTGTCTATTTTCATATAAATTATTTTCATAACATTTATTTTTCCATAATTCTATTTCGTTTAATCTATTTTTTAACATTACACTTAACTTTTCTATTTTGTTTTACTACTCCTAACATTATTTCTATGAAGTTAATAATTATTACTAAATTAGTTATTGATTATTGTTTCCATTATGTTCCGAAATTGAAGATTAATAAAGTTATTCTTTTATATTATTGTAACTTTATAATAATTATTAGTATTGTATCTCAGTATTTTAAGAGTTCTATAGGTTTTGTTCAAGAAGACTAATTGTTTTTCTTTATTATGTAATTTGTGTTTTTTAGTGTTCAATGAGATTTTAAAGATCATGCTCTTATTATTCAAGTGAACTTATTTTCGAAGAAAATTGATTAATTTAAGAAGAACCTTATAAAGTTTCTTATATTCTTGATTCTAATTGAGATGAGATTGTTTATAGTTCATGAACCTTTCGTTGATATTGATTTAAAAGTTATTACTTTTCTATTTACTCTTATTTTAATTAGTATAATATTTATTTTTAAGAGATATTGAATTATTCTTTAGTTTTATTCATTTTGTCTAATAATTCTTTGTTTTCTTCTTGAAGTTGTAGATCCTCAATTTTTAGTACTTCTAGTTATTAAGTAAGAATATTTTTAAGATTTATCAAATCATGATTTTCTTTAAAATATTTATTACGTTCTACTTCATAATTTTTATTTTATTCTTCTAAATCTTAAATGACTTTATTCAATTTAATCATTTGCTGTTTTATTTACATTATTTCTTGCTTGTATTGGTTTGAATTTGAATCAACATTCATATCCCCTGATTAAATAGAATTTAGCATTTAAAATTTTCTCATTTATTCTGTTAATTAATTATTTTCTGTATTTATTTGTTCAATAAGCGTACTCTATTGATCTTATTGGGATTTCAATTAATTAATTAAATTAATTAAATTTGCATTTTCTTGCTATAACTCTTACAATTAACTTTTAGATAATTAGATCTAGTAAAGATGCTGTGTTTCTAAATCTTCAATCTTTAATCCATAGTGGAGTTCTATTTAACTTATTTTTGAATGGCATTCTTAAATTTATTATGTTTTCAATTTAATTGAGATATTTTGTTTCTCAATCTCTTAAATAAGTGCGCCTATTTACTTTTGTTTATTTTAATATTTCTACTTAATCTGCATTACTTATATTAGGTGAACCATTAAATCCAAGCTTGTTATCAATACTCAAGTCATTTAGACTACGAATAGGTGAAATAGACTAAGAATGATGAGAACTGAATTATTTGAGAGCCTGCTATAAATATCCAGTTTCATATTAATTAAATTGTTCTATTTTAGTTGCCCAATTAGATCTATTGTTTTATAATAGATCAATAATTTACTTAGACATTATTTTACAATTTAATTCTAATTTATATATATAAATGTGTAAACCTAAAGAGTTATCTTAAATATTTATGTCAAGAAAAGGGGTGTAAATCATTCATAATAGATGAGTATTTTTAATATACTCGAAGATATTTAGGGAATCGAAAGTTAGTATGAATTTAATTTTAAATTATAAATTTTGCATTATTTAAATGGGAAATAAAATCATTTTCCGAGTTGATGGTTTAGTACATTTTAGTTTATCTTTAAAATCTGGATAGTTTTGTACAATCTGACTAAGAATGAATAGAATTAGTAATTAAAATTTTATGAATAGTGAATATTTTGAATGTTTGAAAAATTTCAATATAAAAACGATATATTTAATAAAATCTTGATGAGATAATGCTTTCCATTTCTAAACAAATGCCACTACAAGTATAGATGGGGTGTGCTTGGATTTTGTATCTGGCTTGTTTTGGGAGCATTTTATTGTTTTGATATTCCAACTTCTTTGCACAACACATTATAGGGACATTTTTCTGATATTATGACACCTGAAGCATTTGAGCTATATTATGGAGGGTTGTATAGTTTATATTCATTTGCAAATATTTTTCTTCCATTTATTAGCGGAAGTATGATATAATTTTTATTCAGAAATTAGGGATTAAAAGGGTGATAGAATAGTGTTGATTCTTATGGTGGTTTTAGTAATGATAGGGCAATTAATCTTTGTCTATGGAGTCCACCTAAAAAGCTTCATGGTTATGTATTTGGGTAGAATCATATCAGGTTGGGGCATAGAATCAGTTGTTCCTACACAAACCTCTTTCATTTCTCCATATTTTAAAGATGACTTTTTGGTATTCTCCATAATAAATCATAGGGTTTTGCAGTTGGCTTGAATGAATTTTTTGCAACTTTAGGGTCTATATTAACAATGTATTTATGCCCTAAATTGGCTTTAGAATATGGTTTATTGATAGCAGTATCTAGCGGAATATTTTTTAATTCATTTAGCCTTATTTGTGGAGTAATCACTGTGATATTAGATAAACATGCAGAAAAACACCTTTTGGAATTAGTGAATTATGATTAAGTCAAATATTCTGTTTTGCGATCATCAGAAAATCGTAGTCCCAGATAAAGTGGTGGGAACAATGCCAATGGAGTTGAGATAAATTATAATAAGAATGTTGGAGAAGATGTAATAGAAGTAGACGAGATTTAATCAGAAAAGCAAAATGGAGAAGATGGCTAGATTCTATCTTAACCAGATGCTGTATAGGCTATTGAAACGTTTCCCAAAATATTTTGGCTTGTTAGCTGGTGCTATGCATTAATTTATAGTTCAGTATTAGGATTCATTAATATTTCAGTTGGATTACTATCTGAGAGATGGTTTGGAGTGACTGAAGAATCAGAGATTGAAGCAGGATTTGTAGTCTCAATTATGTGGTTCATAACTGGACTCTTTACACCATTATTTGGTAGCTATACAGATAAATATGGTTAAAGATCCTCATTAGTAAATTTATGTTATTTATATATAGCTAATATTTGCAACTGTGTTATGTACTTTTTCTCACTTGATGATATGGTATGTCTTTCCATTCTTATCTCTGATCTTGCTTGGAACTTCATTGGCTCTAGCATTTGCTTCTGCTTGGACTGGAATTGTGTTTTTGGTTAGACCTGACACTTTGGGTAAGGCATATGCTTTGGTTATTGCTGTATATAACTTCACATTCACTCTTGTGCCTCTAGCCGTTGGTGCTTTAAGAGCGTATGTATATTTAATATTTTTAGATATTATGGGACATATTTTTATTCATAAATTATGTTATCTGTTTTAGGAGCCATTGCTTTTGTGCTTTCTATAATAATTTATTAACTAGATCACAGTTAAGAAAATATTCTTGATGGAAATGGACAATATGCAGTTAGTGCAACTAGTTTGGAAAAGAACTTTCCAAATGAAACTGCACATCTAAAAGAGGATTGATTTACATTTATGATTAAGTTTTCAGTAGAAATAGTTTATTATAAATAAATAACAAATGTTATTCAATCAAAAATTTCCTATAATTTTTAGTGTTAAATTCAATCTATTTTTAAACTTCTTCTAAATGCCAAACATCTTTCCATTTGATCCTAAAGTTTTTATCCTCCGCATTCCATCACTGCATTTATCATATCAGCAATATTCTATTTGCCATTCAGAACAGCCTTCTCCAATTATATGATTTAATGCTCTAATGAACTACATCTCTGATCACTCAGTTTGACAATCCTCTATTATATTATTAAGGATTCTTACTTTTGTTATTTCTAACTCCTTCTGATAGCTCTCCAGTCTAATTTAGTCTTTCTTGGAATTCAGTACTTATAATTACATTAAATCTATACTTAATTATTGATTCTCTTTTAAAGTAATTTATAATTCACTGGAATATTCCTAGATCAACCTTTGTAATTCTGATTCTGACAATTGGTTTAATCTAAAAAGTTAATTTTATATTACTTCTACTTTCCTTCATTCTTTAACAAATTATCAATCTGTAATTTAGAATTCCTTGTCCTTGCTTTCTCATCATTGGTTTGCTGGATAGTCTCCGCACAGACATTTGATTTATACTATAGTTTATCTTTGTTTGGTTTAAATTCATCCTTTTGAAGACAAATATAACATTATTGATTTATTTATGAATCCTTTTGAGATTAAATATAGTTTTAAAGTTAAATTTTTTCATTTTATAATTCAAGAGCTGTGTTTTTACTTTTAGTTAATTCTTCATTCAATTTAGATATTTCATGAGTATATTTTTTTTTTTATTAATCCTTCTCCTCTTTTAAAATATCATTTTCTCTTAAGAGAATCTCAATTTCTTTTTTTAGTATTTCTGTCTCCTTTTTAATCTATTAAAATTCCTTAGTATTTTTATCAGCTAAATTATTTAATTCATTAATAAATGAGTTATTAAAATTACTATTTAAATTTTGAATCTAAATTCTTTTGTAATCTGATTGAAGAGCAGTATATGTTTCTGATAATAAATTAAAAGCAGCTTCTGACTTTCTAATCTATTCTTGCAACTTTTCATTCTATTGTTTCATTAATTTATTCTAATGTTTTAAAACCTAATTCTAAATTTACAAGAAATTATCTTCCTATTCTCCAATCTCCAATTACCTACAAGATGTCAATAAAGATTGCTCATTTTAAGTTGGTCTTGAATTGAAATTATCAAATTATTCTATTTTTTTAGGATTAGCCTTAGGTTTAGTTGATCCTCTCAGGATCTCTTCATTATTCTATACATTTTTAGTCTTATTCTTGCCTGGCACCACAAATTTATTCTCTCTCAAAGCCGTTGGATAATCCTAATCTGATTTTTCTTCCTTAGATTTTTACTATGACAAACAAACTTTCTAAACTCTTACAGTTTATACTCGTCTGACATTGGTATCAGTCTCAATTAGCTTATCGATTTCAGAGTACTTAGAATGACTTTCAAAATTGCTTGGCTATTCTTAATATTTTTTTAAAGTGTCTTCTCTGTGATGATTTTAATTTTCTCCTCTTTATTCTATTGGGGAATGTTGACATTCCCTCTTTTGCCTGAACCAGTCATCACTTTTTTGTATTTCTGTATTCATTATACTAAATTTCTTAAAAATTAATTACCTCAGATTGTTTCCAAGTCTTTTATTTTCACTTTAATTTAATTAGTTCCATGCCAATCCCACTTAAATATAAGCGTCCTAATCATATCTATTATGAATAGGAATTTTATCAATAACCAATGGTAAATTATTTTCAATGTAAAAACCTAAATTCAGTATTGCTTCACCATAGCATATTTTGCAATCTTGGACCATTATTTTTAACTAAATTAGATTTATTAATTTACATATCGGTTTTCCGTATAATAAAAATCAAATTCAACAACTTCATTAATATCTTAAACATTAGCACATTGACTCAATATTTTAGACATCAAAATTTTCGATTCATTTTCTAAATATTTGAATTGTAATTTACCATCAAGAATGATTATTTTGCATTATTCTGAATATTTTTCTATTTAGAACTGCAAAGATTATACTTCGATTTCTAGATGAAGCATCGGCTGTAATAAATTATTATTATTATTTATAAAATTATTACCTTAATACCTTCTCATTATAGAAACTAGTCGTATAAGTGAATTATTCAATCATTTCTCTGATATTTCAAACTTTTATTTTAAATCTCCATTCTGTTACTTTAATCCCATCTACTAAATTAGCCTATTCGATTCCTTATTAGCAATATTAATATTTTCTTTCAAAGCATTATATTATCATTTTATGACTTTCATAACCTCAAATTTTCTGTAATTCTCACTTTATTACATAATGTTATGAGGTTTTATAAATTCTAAACTATCACCTTGCTAAAGGAATAAAGGAATAATTTAATAAGAATAATATTTCTTTTTTTGGAACATAAAAATCGGGTAAATTTATAATTTTTGATTTATTTTTAGAAATATTAAGATTTGTATCATCGAAAATATTTTCATAAATGGTATACCATTATTTAACATTAAATTCGCTTCTTATTAAATTATTCAACCTTAGAGAAATTAAGAATTTAATTATATTATTGTAAGAGTTTAAATTATTCGTGGTTCTTTCATTAAGCTCATATAAATGTTAAAATAATTATCTGTTCTGTTTCTCAAAGTTGTGGAAAAAATCTGAAATTTTGTCAAAGAATAATTTGTATAATATAGAAACAAAAATGAGAATATGTAGAACCAGGATTTTAAGTTAAAGTATTATCGATTATAACCTATAATTAGATGTTTTGTAAAGTAAATGATCAATCATCTAAATTTGGAAATTGCAATACTCCAGGATCTCTTACAATTGAATCTAATTTAATTTTTTTAACTTCGTTGATAATAGGGGTAACGTCTCTTGGCTTTTAATTTTTTGGGTATGTTTGTTTATTATAGAATTCAATAATTTCTTACTTCTTCAGTTATTTGGATTTGTTCAGGTTTCCCATAAGTTTTGCAAATAATGATGTTAATTATTAGATCAGATCATCTCCAGTAGAGTCATTAAATTGTTTTTCAAATTATTTTTCATCGAAGTTTTGAGACTTCTTTAATAATTGATCTGCATATTCTGTAATTCTCTGAAGTGGCTTGATATACCTAACCATGTAGAAAACACATATAATAATGTAGAGGATAGGAATAGACAACGCAATAGGAATTAACTTTTTATTGAAGTTATCAACCTTCCTTTCATAGATATCTTTCTGAAGTTCAATTTCTTCATTAGGTAAGTAAGTTGGTTAATAACTATTTAGGTAAAATCAAAATTTACATTCCTAGAATAAGTCCTGAATAATTGATAAACGCAAATAGAAATTGCTAACCAGAGAGTTCTCCTTAATAAATAGCTATGTACGATTCAACCTTAGCTTAGCCTGTGAGATATTTTGAAACATTAATTTTCCTCAATTTAGAATCATCATCTGAATTCATAGTCATAATGAGTTGTTAGAGTTCCTCAATATCTATCTTATATTCTTGCTCTTAATAATCAATTATATGGTTATCGCCTGTTAACAAAAACAAAGTGTAATTATATTGACTGTTTGTTGCTATTGAATAAAATAGCATATATAATATAAATGGCTACCTTTCACAAAAGATTAAACCAATTTTTGTATTATTAGCATCTGTAATTGGTAAAACTTCTCTTTACAATATTACTTACAAAAATGGATCATAAGTATGTTCTAGAGGAATTTGGAAGGCATACCTTCTATCTCTATACATTTTCAATCGGTATTTGTTAAATAATTCTAGGTCAGTAACATTAATTCCTGGATATTACATCATGAAACCATCATCAAAAATCCAATAAAAGAAAGACCCCATAGATTAATAATTAAAATACATTATGTTATTAATTGATAGATAATTTCTGATTCTTTTTTCAGGAATTGAATCATCAAATAGTAGAGAATAAGTAGCAAAATTGAAAGTATATTGATCTACAATACTTGTATCAGGAATATACTATTTCGTTGAATTTGGAAGTTTATCATCCATTTTGTAAAGGACTCCATTATATCTTAACGATTCCAATTAAATTAGATTTTAAGTAACATTAATTAATTGTATTTCATTTTCCCTAGTATTTATCAATAGTTAAACGAAGTCTATTGTAATCTCACAAATTTGTTTCTGTAGTAGTTCTGAGACATTGTTCTTAGTCCATGATTATACAGTATCAAACAGTATATTCTATCCTATGAATTAAACTCCGATAAATAAGGATAAAGAAGTGATAGCAATGATGATTTGAGCTATGGTAACCTATATTTTCAGTGTCCAATTGCAAGATATTGGCAAGAAAAATATTGATCCAATTTTTTCATTTATAAATAAATCTCCATGGCCAAATCCAATGTAAGCTTTAATTTTTTCCAAACAAGTTTCTTTTATCTAATATATAGTCTTATTGATTACATCCTTTTTCTTAGTCTCATCTTTTATAATTTATTATTCTGGAAAAGTTGGTGTTTAAGACTCTTTTGGGTTCATTTCTTATTCTTCTTCATTGTCAATTTAATCATTTGAATCATCTTCATCGTTTGAGATGTCACTTTGAAATTATTCCTACTCGTTTCTTTCAGAGAGAATTGCCTCATCCTATCCATTTGAAAAAAGAATATTATTTTGCATATAAATTAGAATATTATACAATTCAAGATTGTTTTTATTAATATAATAAGAAAATCAAAAAATAAGAATGTAAATAATTTGTAGTTACATATCAGAGTAACATTTTTTTCGAATTTAATAATACATCTAAATAAACATTTCCTAATGAAAATTTAATTCCGTATAATAATTCAACAATTAATTCTTATTTATGATAACAAATATAATAAGAATATCTTAATTAATAATATATCTATACATTCTATCAAATTAACAACTAAAATTTTTGGGAATAATTAAATATATACAAAACACCTAACAATACAGATAATATATATAGATTTTTCTTCCCTTATATTTGTAAATGAAAATAAGGATTATAATCATTAAAATTATAGATTGGAACATCAAATTATCATTTCTTTTTTTTTTGAATTCCAAATTTTTTTATCCATTCTAATGGGAGATTTAACACTATTTTTTGTGAATCATCCACCTCAGATGTATATTATTTTATTCTTTCTTCAAATATTCGTATATCTTCATTCTCCATAGAACAAACCTTATTTTATTTTGTCTAATTTTTTGAATCTGAAATTTATTATGGTTTTTTTTCAACTTCAGATTTTGGTTGAGATTTTTTGTTTTAGGGCTTTTGCTTTTTCTTTTTTTTGGGTTCAGTTAAAGTTGGACTGCTTGTCGAAGTGGACTGAGTTGAACTAACAAGTCGAAAATTGGTTTCATTATTAATAAATAATTTTGAATCCTATTTGAGAACCATATTTACTTATGAACAATTAGTGTTTATCTCAAGGATTTGTTTGAAGGAGTTCTTATCAAAATCCTTGTTTGAAATCTAAGACATTAACCGAATTATTTAATTATCATTATCACTACTATCACTAAAATCATAAAAACCTTGAAATTTACAGATAACATTTTATGTGTTATTGCCTATCCATGAAATATTCAATAATTACAAGTCTAAAAGATAACATTATCGTCTTTAATTGATATAACCAAGTCTTTTTTTGGTTTATTTTTGCAAAAGCATTTCATATTTTATTTAATTAAAATAATTATAAAGCACTAAAATTAACTTAATATTTTAAATCCCATGAATTCATATATATATTGTTTTTCTTTCCTAATTTGAAAAGTCTACATTGCAATAAGTATATAAAATTCAAAGTTAATTATTATTTTTTTAGTTTAATATTAAATTTTACTCAATTCAAAATGGGCAATTCCTGTACATGCTAATGTTAAACTAAAGCAATTGAAGAAAACGAACTCAATACAAATTAAAAGCAAGCAGCTTAATCAAAGTTAACACCTAAACCTGATACTGCTTAAAATTAAGATCCTGATGTATAAAATGGAAATAAATTAATAGGGTAAAGAGAAGATTAGCAATCAATTAAAGGATGAAGATGTTGCTCAGATGGCAGGAGCTCGAAACAATTCTAATGAAGATAGTTCTTCTCCAAAACTAATGAAAAGAGAAAATGGTAATATTTATTCAGAAGTATAGATGATAACAAACCGGAAGAGCAATATATTGCGTAAGTTTAATCTACTAAAAATAAAACAACAAGAACTAAGTTGGGAGCTATTGAAATGAAAAATGGGGGTGTTTATGATGGAGAATGGAAAAATGCTATGAGGGATGGCTCAGGAAAATATGTATGGCCAGATAGAAGTTTTTATGAAGGAGAATGGGTCGAAGACAAAGCAAATGGATTTGGGAAGTTAGGTATTTCTTGAGTCATTCTTATTCAGTTCACGTTGATGGTGATATTTATGAAGGGCAGTGGTTAGATGATATGGCCAACGGTAGAGGGGTTTATATACATAGTGGTATTAATTATAACTACTTTCAAGGAGGAGCTCGATATGAAGGAGAGTGGAAAAATGATCTCCAACATGGATAAGGAGTTGAGGTTTGGCCTGATGGAGCCAAATATGAAGTAAACTATCATTCTCGATATATGTTAGGGTAGATATGAAAATGGTAAAAAGCACGGACAAGGAACTTTGACTTTTGCTGATGGCAGTTATTATAAAGGAGATTTTGTTGAAAATGATATAACAGGATATGGAGAATACTTCTGGAAAGATGGAAAGTCGTATAAAGGACAATGGAATAATAGTAAAATGAATGGAAAAGGAGTGACTTAATGGGCTGATGGCAAGAAATATGAAGGAGATTATAAGGATGATAAGAAACATGGATTTGGCATCTTTTAATGGGAAAATGGTAGAAAATATGAAGGAAATTGGATTAATGGAAAATAACATGGAAAAGGCATGATTACACTTCCTAATGGAGAAAGAAAAGAAGGAATTTGGGAAAATGGAAAAAGAATTAAGTGGTTAAATGCTGATGAATCACCAAATGGTTGATATATAATTCTTAGTACTTAAATAATATCTACTTATGTTAACATAACTTTTCAAATTTGTTATTGAATCTCAAATACACTTTATTATTATTTTTTTAAATGCTTATTAAAATATTTTTAATTAACAAACCCTAAATAGGGCAAAAACAACTTTTTGTTTTTAGATTTTCACTGGTATAATAATTTTCTTCTTTAATTTTGATAAAGTTGTTGAAATTCAAGATATTTATCCATCAGGAATACTTTCTTAGAAATAAATCTGGAATCAAAGAGCCTGAAAAGGAATATGAATAAAATTAAATAATCTATATAAGTTGCCATCCTAGTATTTTATTATTATATTAATTCGAAATTATTGTTCTATTATTAAATCATATTTTTTGCTGGCTATCATTAATAAAATCTTAAGTAGTTTATAGGTTGTATACCAATAATACTATTTTTTAATAGTTTTTGTCATAATATAATCATATTAGCTTAATCTTCAATCTCAAAATTAACTAATTATCTTCATGTATACTATTTTTAATTTATATTATAAATGTTACTAAGTTTTTAAGTTATTTTTAGAAGAATAAATAGCATAATTATTATTAAATTACAATAAAATAATTTCAATACCACTCAGATAAAAACTTAAATTTTATAATGTATCCTTTTTATCTTTATTATAATGGAAAATCAATTTAATTAATAAAAAAAGGAAATAAAAAAAGTAAATTTGAATCTCACATTTCTACTAACTTAATAAGGTTTTTACAAGAATTATCATAAAACCAAATAATAAATTACGTATAAACTATGCTGAATATTTAATTGGGTTAAATGTAATAAATGATACAGTTAAATATAAAAAATATTCATTTAAAGATTAAATATTTTTTAATAATTAAGAGTTTGAGGTTAGTATTCTAATATTATTTAATTTCTAAAGGAGTTACTTGGATACTTTATAAATTTGATGATACCGACCTTTTAATTTTATTGGATTTAAATTCTATTGAGGTTTATTTTCTGAGTAGAAATTTTTCTATTTAGGAGCGTGAAGTTGATCTCTTAATTCTAAGTTTAAATAGATGTCAAAATAAATACAATAATTATTTTTGTGTTTGTATATCTAAAAGTCGTTTTCCTTTTCCACTTTTTTGCATTAATAAATTAGATGATGATTATGAACTGGAGGAATCCTCAGAAAAAATAATATGTTATATATCAGTTGAGAAAATCTTCTAAAAATCATATGATAATTTTGATTATCGTGGAGGAGCAATCTATAATTGTTTATATTTCCTACCATTCAACAAATTTTATCTAAACTTATTAGCTATTTCTTCTTTTTCTTCTCTCATTTCTGATAGCCTCTATTCTGATTATTTGTTAATATCTGAAATTATTTTTGATGGATTGAACTCAGTATAAAATTCTAAATAATCCCTATGTTTATCAAGGCAAAAATTATTATCATCAATTTATGTGGATAGTTTTGAAGAATCAAAAACAGATTCATCTTGAATTTGGATATATTTTGTAGTTTTTACTATTTGTTTTAATTATTAGAATCTATATCTAAATTATGCATCAGCTTTTGAATAAATAATTTAAGAAGAAGATACCAAACATTTTTTAGATCTTCTCTTAAATTCCTTAACTCTATAGTTTTTTTATTTCAAATAATCTTCTATGACTTGCAATCTTCTAACTCTATAATGCACTATTGTACAATTTCTTGCTATATGATGCGGTCTATCACAGATGTAACATCTCAATCTCAATGGCTTTAATGAATTGTCGACATCTACACAATTTTTAATATAGAAGAGCTTTTCTAAATCAGAATTTAAATCATGTGCTTATTCCAACAAATCCTTTCTACTTAAACTCATTAAATTAACAAAATCAAGTGTTCTAGCACCAGCTGTCCTGGGACTTTTGCTGAAAAAACTAATTTCCCCAAAATAATCTCCTTTACCCAATAACTTTAATTAAAATTCTCTTTTCGTAAGGCAAATCTCTACTTGACCATTTTAGATGAAATATAATAAATTACTGTCCACTTAATTCTCTTTAAATACATACTCTTCAGGACCCAAGAGATGCTCTTTCAAGACATATATTAGTTTGTTTGTCAATTAATTGGAGAATTCTTTGCTGATCAAATTTACTTATAATAAAATTCTACCATGTAATAATGTTAAAACTTCAGTATGTAGATTTGATGATAAATTGTTTAATATTAACATCTAAGAGTTTTTAGCCACTTACGCAGATCCTTCTAACCATTCTAAATAGTTCTTCACTCTCATTTATAAATTTTTTGGTATGCTTTTCTATTTAATATACCTGACTAAATTATTGATGAATTTACTTCATTATTTTTTAATTCTATTCCTTTATTTCAGCAATATTCAAATCTTCTCCTTGAATAATATACTTCAAACTAGACATGCTATAGCCAAAAATCCCTGAGGAAAGAACCATAACAATAATTCCAAAAATCATCTCTGAATTTGTATTAGGACTGATATCTCCATAACCTAAGGTTATCATAGTAGTTATGCTGAAATAGAATGCTGTTATATATTTAACTTCCCAAGGTGACCCATAGATTCCATATTGGGTCATCCAAGTTAGTTCTATTTGCTCATCCACGAATTCTATAATATTCCAAATGCAAGCTATCCAATGTGCAATACAGAGAATCATTGCAGCTATTTTGAAGAATTATATAATCGCTTAAAGTGTTTATTCAATAGAGAAGGTCTCTATTATTAGTATTATTTAAATACCTTCTATTTTTATCAAAATTCTTCCCAATTTTAGTACTCTTAGAAGCCGAACAATTTTAATAAATTTAAACAATCTAACAAACTTTAATATTTGTGTAGATTAATTACTATCATTTCCTATTAAGAGATCAAAAGGAAGAACTGCTATCACGTCTATCCAAAACCATAATTTTAAATAATTCAATGCTATATGTTTAAGGCGACACTCCAATTTTCCACTTATTATATAAGATTTTAGTTACTTTTCATAATATGCCAATCGAAAATTAAGAGTTATATCTATAACAAAAAAGATATCCATTATATAATTCACAATTTCCATACCAACCTAACTCTCTATTGAAAATGATAATGCCATTGGAATGTATATCATCTATACAAAAATAAATAACATGCTTATTGATTCCCATATTATTCTAAAGGTAGAGGTCGGATTTGATACTTCCATTATTGTTTTTATAAAAATTTAAAAAGCTTCCATTTTAGGCATTAACTATTGCTCTTCCTCATCTCTTTATTTCATACAATATAAATAGTCCCTTGCCTCTTTGTTAGTTTCACCTAAAAGGCTGATTAATTTCCTCTAATTTACTCTATGATTGTAATCATAATCTTAGGATTTATCTAGTCAAATTTAATTAAGAAATACCTATGAATTGCATAAATTGACTTTTAAGTTATAATAATATATGTATTGAATTTTTATATTGATAACATAAATAAAATAAATTAATCCATTAGAAAATTTTTATTTAATTTAATTTATTCTTTATAATCATCCTAAATTAGATTTAACAGAATTAAATAAAGCTTATAAATAATATAATTTTTTGAATCCCATTTTTACTGGTTTCCCTAATGATCTTTGTTATGAAACCTTTTACTGATGAGAATAAACCTTTTTTTGGTATTAAAGATACTTAATAAATACGTATGATTAACCAAAACCTATCATCTTTTATAAGTAATATTGATACATTTATGATTTTAATATTCGCCCTTATATTTAGTCTTATATCTTGAATATTGGCTTTTTAATCAATATTGATATTATATTCTCTTTCCTAATATATACATAAATAATTAAACAAAAAACAGTAGAAGGTTTGAAAATTTTTCATATGTTTTTGTAAGTAAAATATTGTAAAAAAAAATAAATCAATTTTGCTCTAACAATCTTATATATCAAGTTGCTACTTATTTTTTTCTACTAATTTTAGATTCTTAATAATTCTAGTAATAAAATATAATGAGATTTCATCCATTTAATTATATTAGTAACAGCAAATAAAGTTTCTTCTTTGTCATTGAGCATAACAATTTAAAAATTAGAATGTATTCAATAAACATGATTATATATAATAATAATTTATAAATCGTTTAGATATAAAAAATATCTTGAATTTCTTATTCTTTATTGAGAGATATTAAGTGATATATATATATATGTATAAATTTTCAAGAACCATTTTTTTTGAATATAAAATAATAAAATTTTATAATATTAGAATTCTTAAGCTTAAAAGAAACTTAATTTAGTGAATAAATTTATGTTTATTTCTAAAATAAGCTAACGAAATCTGAATTATTTATTTTTTCAGATTACCTAACATTGTTAAGAAATTCTAAGAATTGAAGTGAAATATTAGAATAGTATTAGAAATGGTGAATTATTGATGGGTGTAAAAATTTAATCATTTTTTTTTATTTCCCTTTTATTCTTTTTCCTTCTCTTTTTGATTTTATTTTTATTTCTCTTTTTCCTTGGTTTCTTTTGTTTCTTTTTATTCCTTTTAATCTTTTTTTTAGTTTTTATTCTTTATTTATTATATTTTTTATTCATCTTCATCTTCACTTTCATCATCGTCTTTAGATGCCTTTGTAACTTTCTTTGAACCTTTTTTGTGTTTTTTCTTTTCTTATTTTAATTCTTTTAAACTATTTTTCACTTTGTCTTCATCCAATTTATATTTCTTCAACCAAGCCTCATAATCTTTTTTATATTAATTTTAAGCTTTATCCTTTTCGTTTTCATATTTCTTAATCGTAATTTAATAATACCTCCTTTTTTTTTTTGTCTAAATCATTCCACATTGATGAAATAACTTATGTTAATTCGGTCATGCTTTTATCTTAATTTTTCTTTTTTACTTCATCGTAAACCTCTGCTCTGTATAACATATAAGCATTTTAGGGCTTTTTTGGCATATGTTACATGGCTTCATCTGGAATATAATCCATGAATTTTAAATTTAAATATATGTAATAAATAGCGCCGGTTCAAGATTTATTGTCTAATAATTAATGAGTTCGGAATTTATATAAATTTTAAATAATACAAAAATGCTAAATCAACTAAAAAGAGAGGTCAAAAACTTAATCAACTGAAAAGAGAGGTCAGATAATAGCATTATCTAAAATGTTGAAGTCAATTAATTTAAATATATTATAAATCTTCTCTCTCTCTAAATTATATTGATTGTATTAACACAATTAAATAATCAAACTATTGATAGGAAATGGTTCTCTATTTTTTAGATCCATTTCTATTACCCAAGATATAGATATGTTAACTAATTGATGTCTCTAATTTTAATTTGATTGAAAGTAGCTAATAAATTTATGTGAAATTTACTTGTTCCATCACAGAACGACCATCCCCATGACCTGGCTAGAGTAAATGCACAGATAATGGCCTCGAAAATGGAGACCTCCTTATACATCGCCAAACCGCCAAGACGTACAACTCGATGGAGGGTGGTAAAAATACTATCTGTATATCTCATAACCTTAGTTGGGAGATTAGCTATAATTTTATTTTGTAAGAAGTCATCTTTGATATTATTAGAGTAGAAGGTTTCTTTCTTTGGTATTTGCAACCTATATATATATTTAAATGATATTACTCCTATTATTATAACTTAAAATCATTATTCTATAGAGTAAACATGCTCAGGTTGTATCCAGTTCCAAATACAAGTTGAGTAGTTTAACCATATACACAATAACCCATACATGCTATTTATTCTGCTTATTATTTAAAATCACTCAAAGTTACTTACTTAAAAACTGTAGTTTATTTCTTAAATATTATAAATGCTGAAGCTCTACATGAATCTGTGCCATCTACAGCTCGAAAGGCAACAATATATTTTGATTATTGATTCTCTGCTTATAAAGTCTATTAATTATCTAGTATATATAGAATTTGACAATATTATGTTTTAAGGAATGACTCATTCAACTATTGAATGGCCTTCTTAAGACCTGTTAGTGAATATACGAATTTAGATATAATTCTCATTTATTCAACTAGGTATTTAACTAATTAAGTGAAATCCCCCGACGCTTCATTGTGTTTTAATTGTTCTGCTTCAATGAACTTATTAAATGATTATGTATTTTCTGGTATATTCGAATAAAAGTCGTCTGTAAATTTTTCTAATTTCAATCTAATTTAAGCCTAATGATCATAACGACCACAATCGTAGATTACAATATCAGTGTGTTATTCCTATTTCAAAACCTTTAATATTTATTTCATGCCTCTTATTATTTTGCCAAATGCCACTCTCTTATAATCAAAGAAGGGCATGGCCGCTAAAGTAATATAAAATTAAGAATGGTTTGTATGCTAAAATCCATCATTCGCAAATCCTATGATACCTTCACAATCATGTTTCAAAGCATAAGATTCATCCTCAAAATATCCTCCATATATGGATACCTTTTTGTCAAACTAACCTCCTTGAAGAAACCCTATAATTTAAATTAAGTTACAACCATTAGGCTTGTATTTAGTGAATTTACTCTTTTTGTAAGAATAAAACTTTCCTTCAATATTAACACCTTCACAGAATTTGGTGAAATTCTCACAAGCTTTGGGGGCAAACTCATTAAATAATTCAATTATAACTGGATAGAGTTAGTCATCAATTGACAACATCATTTATACATAAGCTAAAATTGATTAACATACTTTTACTATTCTTTTTAGAATTAAAAAATCTTAATTGGGATTCATAAGCTTAACTAATCATCGACTGAGTAAATTTAATTTTACGACTTGCATGCACAGTAGGCGTTCCATTCTAAATTAATAACAATGGCCTATTAATCTCTATTTTATAAACCTTTTAACTGTTTTAGACATGAATGAGTCATCCATAGTAAACGGTTCTTAGTTACAAAGTGGTTGTAATTTCTTAATTTAAATTCTCAATGAAGCATCCCTTTTTAGCAGTTTCACTTGATGATCATATTCAGACTGAATTCATTATAAATGAGTTACCTCATGCATTTCTTGGATCTCATAAGTCTTTTTTCGTTCAGTCAATTGCAAATTTTTGAAGTGTAATAAATCTGGATTACCTGTTACGCTCATCACTTTAATTTTACTCATTTTTAATTTTATGTAATAAATCAAGATGATTAAACTACTTCAGAAACCTCATGATAAATTATACAATAGAAATTGGAGAAAAGTCATCATTCGAAAACCTTATAATACTTAATTCACATAACAATTCTCATAACTTAAACTTGATAAAAAATTTAAAATAAGGAATTTTCCGTATATTAATCAATTTTTTATATATTATAAATACCTGACTTACCTTTATCGATAAAATAATTTATGGGTATTTAGGTAAATCATATTATTGGATTACTATTTTTGTATTTCATTGAAATCAAAATCGAAATTAAGAGATTAGAAATTGAAAGATTTATCAATTTAAATGAAACTTAGTAAGTTTACTAAGTTTGATATTCAACTAATTGTACTTGAGAAATTATCAGAAATTTTGAATTAACAGTTTTTACACCACCTTTCAAAATTGAACTAAAAGCTTAATTACCCAAAAATGATAGAGTTGAATACAAGTTAGGTTGCAAATCTGGTTGCGTGTCAAAAAATTTAATATAGGATTAAATGATTGTAAATACAATGATTTAATCAATAATTCCCTCTTAAGTTTTTTTTGGTAGAGCACTTTTATGCATATTTATATAGCATCAAAAGATCCTAAGATATTAGAGATATAATGGTATTTACTTTTTGAAATTTAGGTTACATCTCCACCAATACAGACGTGAAGAGAAAGTTGAAAAGTGAAGATTCTGATTTAATTAATTTATTCTTAATTATTGTAATAATTTAATATTTATTTATTTTTTGATATAAAACTAACGAAATTCAATTTGTTTTCAGCATCCCATCTTCTAAGTATGTTTCCTTTATTGATTCATCTACGTCATCAATTAATCTTTTTTGAAAGGTTTCTTTGGTTAAAATAGCTCCAATTATTCCAGAAATTGAACAAATACCCAAAAAGGCTACTTGATTCATTTCGAAATAGCTTGCTAAAGCAATCATATATGAGGATGAAAATGAACCTAAGATTCCAAGAGTAAATAGAAATCCAGAGCCTGTGCCACGTATTGAAGTTGGATAAATTTCAAGAGTATGCTATCGTTAAAGACCAAATCCGAAACTGTTAAAGAATCGTATCAAACAACACTAAATAATAATATTACATTACTAGTAAAATAACAATTATTTCTTCAATACAACCCTGGCATTCAAGTTTATATTAAGAAATTCCATAGGATAAAAATGCTAAGCATCCTAGAATTTAAATCGAAAAGAATAATATTTGATTATATTTTCTTTATAATTTAGGTATCAAGTAAGTAATTAAAGAGTAACCAATTAATTCACTAATTCCAAGAAGAATTCCTATTTTGTATATCATATTTCCAATTGAAATATCTTGCAGCACAAACTATCCACCATAATAAATTAAGTGCAAAGCAAAAGAAATTAGGATAAATCCAACTGAAGAGGACGCAAACTGTCTAAGCTTAAATAAATCAAAAATTGAATAAGTAGTTCGAAGACTATTCATTTAAGAATGTTCTAATGCTTGTTCATCAAATTCCTTGCCGTTTACATTTGCTATGTAACGAAAAACATTAAGTGCCTGTTGATACTTTAAAATAAATTTACTTTATCATAATCTTTCATCTAATACAAATATCTTGGACTTTCTTGAACTGAAAAGCATGTTAAGATTAGAGAGATGAGGCCTGGAATAACTATAAAAAGTAATTGAATGGTTCTCCAATTTGTTATGGCGAAAAATGAAATAGCCATTAGAATCTCCCCTAAACACCAAAAGACTAAAGTTCCTGTTGAATATATTTGTTTGATTTCGTAGCCACTTATTTCATTAATCATGACTGGAATCATGATGTAGACTCCAACCTAAAAGAACCCAAATATGAAAGTAAATATTATCAGTTGTAAAATGGTTGCACTAAAATAGATTCCAATGAATCCAATATTAGTAAAAACTAGAGAAAACAATAGTGTTTTATATCTTCCCCAATAGTCCTAATAGATTACACATCATTATATTACAGAAATCTGGCTGAGGATTGCGCCTCCAATCACTGATCCTAAAAAGTTGATTGTACTTGTAATCATGATGTATTTTTTATTGTCACAAAATAAATTGAACTCGGTTACTATATTCTTATACTTAAAATCAGGATCAATTTAATAGTTTTTGTCTGAGCAAGTTTTTTAATCCTCAACACAAACCTTGAGAATAAGATTTAACATTACTTAACCATTACAATATAATTGTGGAACAATATAATTATAGGTTGGACTCATAATTTAGGCAGATAAGATAAAAGTTAAAAGTGACGAAATTAAGAATAATCGGATTTAATACCAACCATTGTTTCCACATTTTTCAAGTGCTTCCTCAAATTGCATTTTCAAGTATAAAATCAAAGTATGAAATGATAATTATTAATAATAAAACGATAAACTTAAGAAACTCAACTTCTTTAAGGGTTACGTAATCAACAGAAACTGTCTACACCTGTAAATCTTCTTAATTGTCCTTATTCTGTTTGAAAATGAAAAATTCTAATAAAATAAAAGAAACTCAGAAGCTACGAATAAATGAGTAAGGGGTTCATGTTGGTTTCTACCCAATTCCTTAGTTTATGTATTAAATTCAAACACATAAATTTCTCCCTCTTTATATTTATAGCGTAATTATATAAAATAAGTGAAAATACTCTAATATTTATATTAATGAGCTCATAAAATCGAACAGTCAAATAGATCGGTCAATATCAATATAATGAAAGACATTGCTTGGGTGAAGGAGCTTACGGGAAAGTTTATTAGGGGATGGATATAAAGACTAATGAAATCGTTGGAATCAAGAAAATGGATTTGGTGTTATTTGAGAGGGATACATATTTGAGGAATTAGATTGTTAGTGAAATAGAGATTTTAAAAAAGTTTAATCATCCCAACATAGTCAGGTTTATAGATCTGATTACTACTCAAAGATCTCTATATATAATTACTGAATTTTGCAAGGATGGGGATTTGAAGGAATTTCTTCAAAAAAGAAGGTTGACTGAAAAAGAAGTAAAATAACTCATCTATTTTAAATAGGCTCAAGGCATAATGTTATAAATAGTAAATGGATTTAAAGAGCTGGTTAAATAGGGAGTTATTCATAGAGATCTCAAACCAGCTAATATATTAAATCATGAAGGCATTGTTAAAATAGCAGGTAATTGAGTATTCAATAAAGTTAGACTTCGGATTTGCCAAGTACGTAGATAATTATACATCATAATTGTTAAGATCGTGTGTTGGTTCACCTTTATATATGGCACCTTAAATTTTGCAAAGGAAGACTTATTCAACAAAGTGCGACATTTGGTCTATAGGTGTTATATTTTATGAGATGGTATTTCACGATGTTCCTTGGAAGGGGAGAGATGAGTAGGATTTACTTAAGAATATTCTGATTAAGCCTTTAGTTTTCAAAGGTAATCAAGCAATCACGGATTTCACTAGAGATTTTCTTACGAAGGCTTTGATTGTAGAGGAATCTGAAAGGATTTCGTGGGATCAAGTCTTTCAGATGTTTGAAAGTATGGAAAAGGGATTGGTTTCAAATAATCCCACTTTGTAAAAGTTGTACAATGATTAAAATCTAAGTTGGATGCAAAAACAGTAATAAAAAATGACAGGAGATCAACTAGTTAAGTAATTGTTGTTTTTGTAGCAAATGAAATAGAACATAGCATTTAGACATTTTGTTAATTTAGAGTTTTATTAAAAATTGGATTAATTGAAGTTGCTATTTAGAAGAGATTCATCATTAGAAGAATGCATAGTCATTCTAGCAAGGCTCATTTTAGCATATAGCAATTTATTAATCTAATTGATCGAAGAAACCTGTGATTCTGGAGAAGATATTCTAATGAAGGGAACTAAGTGGAACATCTTGAACTTCATTAAAAATGAATAGGAATATTATAAAATATTCTTTACAAATTGTAAGGAACAATTTTTTAAAGAAATCCAATATGAAGTGGAATTATCGGATTCTGATCGAAATAAATTAGAAGACAGCTTCACTACTAAAATCATTAAATTGATTGGGGATAATTTGGATGATCTCAAAAAGAAGGCATCTGATGGAATATAGTATTAAAAATTAATAAATCTCTAGTTAAGATAGTTTAGTTGCCATAGAACTATTGTTGGATTAATAAATTACTCATAAAAATATTGTTAAAACAACTGATCTCGATTTTCAAATGCTTTTGGTAGAAAAACAATCAAGAGAGGATTGGAGAAGAATATTAGATCGCATAACAAATAAATGGAGATAACTTTAAAAATTATGATAATCCAATTAAATTATGATATTTTATTGTCTAATTTCATTCATCTCATCTAGATCATATTGAAATTTACTCCGTTTTTCTTTCTAATTTATAATTCATCTAATTATAATATTATTATAATATTATTAATTTTTTTATTTTTGTATTTATCATAATATTCAAATAATTTGTGATATCAATAGAATACTGATGGCGTATAGATGGGAATAACTATTGGACTCAGCGTTTGAACATTTTTTATTGTTTGGCCATTCTACATTATCAACATAAAAATTATTCTCAGGATTCGGTTTAGAGTTTAGCCAATTATTTATCGCTACTTATATAGTGTTCCCTGATTCTCCAGGAACTTACCAATCTGAAGAATCATAATAATCTTTTAATAAAAAGCAATGTTCCAAACAACTTGGAGCAAACGCACCAGTTTCAGGATGATCCCTCTTTCTTTAACTCAATACCTCATAGTTTTGTTTGTATAAGTCTTATGCGAAATCCAATTCCTCTTGAGAACAATTACTTAATGAATAGTTCTTTGCACAATTTATTTTAAATCTCGCAGTGAGACTGTAATAATCGTACATAGATTAGATAATGAATAAAGGGGTTTGAATAAACTCAAATATATATTGAGCATAATAACATTTCCAAACTTCGTTCTTATACTTTTAAACACATTATTTATTAGGATGAGTAACCTCGATATTCACTAAATCTATTAATAAATTAAGGGATTCTGTTGGATAATCTGTTCCATCTATAGCTGGCAAGTTTAAAGCCATTCCTGAATCTGGAACTCCATAGACATCAACATCTGATGGCAATAATGCTCGGATATGTTCAACCCAAAAATAAGCGGCATTCCCACCAGCAGAACACCCAGCTACGATAACTGTTGCAGCCTTAGAAAGCTCTGGTAAGAGGTCAGATAAAAATGATTTGACTATTGCATCACCTCGGAAATACAATTTGGTTCCTAAAAATTCAACAGGCTCTGTTTTATATCCTTAATGTACTTAAAAATATTTAAAAAATTTACAAGATCCATCACAATAATTAAAGAAAATCAGGTTCCAATTGTAATAATATGGGTTCTATTTTTCAGTTCTAGCATACATTCCCTCAAAGACCGTGGTTTTGCTCAGATTTTTGGAGCTTCCCAACTTTGTTTTGGATCTTTAAATAATTTCAATATATAACCTCAAGTAGGCAGATTTAATCATGTCATCATAAGTTGCTCCTTCTATCCTTCTAAAATGTTTATTAAAATATACATACGCTCCGCCTTAGAAATGTAGAATATAGCTCTTTACCCCTGTTCCATAACCTTCTGCTTTATAAAAGGACTAATTGTATGAAAATAATACTGCTGGCGATCCATCTAGACAGAGAGCTTTTGGATCAGATGTATAGTGTAACTCGAAAGCACAAATGCAAGCTATAATGTAAAAACAAAATAATTTCATTGTTGAATTTATGTATCACAAAAATTTCCATATTAATCCATCAAATTAACATATAGAATAAAATTCTATATTTTCTATTCAACTTCGTTAAATTAAAACATAGAATTCAATTCTATATATTTCTATTCGATATCACAGTTTTTTCATTGTTTCCAATCGACATTTATCATTTTTTAAATTTCAACTTAAGTTAAGGTTAAGTTTTTATAAACCAATTTGTAATTCTGAATTGTCTTTATATCTCACTAAATTCTTTTATAGTTTTTTGCTTAGCCTTTTACATCTTTACTATAGTATGTCCTGATTCAGTTCTACAAACAAAAATAAATTATTTTCTCCCTTTATTGTATATATTTGATAAATCTCTCTTAGAAAATCCTTCAATGGCTCTACACGGATTAAATTTTTCTTTTTACCATACACGTATAAATTTCTATTTTTCTTTGTGATAATTGTAATCCAATAGATTTTCAAAGTTTTCAAATGGATCCTTCAAATTAATATGATTCTATAAATGCAACTATTTAAAATCAATCCAAATATACTTATTTTCAGCTTGATCTAATAATAGTATTAAGTTATCTTTTTAATAAATGTGTCCTATTATTTCGTGAGCGCTTATTATCAATTTTTTGCCTGCTTCTCAATGCTCTGTTTAAATTCTATACAAATTTATATATATTAGTTTATTTTAAAACAATTTAATAAATTTTAAGTTAAAATTTATATTATGTAAGAGTATCATTTATATAGGTGAAATGAATCTGTAACTTTTAAAAATTTAGTTATTTAGAAATTGTCCTTGATACATAATGCATATAAGAAATATACAATATAAAATTATTATTGAAGTAATTAAATAGCAACATTGAAGTGGCTATGTTAGTCTATAAATAGAAATTTTCAATTTAATTTTTTGTGTTTAGATTGTTTCTTTCTTTGCTCTTAACCATTTTGATGGTCCTCCTTGATGTAGCGCAATCTTTTATAATATCTATTTTTTATCATATTCATCGTTTTTCCAGGAAAAGATTTTACTATTTTATTAAAGTTGGGTCCTACTTGCTACACTAATTCTAAGATTCGTTTATCCTCTTGATATGTGAATCTAAATTGCATTAGTTTATTAGGGTCATTAAATACCTTTAATCATTAATCCTTTTTTAGGCAATTTATTATTTAAATTGAAAGTCCTCGCCAGATTATTAATTTTAGATTAATGAGTTGATTAAGTGTTCTAATGATTCATCATTTTATCCAAATTAGGATTATCTAATAATATAAAATATTTTCTTATACTATTCTGATTGATCATTCCTCTCACCAATCGTTGGCTATTTGATGAATATTTCATCATCCATTATTTTTTATATTTTATTTTATAAGATTCTACAATAAATTGATCATTATATAATTCAAATAATTTCTCATTATAAATGTAGAAGAAAATCACAATCAAATTATTAATATTTTTATTTATATAAAATTTAGAATTTAATATTAAATAATAAAGAGCAAACTTAGATGTCCATTCAAATTATTAATCTAAGTTCAATTCAATTCCAAATTTATAACTTTTACAGCTGAAACCTTTAAGCATATTTAGTAAACATTCCAATTTCTTGATTTTTCACCTCCTCAACCCTCTATCTTGAAGCTAAATTGATTTTGTTATTATTCTTGTAGAAGGAATTTCGAAATCCAATATGCTTGTCGAATTAACCCACATGAACAGGTGATTTGTGAACAGTCTATTATCTCTGCCTTGTCTTTATTAATGGTTTCAATTAAGTTTTTTATAAAGTTGGCGAGATTTGCTTCGGTTAGTCAGGTATTTATTTATCTGAATCTAAATCTTCGTCAGTCTCATTAATTTGAAATGGATTAGTTCCTTCCATTTCTCCATAAAGTAATGGCACCCTTTTGAAATTACATCCATATATTTAATCAAGGGTTATTCTGTCTGAATCTATCATGAGGAAATTTCTAATAAATCCAATATTAAATATATAAAATTAAAATAGTTAAAGTAAATAAAGTGAAAAACATATCAATTTTCAAAAAAATAATCTATAAATCAATTACGTCTAGTGCAACCAAAATTTTAGAATAGAGTCTAAAAGAACCCTCCTTCTTTTTTTCCAGAATTATCTGTTCTTCTGGTTATTCTATTTTAAATTGGAGGTTGCATTTCATCAGAATACATAGAGAAAGCTATGGAATTGCATTCCTTCATAAAATTTGATCCTGACAACCTTGTAGTTGTCGTATTTCTATTTGAAAACTTGGTATCCAGCCTCAAACTGCTACTTAATTAGTCCAAATTCTTTTTCTCCTCGAATATATACTCTTTGATATCCAGATTATACTCTTTGGCCATCCTCAACATCCAAGGATGTGAAAATACTTAATCCATAGTGAGTCTTTGTTTTGAGTCTCTTTTAATCAATCCCAAAATGAGATCCTTCGCCTAATGTTAATAGAAAGCATAAGTTACTTGATCACTAGCAACAATCTCAAAATTTTCTTATTTTAAAATGTTTTAGCATTTTTCAAAATCATTTCGACCTTTAAAAGGAGCAGCCCCATGTATCAATTCATACAATAGTACACCCAAACACCACATATCCAATGATTAATCGTGAGGTTTATCCTCTAACATCTCAGGAGTCATGTAATCAATGGTACCACAAAACGTATTTCTAGTTTGTGTAATCATCATTTCAGCTGACCAACCAAAATCACAAATTTTGATATTGCCATCCTTATCAAGCAAAAGATTTTCAGGTTTTAAATCTCGATGTATGATCTATTTCTTATGCAAATAATCTATTCCCAAACAGGTTTAAAAAAAATAAACAAAACATTCATTTTCAGTTAAGATTTTCCTTTTCCTCAAGTAACCAAATAATGATCCATTCTCTAAATTAAGAATCATTAGAATACCTGCATATTCTAAGATTAAATAAACATTTTAATCATCTTCAAAAAATTCAAATAATTAAATAACATGAGGATGCTAAAGCTTTTTCTATATTCTAATTTCTCTCTTTAAGTTTTCAATAGAGACACCTTGTTTCTCGATCTACTTTACTTTAAAAATTACAATCTTCATTGCATACAACAAACCTGTTTGTCTATCACGTGCTAATTTTACGCAGCCAAAACTCCCTCTCCCCAAAGAGCCTTAATTAACAATTTCGAATTCAGAAACATTTCTTTTGGGAAGCGATTATTTGCAATCGAACTTATGAGAAATAGCCCTCTTAATTAGGATTTATACAATTACCAATCGTAGTCCCTGCATTTTTTAGAACAGTATGTTATCTTTTAACAAAGAGGACAAGTCAAAAATCCTTCATCCTAACAGGACTTGCACTTAGACATCATTTTAATAAATTTATTATATAATTAATTTAACACATTCCTTAATTTTGATGAGTCAGAAAATAAAGTTTATTATTTAATTGATTTTTCATTATGAGTTGTATTAGAACAAATTAACAATTATTTGACCTAAAACTTGCAATTTATTAAGATTGATTATAAAAATTTAAAAAATAGATTTACTTCTCTCAAAATAATAATATAAATAATGGCTTAAATTTTAAATGATACCAAAAGCTTCACCCATTTTACAGAAATTAACAAAAATGAGTACTCCTTTAAAATCCTTGAAAATAGTAAAATATATAACATATACCTAGATATGCTGTATCAAGGATAATTATCCGATAATACGCTGTAGAATGGATATGGAAAAGCAATTTTTCCTAATGGTATCGTTTCATCATTAATACAGGCGATATATATGAAGGAAATTGGAACAATAATTAGATAGATGGCTATGGAAAGTACACAACTATTGATGACTAAATCTACGAAGGATTTTGGGAATAAAATTAGTTTAAGGTAACAGGGATGAAAATTACTCTTCCCACATTTGACTAATAAATGATGACATCAAAGATTGAACAAGAAATATATATAAAATACAAAGAAACAGGTACAATCAATTTTGATGATGGTAAGATTTTAACTCTATTTAGGTTCCTCATATAGAGGTGAATTATTAGACAATGTGTAAGAGGGTTGGGGGGTTTGGGTTGATTAAAACGGTATGAATTTATAAATTATAACAAGGCCAAAAGTATGAAGGACAATGGAAGAATGGGAAGTAAAATGGATATGGTATCAAGTATTTTTTTAATGGGGATGTCTATATTGGACATTGGAAGAACGATGAAGCAACTGGTTATGGAGAGTATTAATACTTTGACGGATCATTTTATAAGGGGTATTGGCTAAATAGTTTTAAACATTATTTTGGGATAGAGAAATGGAAAGAGGTAGCTGAATACATTGGAGAATATAAAAACGGATTAAAGGATGGGAAAGGAATGTTGAAATTTATTGATGGTTCATATTATGAAGGACAATTTGTTAACGATAAAATTCAAGGTTATGGAGAGTATCGATGGGCTGATGGTCGTACATATATTGGAGGATTGTAGAATAACAAATTGTAAGGAAATGGAAAAACTACTTGGTTTGATGGGAGAACTTATGAAGGGTCATATTAATAAGATTTGAAATAAGGGTTTGGGCTTTTTTGTTGGCAAGATGGTAGCAAATTTATCGGAAATTGGATGTTTGGAAAATAACATGGTGTTGGAATTATGAGGGGGTAGAATGCAGAATATTAATTTGGAGAATGGTTTGAAGGAAAGAGGAGAAGATGGTTAAATTAAATATAGGATTCAGATTTAATAGAAGCATTTAAATTCAATCATTAACTGTATTAATTCTCTAACTAAATAGAATTTATAGTGAAAATGTTAAATAGATTTCGAAAGATATAACAGAGGAATCCCCTTTGAAAGCATGTGATAGCGCATTTTCTTTACCATTAAATAGCGATAAATAGCTTGTTAGTAGATTTAATCTAACTTTAATTTAAAAGAATGGTTAAATTTATGTTGGAGAAACATAAAGAGAAGAAAGATCTGGAAAAGGTAAATTATTTGCTTCAGATGGATCTATTTATGATGGGTATTGGTAGAATGGCGAGAGACATGGATATGGTAAACAAGTCTATGTAAATGGGGACATTTATGAAGGACATTGGATTTGTGATAAACAAAATGGAATAGGGCGAATGATTTATTCAGATGGAAGCATTCTAGAAGGGTTTTGGAGCGGTTTAAATTTGGATGGATATGGAAAATAAATACTGTCTAATGGAAGTTACTATGAAGGGTATTTTTAAAATTGCTTAAGACATGGAAAAGGAAAATTACTATTTTAGGATGGCTCATATTATGAAGGTTAATTTGAATCAGATGAAATTATTGGTAAAGGGACATACACTTGGAATGATGGTACTTAGTATATAGGATATATGAGAAATGGATAGAAACATGGACAAGGCACATTTATTAATTGTGATGGAGATTGTCATATTGGAGAGTAAACAATTAATAATATAATCTCTTAGATTTTACAAAGACTATTGCCATGGACAAGGGACTTTCAAGTATAGTGATGGCAAAATCTATGTTGGATCTTGGTTTCATGGTATGAAACATGGATTTGGTCTGCTGAAATATCCAAATGGACAATCCTAGAAATTGTAGTATTTTTTGGGGGAATTAAAAAACTGATTATTCTCTTTTTCTTATTGAATTGATTTTTATAGAGTTAATAGATATAGAAATATGTCTTATTTTATTCTTTTCAACCTTCATTTTTATTGATTATTATATACCATTTATTATTAATAAAAAAATTAAATCATATTTGAAAAGATTATGTTTTGTTATTTCCCTTAAATGTATTTTCTATTTTTCGATGAGTGTTTCAATAATCATCAAGGTGAGCATAAAATATTGATTATCTATATTAAGAAAAATAAATATGAGATGTTTCTAAATATAGGTATAATTTAGAGAATTTTAAGCTTATAAAAAAAGTACTTCTTGAATAATTCAGCGAAGTGTTTTTTATATAATTTCAAAAATATGAGTGTCTCCTCTTGGGGAATAAATACAAAATAAGTTATCAAATCATCTTTTAAGTGTCATTAACACATTCTCCTCCGATTTTAGTTATTATTTGATGGACCGATTTTTGATTTTCCCTCAGTTTAAACTTACAACTTTTGGTTGACAATATTTATCTCTTCTCTAGAATAACTCTTTTTCTATAAGCAATAACAATTGTCTTGGCCACTGCATATTTAATCTCAAGGTTATTTGAAGCCTTAAATTAACCATTACATTACTTCCTTGATTTTCTAGCCTTACTTAAAAACTAAGAAGATCAAAGCTTCTCTTTAACTCTTCTGAACTATCTTATAATCTCTTTTTTAGGCTGGCATTAAATTTAGATATAAATTTTAATAATAAGCATTCATTAATCTTAGATTTTCATCCTTAAGAAAAATACCATATTATTAATTAAAATCATCATAATTATATCGTATTATCGTATTTAAGTCCTCAGAACACATGATTTGAAATTATATAAATACTATAAAGTTTTCGTCGTTATTGATAGTAAAATTTAGAAATATTTTATCATTATATTAACATTGATTAATAATATGGATAATTAAAAATGCCAGTGCAAAAATCATTTCACATAATTGGTCACTAATCAAGTCTAGAATCTTATTAGTGAGTTTTATCATGGTTGCATTTACCTGAATTTAAGTGACTAATATGAAATTTTTATATGAACTAAATTATTTAAGAATGGATGATTTATAGCTTATAAAATTGATATTTTAGAAAAAAAGAAATTTCAGTATGCAACAACATCAACAATTTAAACTCTATTTGAATTCGATTCAATAACTTTAACTACTTATTCAACTGGCTAATTATGATACGTATTATTACTTTTCGACAAATTAAACATTCTTATTTTTCTGCAAACCATTCAGTTGCACACTTTATGCATAAACCACCATGACCACAGGGCATATAAACAGCGCAACTTTCATTTTAATAACAATTAAAACAATTCTAATCATTCTCAGCTTTCAACTCTGTTAAGGAATTCTGATTACTTTGCTTAGGCTACTCTACATCTGTCTTATTTCTCTTTGCTTGTTTAACGTCTGATAATGAGGACATCTATTTTTAAGACTCATAATTTTATCCAATCAAATAAGGTTGAAAGTATGTTTATGATAGTTTTATCTTATATTACTAACTTTAATACTAAGAATTATGGCAATTTTATGTTAATCTTATTTTTATCTCTTGTAAAAATGCTTATCCTCTTTGAACTAGGAGAACTAAACTAATTGCCTTCATTTTATTCCTCATCCATTATTTTATTTTTAAAGTTCATCAAGAATTAACTAGTATTAAATATGATTTATACTTCAAGGTACTTCTAAAATAGCAAGTATATCCTGCAATAACTAGACTATACACAATGCATATTGTAATTGGTATCGAATTAAAGGGATTTCTTTTTGTGCTCAACTTTATAGAACAACTAACGATAGTAAATGTTAATAATCCAGAAATAGAGAGAATTAATAAATTTATCCACAAAGTACTTATGACTATTTGAATATTCAATTGATCTACCTTCTTAATTTAAAGCTTATTTGCTCAGTAAATTTTTTTCTTGTATAGAATGCATTAGTTTCACAATTAAATCAGTTAAGAAGATGAATTGAAGAACAATTGAAAGAATGAGAAATACCCAAAAGATAGAAAATATGTATATCCAATCCCATTTAAGCCAATTAATTTGACGAAAATTTATCAACATTAATTGGGTTGTCAAAAGTAATTTACAAAATACATTAAACTACAATATTGCTATTAATTTACAAGGGAAATGACATTTGTCTCGTTTTTGTTTTGCTTGTGAGCATGTAATAGAAACACCATCCATGACAAAGTAAAGACAAAATACATTATCATGGGGTATTGAATAGGGAAAGTGGAGTGATCGATGAAGTACAAAAAGCAACCCTAAGGTAATTTGAACAATTACATAATAGGATATGGATAAGATTCCCCAAAACAATTCAAGACAACAATTATGATCGTTCAAGATTTGACTTATTTATATAAACTGTGATACTTGTAATTATTAATCGCCAGTCTTACTACCTAAAGAAAATGTAAAATTGTAACATAAGCTAGTGACATCTTATAACTTAGATCAAACACTATGTAAGAATTAAATAGTATTAACAATATTAAATAAATAGTCACCAATATTTTTATCTAGAGCCTAAATATGCAAAAATACTTCTGTGAATATTGAAGCAGTTATTTTATTCTCATTAATTTATCGTTCCTAGTGTTAAGGCAACTCTTCAAAATCAAAATTACTCTCCCTTGGTGATTAAGGTTAAGATTATAATTAATTCATTTATTCTATAAAAATTATCAACTTGTTATGCAAGCTTAAATTAAATATAAATAAAAAGTAAGAACTTAATAAGCATTGATTTTAGCCATCTTTTATCATTTGGATCAAAAAAGTCAGGCTTGTCAAACTACAATTTCTGAGACTCAATTATTATTAACAAAGTTCATTTCACATTGAGATTAGCTTGCATCTTGTATGTAAACATTCTTATTTATGTATACACATATTTAATATTAGTTTAGTTTAGAGAATTAATTTGAGTGAGAAATAAAATTTATAAACTTAGATAAATAAGTAAATAATGGCAGAGCCAAGACCGTACTATATTCCTTCTTGTATTGAATATTATCTAGTTAGCAACTTCATCCAAGTCTAATACTAAACGATAGAATAATACTCAATAGCAATCTAATTATGAAGCACTGCTTTCTCATTTTAGCCAAACTAAGAGCAATTCTAATAAAATTACAAAAGCTTAGACATCGATTATTTAATATGACAAATATTATGTTCAACAATTGCAATAATAAATAACAGATTTAAAAGAGCAAGTGAATTTTTTGGCTTTAGAAAATCAGAGATTGAAGTAGAGCCAAGACAAATCATTAAAAGTATTAAAATGCTAAGCTTTTAGAGGATAAAAGAGCAATATCATCAACTAACTAAATTTAGCAATATCGTATAATTAGTTTAGCAATTGAAAATAGAAAATCTAGCTCTCAAATAAAATGTTTAATCTCTTAAGTTAGATTTTAATATTCAAATGCATCCGTTAAGGCAATTGTATAATCACATCCTTCAAATACCAAAGTAATAAATCAATGACATTATGTAATTGAGGTTAGAATAGCAAGAAAGTATTCATATATTAAATTAAAGCTTTAATATCTCAACAGAAATGCAAGGTTGAGGTTCTCAATTTAGAACGCACTCAACTTTTAGAATTATGTTCGAAACAAGAAGGAGAATTTATTTCATATTTGGAAAACAAAATTCACACATGAGCTATGCACTGTTATTGTGATATTTTTATATCCTTTATCTTATCATTTAATATTTAATATATAAGAAATGAATTCGGGTGATATTTTCGGAATATGTTTTGCTTGCTTATTCGTGTTACTTTACGTGGCCATTTTGGTTTACCTTCATTGCTTTGGAAAGATTTACAGACTAACTTTTCCAAGTCCTACTCCAATGTATACTGAAAAATTTTTTGGAGAAAAGCTTAAATATGCGAATGTGTACAATTCATAGGGTATTTTAATAACTGAGCTCAATTGTAGTTAATTTAAAGAGTGACTAGTTGTTAAACTCCTATGATTTGCAGAGGTTGAGAGCCATACCTTATGTCTACTTAAAGAACAAATATTCAGAAACAAGTAATTATTTACTTTATTTTCATGGAAACGCTGAGGACATGTAAGCAACATATTTTTTTATGAATAGGTAGGCTGCATCTCAGTTTATGGAGTAATTGATGAAAACGATCAATGCAAATATCTTTGTTGTTGAATATCCAGGATATGGAGTTTATGGAATGTAAAAGAATATGAATAGCAATATGATTGAAGAGGATGCACTGATATTGTATGATCATATAAAAAAGACTCATAAATTGCTGGATAATCAAATTTATGTTTTTGGAAGGTATAAAGTAATGATGAAATTTAGATCAATAGGAACTGGCCCTGCATTTTATGTAGCCAGTGTCAGGAATACCAAGGGTTTGATAGTGATGTCGAGCTACAAGTCCTTTAAAGCAATAGTATAAGATTTTTGTTGTGGATTTGGCATCGTCATTGCTTTTTTATTCTGTCTACCAGATTTCTTCAACAATCAGGAGAGATCCTAACAAGTCAAATGCCCAATAGTTTTCATTCATGGATAACTTGACAAGTTGATTAAGCCAAGCCATTCAAATTCGTTGTACATTAAGTAAAAAATCTAAAAACTTTAGTTTAGTTTGCCCATAATCATACAAAACAAATCTCAACTATTTATAAGGGAGAGAATGAGCCATAATGATTTTGATATTGATACTGATATAGCTATTCCAATCTTAGACATATTTTCAGAACTTAGATATCCAAAATTTTGATTTCCATTTTAATTTGGTTCTAAAATTTGATATCTTAATTATAATAATGACATTTAATTTTATAATTCAAATTGATTAATCTACATCTAATTATTATGAGTATTCTTCCTCTTCGTGATCCTCTTGTTCTTCTTCAATTTCACCATATTACGAATTCGATGGTTAATCATATTCATAACCGACATTAATTATCTACGATTATGTGATTTATTCCTGAATCCATATTTTGACAGTTTTATCATCACTTGCAGTCAACAATTACCCTGTTTAACTATGCCAATCAACATAATTGATAGCTTGATCGTGTCCATCAATGACATTTTATTGCAATTGATTGTTTTTATTGAAGAAGTGTACTTTACCATCTTGACTCCCGACACAAACATAATTATCATTCTTACTTCCAAAGCAACACTTCATTTCTATTCCTTTTACTTAAAATCCAAAGAATACATGTAACTTTTAAAAGGTTTTCAGACTCCACAGATGCAATTTTGACTTTTCCTTTGAGACATTCAAAACTATGAATTGTTAATTTTGACTGACTGCTGATGAAACAATCAATTCTTATTCCTCCAAATGAGTTATTATTTTATTAAATTTAGAATCATTCTCAATAACAGTAATTGAAAATATTGCTGCATTGTGAAGCAACATGTATTAATCAGTCATTAAAATATTCTTCACTACTTTACTTTTTACTTAATTCACCAATTTTCCATTGTCTTACCATATTCCTATCCATCCATCTACACCACCACTAAATAGTTGACTCATTATTATAGATTTAAATACTTTTTAAAATAGGCTAAACACAGCACTTCATTAGTATATTAATTCATTGTTACTTTTAATTAAGCAGTCTACACATCATATCCATTGATTTTTTTATCATTTGATGCTGAAAACAACCTAATCATTTAAATTTATTCAGTTTTACAATTTATCATCTGATGAAAAAACAAGTGAATTTATATCCATATTATGTGCCTTGCTTATTTTACATTGCTATTCCTTTGAAATTATATAAATCGAATTTTTTCTGGTTGCACAACCAATCCACAGACCTGAATTAGAGAACCTACCAATCCATACTTCATCATCAAATCCCTAATAGGTAATCGAATTATTCTTAGGTATTTAATAAGATTAGCAATTATGATCAAGCAACAATGAGTAATTCTTATTCTCATTCGAATCATCATGATAAGGACATCGCTTCATCTAATATTCAAATGATTGATCAATCACTTTATCAAACTGTGTTTTTAATGAAAATTCTCCAAAATTCAATAGGTTTATTGTTTTCTAATATAGTTATAATCTTTATTCCCTTTAATCTATGGGTATCGCTAATTAAGTTTACAATTAAGAGGCATCATCCTTAAGAAATATCATTCTAATCAAATCAAAAGCATTTATACTTAGCTAAAACTTGTGACTCCTGCTCATTACACTCTGACAATTATCTTAGCAAATTGACTGCTTATTCATAATTCCTTTATTGAACTAACTCTAAGTATAATTATTTTTATATTTCATATTATAATTTCTATTTTAAATAATAGAATACTCTATTGATGGTGTCTGAAAATTCCAATTATTACAAAAGCTTCTCGTAGTCTCCATTTAAAAAGGATTCTTTCAACTCGCTCATTTAAGAGGTGTCTAGTTTCGTTTAAGATTCCTCTTCAAGTGTGTTGCAGACATCGTCGTATCCCATTTAATTCAATTCTTATAGAATCATTCTGATTATTTCTTTCAATCTATCAGGAGACCCATCGATATTTATAGATTAAACTTCTTATAAAGCCAAATTATCAAATACTTGCATTTAATAATTGATAAATTTATATTATAATTCAATTATCATTAATCTAAAAATGAAAATAAAAGAATGATTTTTACAGCTCCCTTTGTTTAATCGTTAAGTATATCTAAATTAATAGACAACTATTAGATACTTATACTTATATTCGAATATCTTTATTTATTCAGTCTACACTTTAATTTTTATAGGGTAGAGTTTTATGTATTCAATTATTGGTTTTTGAATTTTCCTTAATTTTTCTCATCAACTAAATTTTTCATTTATATAATCTATCCAAATATATTTAAAATAATAGGATAATTCAATTTATTTGTAAACCATTCTAATTATGTGTTTAGCTAACAAATGTATTATGAATAATGTTTGTTTATTTAATAATTTAATAATTATTTAAATTACATCTTTATGCTATCTAATTATTTCACGATATCGAACCAAACTTACTCAAGTTTTACATTATGGTAATCTATAATGACAATGATTTCAATGTATCAATGTATTGACATAATTATGACTATTGTGAATGCTTTGAACTATGAAATTCAGGGAGAGAAATTAATATTCATTTATAGAATAATTGTAAGCCATTTAACATCTACAGCTTTTAGATTTAAGTCTTTCTAATAATAGCATTTCATATTGTGATGAGCAAATTGGAAAAGGAGAAAACGAGTTAGATTAACATTCTTACCTTTCTGAAATTTGTCCTAATGATGTTGTTATGGACTGAAACAGATTACGATTTTGTATAAGGCAATGAAATGGATTAGAGAAGCTATAGTTTTGAGGTTTATGGGATGATGATCTTTTTCGTTATTGCTATAGAATCCTAGTTTGTTAAAACTATTGCAATCTTATTTTCATTATTATACACATTATTAAGGTAATTTAAATAAAAATAGATAGATAACCAAAATTCAAAAACCCCACTGAAATTATAGGTTCAACTAAAATCATCCTAGGTCACATATTCATTTAGCTATTTTATTTCTATCACTTGTATTCGATGCCAAAAACAAAGATGGAATAAAAATCACTAAATGAATCGCCATTATTATCGCAGAGAGTAGGTCTAACAGTCACCTAAAGAGAAAACACAGATACTTAAAACAAAAAAATTAATTTTCAGGAAGTAGTTGCATAGGAATTAGATAACGAGAAGGCAATATCAAATTAGGAAGAGGTATTTGAAATGTTGCTCACTGGATTTTAATGTGGTATCTACATACTTGAAACTGCAAAACAACCAGTTCGTATAATCAATTCTTTTATGTCTCATATTGTTTTAACTGATGAACAACTTAATAGTGATCTTATGCAATTGGAACTGTATGATTTTGGAATGATGCAAGAGAACCATAATTATACAATTTTACCTTGTTTCCATAGAAGCAAAGACATCAGTCATTTCGTCGCATTCACATCAACATTAGAGTATGCTTATATTCATATTATTGGACCTAGAATATTTGTTTTGAAAATATACCAAGTATAGAGAAGAAAGAAGTTCAATTATTTTATCGAAAGATGCAGATGAAAACATTGATTGAACACTTGTTGGCTTTTTCTCACATCAAATTTGCTTTAATCAAATAAACCTTAGATTTCTCGTTGAAAATTTATTTGAAGAAAGGTAAATTGATTTGTGTATTTTAGATAAATTATACACGCAAGTCATTCTCAATCCAATTGTCCTTGCCAATAAACCACAAATTGCCATCTATATTTAGGATCTGACAGAAGAACCATTTATTTTATAATTACAACAATACATAAGAAATGGTGATGAATTAATCCAAACTATTTCTCAGAAAATAAAAGAACCTCTGAATTGCACTCTATCTATGTTAGAATTAGTCCAAGTATGATATCATAATTCTAAAAAAAGAAAGAAGTCAATCAAGAGTTGTAAACTAAATATATTGATCCTGCTCTGGCTGGATGTAAATTATTAATTAGCACTGCTAGTGACATCTAAGATTATGTTACTTTGCATAAAAATAACAAGTTAGAGAAAAGTCTAATGGACATTCACACCAAGGAATTTATTTCAGATTGTTTGAACATCATTAAATCATAAGCTTTGTTTAGAGGCTTGAGCATACAAGTCAACATTAAACAAAATGTTCCCATCTTCCTAAAAACGGATCCCAATCGTCTAAGATAAATAATACTCAATTTGTTAGGTAATATTTTATTTAACTGACAGTTAAGTCAATTTAATTAACCATTAACGGCTTCATTGAAATAGGATGTCAAAAGTCGCCTTTGTTGGCAGACCACATTGAAATCCTCATTAAAGTTATGGCCTAAAATGTAAATGAAAGCATCCTAGAATCTATTGAATTAACCCTCAAGTATCTAAAATAATAGACTTTACTTAATCCTCAAGTAATTGATTTGGTTGCAACATCCAAATAATTTTGTTTTTCCATCATAACAGCATTTTATATCTCCTTAGCCATAGCAATTATGCCATTTGAATTTAATTTGGTTAAGACAGAAGGATGGTACTCAATTTTATTTTGTGCTCCTAATTAAAAATGAGAACCCTAATTTCAGTCAACAATTAAGTTAAAAACGATAATCTGCTTTAATAGCAAATAAACAGTAATTCCAATAGGTCTTTGGTCAAAATAACTTATATCGAAGACACTAATCACAAAGACTTACAGAAATCAGTAGATTACAGATCCAAAAAAAATTAGAGAAAATCAAAAGAGAATCATAAATCGAGACGACTATAGATATGCGAGAATCCATTTTGCCATAATTTGGCTAATCTGATGCTTCAGATTAGTAATAGCCTAAAAAATCATACTCGGTTTCACAAATTTCAGAATAAGATGACTCTAAAAGTTCTTCTCCTGATTCAAAAAATGAATTTAATGATCATGAACAATTCGAGGTGGAAATCTTTTCGAGTAAATCAAGTCTTTATCTTAATGATAAAATTGAGAACATAGAGAAGTAATAATAGCCATAGCAATTTTTTGATACTATTTTATAATTGAAAGAACCTAAAGCCAGGAAGATCTCAGTTAGTATGATCTAGACTAGGTTGAATCAATAAATATAATAATAATAACTGTCATCGAGTTAGAGGGATTCTCTTTTAACTTTTGGAGGAAGATCTTCAGTTTATTCATCTATGAGGGTTTCTTCTATTAATTTGGGTCCGAATGAATTGTTAGATTGCTTTGAAAAAATGGAGAGAGTCAAAAATCAATAATTTATTTATAAATGTTAGGTAAATTTAGATGATTTATATTAAAGTGTCCAAAGATATTGATTTGTGAACAGAATGACTTTGATTTATACGCAATCTCTCATTAATTGAGTAATTTGAAGATACCTTACGTTTACACCATGTAAAGAGTCCACATAGTTGAATTATTGAGGAAGTAATTCTCCTAGTTCAAGACTTGTTGTAAAGGCTATCACGTAGTATTTATTGGAGTGGAATACGTTAATGAGTAATTAGCTGCTGATTGCACTAAAATCAAGGCAGTTCTGTAAGAGTTCCAGAAGGATACAATAATCATAGGATTGATAGGGTTCTAAGGGGAAGATTTTAGAGCCACTATAAAAAAGCTGCCATTCCATGACTGCTTGTCTAAGCCAATCATGATTGATGCTTTACTATTTATTATAGCCAAATGGGTAAGATTGTGAAGACTTATCTATTTTCATTATTGATAACTAATTATTCTGCAATATTTCAGGGTCTGAAATATATAATTTTATTCTTGTTTTCAAAAGGATAAAAGAGTTAATTTGTAATTTATATTAAACATATATTTATAAATACAAAATTATGAAGGCTGCAATTGAGAAAGTTAAAGGCAATTTATCATCTCATAGAATGACCATAAAAGATATAGTTTAAGAAGTTCTCAAGAAATCTGATGCAGACTTCTAGGATGATGAAGATCTCAAAGTAAGTTATGGATGTATTTAACCTCATAGAACATTGTGGCATTGCTGTAGAAAGATCCAAATTAAAGATCCCAATTGGATGTGGATAAAATTAGATTGTCATTTTTTAGATTCAAGTTTTTCTCAGAATTGGAATAGTCAATGGGAGCTGAAATGGTTTAAGGATTATATAAATAATTGGGTTACGAATTATAGAAGAAAAGACAGACAATATTTAACATAGGCGACATTGGAAAGAAGTTTTATATAATTCTGAAGGGCAGTGTTTGGGTTCTGGTGTAGAAAAAGGGATTGCAAGAAGGATCTGGTCCTACAGAGGAGGATTAATAATAAGAAGAACAATTAAAGAACGAAAAAAATAAGGAAATGATGGAGAACATGAAAAAGAGCACAAGAAAAAAGTCTAAGAAATCAAAACATTAGGCATTCGTCACGCAAGTAACATTAGATGACATCTTTGCCACAATGACAGATTAAGAATATCTAGATACTCAATTTCCAACATTAACAAAAGTAGGAATAATTAATGCGGGGGAAAGCTTTGGAGAAATTGCATTGACTAAACAAGTGCCAAGAACAGCCACTATTGTTGCAGCAGAAGATACACATTTTGCTACAGTTACTAGGGATTAATTTAATAAATTGTTGTCTGTTTTTTATGAAACACAGCAAAAATAGAATATTGGATTTTTAAGTAAAGTTGCCATATTTTCTGATTGGAATGAATAGATGCTAAATCAATTGTATTACCATTTCAAATTGGAGGAGAGAAAGTTATTCTAAGTGATTTACAAGGAAGAAGAAGAAGCAAAGTATCTATTATTATAATCATTAGTACTATATATTTACTTAAATAAGGAGAAATAGAATTGTCACGCTCTGTCGATATTACTTAATAGTAACTTACTCCTAATCTTACACTGTAAAAATTCTTTACTAAAACTGAAAGAAAATTCGAAAGGGTTCGTACTTCTGTGATAACTGCAGGTTAGATCTTTGGACATGAAGAAGTAAGATTTATTGTTAGTCTTTAGGTTTTGGCTGGAACTAAAAGACAATATAGAGCCATGAGTATAAGCTAGAAAGTCGTTTATTTTGTATTAGATAAATAGAGATTCTTATAGTATTTTTAGAGGGGATAAGCAATTCAGAAACTCTAAAAATTTGATGCCAAGAAGCTAAATTAAAGAACATAATCTTTGGATATCATTAAAGAGCTTAAAAAAATACCTTTATTCACTGAACATAGAGATGTCCCATTCATAGACACAGCATAAACTAAGACTAGAATTAAGAACTCAGTCGAAAGAATAGGAAATCCAGTTGAACATACAGGATATGAAATGTTGCAAGGACATGGCCATATAAACAAAGCACATTATAATTTCAGAAGGAATATTGACATTATCAAATAGAATGTTTAGAACAGCGAACCATTATCATTAGATAAAGCTCTATTTCACATTGAGGCTAGCAAAGGTTCTTAGATAAGCATCATCAATAAAGTAACAATTAATCATAATTAGGTCTTTCCTGCAGCTGCAAGACCTAAATATTCAATACCAGAATGCTCTATATCATCTTAAACGATTATTAAATCTCTGAAGCTACCAAGGATCTTAACTGAGGTCGATTCAGTCATGCTTAATAGAACAAATAAGGAGTACTTGAATAGTTTCAAAGCTTCCTCTATCTACTCAATAGGGTTACCCGATGAATCATAAAAAACAATAAATTGATACTTGTTTCTTTATTTAATAGAGCTTATTTAGTAACATATATATTGATATTTTAAATGATAGATTATTGTAACATTAATCAATTCTTTATACTTAATTTGATTTTTAAATTATTATATAATGGATTATCATCCATAAAAAGGAGGGTATGGAATACCAATGAGTGGTAATATCCTGTCAGGCTATAAACATTATTACAAAGCTACAAATCACATAAGAATGCCATATGTAGAAGAAACCTATGAATTTAAAGAAGAAGATAAATAAGACCATGTAGATTTCACAAAAAAGGAGAAATCAGGAATAAAGATATTTGATGACAACACATTGGAATTTGAATGCAAAAAACTCACTATGCAAGATTTAGAAAAATTGGATTTATAACAAAGCAACATTACTGAATAAGGCATGTCCACGATTTGCTCCTCAAAGAATTGTTGCAATATAACTGAATTGGATTTATCAAAGAATTCTTATAATGTGACAGACACCTTCCTCAGATTGATAGGAGAGTCGTAATATTTAGTTAAACTCGAAACCTTATTCCTTGATGACAGTGCTGTATCTGATAATGGAATTATGTTTATAACATAGCCTTTTACAAAACCAGTTGATCAATATACTTTGTATGCCACCCACAATTTAAGAAGAACTAAAAAGCATCTGGAATCAACTAGAGGAATGACAGGTCAAAATTTTAATAGTACTGCAGCTATGACTCATACCAGCGATTCGTAAACTCAGTTCTCAGATTCAAACAAATTCAGAAATTTTGTGAACCATCTTAACAAATTATCTCTTTAAGGATTAAATATAACAGATAGAGGACTCTAATGTATTTCTTTTAGTTAGAATGTACGTCTTCGATATTTGAATTTGTCATTTACTAAAATAACTGATAAAGGAATCGTTGAATACTTTAATTCTTCCAATAGCGCATTTTTAGAATACTTAGACATCTCTCATTAACCAATTACAGATGAAAGCATCAAAGCGTTTGCATATTCTGAATTTTGCAAATCCTTGATTGTTTTCATAATAAACAGTTGCCCATTGACTAATGAGAGTATGATTCATCTTTGCAATTCTCCTAATACTATTAATATGGTGGAACTAAATCTTGGCACATTCACTAAATCTTATATGACAGGAGATGCCATTAGAATTTTAAGTGAAGCCAAGTATATGAGTGCCCTAAAGAATTTGAATTTAGATGGACAACCATTTCCAGAGAGTAATTTTGATATTTTATAAATTTACAGTCACCCTTCTAAAATTCATCAAGAGTCCTATCATGAATAATATAGAAAAATTGTCGATAGCAAAGAATGAGGACATCACAGATAGTTTTTGTGGAGCCATCTATGAATTTTATCAGGCAGAACAATATAAGTCTTTAAAGTATTTGAATTTAATGAAGACCAATATTACTGAGAGAGGAGTTGTCCAATTATAAGATTTATTTAAGTTAGTTCATTCAATTGATAACTTGTCTTCATTGGTAAAAAGTAATTAATATGTTAATCACTAATTCTAGTTAAGGAACAAACAAGAGCAGGAATAAAGTGCTTTATATGTGATCGATGTTTGTAGTAGTAGGATACTGAAAGGGATAATTATAGAGATAAAAAAGCACCAATAAATCCACATAATTGTTTTATTTGCAGAACCAGATAGATTACAACAATAGAGTATCCAGCAAAAGCTTGTTATGGATGTGGCAAAGGGTTCCAAGAGAAAACATGTCATTTGTGTTAAAAACAAACAGGAAAGCATCAATTATTTAGATGTCATCTTTGTGCTATCGGTAATAACAAATTCAAGTGCTTTAATTGTGATAGAATGATTTTGGCCAAAAGATGAAAAACTGAATAATTGATATACTTATTATTATTTAATATGTAATAAGACGCAATAAATAATGAGGAATTGCTGTTAATGATATGTATTAATGTATATATACATCACATCTTGACTTCTTTTAATCCGTCTAAAATGTAAACAAAAGCTGGAGAGGCTTAACCTTCCTTGTAATAACCAAGAACGATGTGATTTTCCATGTCATATGACTCAGGGAACAGTAGCTGAAACCATAAATTGCATATATTACAATTAGAGATCGTTGAAGTTAGCAGAAACCCATTTGATGAATTCACCAGCACCCTTTTAGAATGAAGCAACTCTATTAGGTTTGTTGGCTTCTAAGTATGCCTTGACCTTCTTGGCATAGGCCTTGAAGTATGTGACATAATCAGCTTTGGTAAATTGTGTTTCAGCGTATTTTAAAAGCATCAATAATGTTATTCACTTTTTAGGCTTAATCATCTACACCACCATCTTCTTCATCTTCATTCTTGCCACCGAAATGACCACCAGCACCTAAAGATATTATTTCTTTAAATTACCAACATCAACATTGAGTGCTCCTTTAACAATATCTTATGATTGAACTTCACCAATAACACCTTCGAATTTCTCTTCCATATTGAAACTGTCTGAAACGATTTCTTCTCCACTGAATGCGTCAACGTAGATCTAAATATAGTTTATGTTTATACCTTCATTTAATTTTTATCTAATAAAAAGATTTAAATTTTTGGTCATCATAATTAATGGTTTTATATTGTTTTCATATTCATTTAAGCATCTCATAATAGTTAATAAATATATAATAATCTTGATGCAATTCATTACTTCTTTTTCCCTATCACCAAGTGTGCAACTCCCTTCTTCTTTTACTCTTCCTTCAAAGCCTGCATCAATGGTCCTTCTGATTGAGCCCTCATTTTTTATTTTTGTCTTATTAATTCGCTTCTCTTCTTTTTCTCTATTTTGTTCTTACTTGGACCATCTCCATGGAATATCCAACACTAATATCTGAATGCTTCTTTAGGTGTCATTAATTTTCCAGAATGATCTCTATAAACTAAATTTATTTCCCCGTCCTTTTATTCTTGATCTTTAAAAACTCTCTGATCTTTATTTCTCCCAACATAGTCATACTTCGATGGATTCAATTCTCCTCTCTTTCTAAGTAACCCCAAAGTTGCAGTTAATCCATGAACATGTTACCCTTCCTCCAAAAACTCTATGCCATCCTCATCCTTTTTAATTTCATTATTGTCTTTCTCTTATTACTCCTCTTGCTATTCCTCTTTCTCTACAAATATATCATTTTTTTAAATCTCTTCCCTTATATTCTCCAATTCCATTTTTGATTATTATTATCTATTTTATACAACTATTCTTTCCGTAGGTAATCTAACATTTACCACTGATGTTGTTCCATTTTTAGTATCTCTGATTGAATATCCTGTATTAATTCTGAGATTAATCTCCTCCATTTCCTTGTCTGTCTTAACATTGCTTAAAAAATCAGTTGATTATTCAATGACTTTAATTTCTTATACTTCACTTCCTTGAATCTTTACTTATGGAATCATAAATTCATTCTATTTTATCTTGTGCAATTCCTCCTCTTTCTATTTATTTTAATCCATGAGCTCCTTAATATTATCTTCTTGTTTTTGTATTTGCTAATTCATTTTCTATCTTTATTAATTTAAGATGGATCTCTGTAATAATTCATAATCATCTTCCTCTAATATAGCCTTATCTATCTTAGATATTCGTTCTTCAGCAAATGGATTTGCTTATTATGGTTTTTGAAATTTCTTTTTAATCAATGTAGTTGGAATACTTGGCTTATAATCACTTGCCACATTATCTATTACATTCAATGAAATCTGCTAATTTTTGTTTAGTTTACTTTTGATTGCTTATAAATCATTCTACTTTGGTTCATCTATTAACTTTCCATCAGAGGCAATATAGAAACCTTCTTTTTCTATTTTGATTTTCATCGTACTTATCTAAGATTTCCTTCTTCTCTTCGCCATCATATTTCTAACTATAATGTGCTTTCTTTATTTATTCCTTTAACTTTTCATTTTTTTTAATCTGATCCTAAACTTTAATCAGATCGTTTTCAAGCACATCGTCTACTTCGTTTAATTGATCACCATCCAACAATTGTTAATCTGCCAAGCAAAGTATCATCTCTCCACCTACTTATATTTCATCTTCATTTACGTCTACTTTAATTTTGTGTGACATTTAATTAAATTATATATTTAATATTATTGTGTAATTTGTGCTAAACGCAGAGTGATTCTATTTGATATAGTTCTCTATAAATTTATAGAAAAAATCATAATTCACCATTCATCAGTATTTTTGATGTTTCCTTCTTTTTCATCTAACGGAACAGCTAATTTAACTTCTGGGACTTTAAAAGTTTCATTTAAATTCATTTTTTCTAATGATTAATAGAATTAATTTACCATCCTCTGACAATGAATTGAAATTGACAGGTATGACTGATTATTTTCCATTTTTGATATTTGTATTTCAGTTCCTCAAACTCAGTACAAGCTGTAATTAAATATTTTAATTAATTCTGGGTTACTGCAACCTTTTTCTCTGGTAATTTGATCTGCGGTTTCAATTAATTACTAGTGCCTGTAAATAATGGGATGGCAGCATCTTATTCATCCTCATCAATGATTCTATAAGATTAAGCATCACTGCTACTATTTTAGTCAGACGAACCTTTTTTTTTATCTTAAATCCTCCTTTTGATTAATTTGGTTTTCATCTATTTGTGATAATGAGATTCCTCGATCATTTAATTTAATTGATGATTGGCCGACAATTGTTTGCCCTCTTCTATTTATTATATAAATCGAAAAAACTTCATGTAGATGACATCAGACTATATATAATGTGATATCAAATAATTACAATGATGGCCTTAGATGAATTCTTTTAATCGAAAAAACTATGCTGCTTTTTTGGCTTCACTTATTGCTAATACTTTTGTATCAAATCCCTATAGGATAAATTATAAAGTTATACTCCTCATTCAAATTCTTATTAGATTTATGAAGATGTTGTATTCTGTAGAGGAGAATGTGATGGAAAATCATTCTGATGTTGAAGGACCAGTGCATAAAAAACTTAGTGGCCACATTCTCAAACAGCAAGTCTGTGATGTCCTTCCTTATGTCCACTATTAATTAAAGTCGATAACAATACATGGAAATAAGACATAGTTATTGTATATCAGCCAAAGACATTTTGAAACGCTGAAAGCATGTTCGCATTATAATAGGATCATTCTAATTCCTTTCAAAAAGAACTACTAATCCAAGGAGGTTGGCATTGATAATTTATGATTACAGAGATATTATAAACAAGAATTGAGGATTTCTAAGCAATTCAATAGAGCTTCAGAATCAAAGAGATTTGTTTTGTTAAAGAGAATAACTATAACAATGTTCAACAAACCTGTGTTATTCAACAGTGAACACATGGCAGCCTTCATTATATCTGGGTAATTCTTAAGTTCTTTAGCCTTCATTTCCAAGAGGATGGCTTTGATCAAAACATTATACCCCGGCAATTGCTGATAAGGGACATTCTATTTGACGACAACTGAAATGTCGATTAAATCACACCACTCCTTCAGAAAAAAAAGAAGAATGCAATGCCTCTTTTGCCAATTCTCTTCTGCCATTCTTCTTGATTGATAATTTCCATAAGCTTATTGATGTTGGCATTATATTTGGGTTGCTTAGTAAGATATTCGTAAAAGTGCCTATTCCAATCAAATAAGTCATTGAATTCCTTGTTTGTTATTTCATCAGTTTGTTTAGTGAGTGACCTCCATTCTGGTAGTTATGGATCATCAACTCTTTGCACACTCTCAATTATTTTGGTTCTAAATTCTGGGATTTTAAAATAGGCACTGGCAAAGAAGTGTTCAACAAATGTTCGTTCATTATCAGCCAAAGATTTTTGTTTCAATTTTTGCAATACAATACCAAGAGACTTATATAAAAATGACTAATAATTGAGACCTATCTCAGTCTTGAATTTAAGCAGTTTCTCACTAGTTTTTTCTGTTTCCTCTGAAAATCCTACTTGATTTAAACTTAATTCTCCTCTATTTAAAATTAACTTAAGTAGAACGTAATACTCCTCTCGGATTGACTCTTCCTATTGGTCTGCAGATTCTAACAACTTTAAGGCTATCTCGATTAATAATTTCTGAGCGTTGAATAGATCCTGTTGAGATTTGTACTCAAAACAAATGATTGACTATTTGTCAGTCTATTTTAATATATTCTAGATGGTTCTAAGATAGAGAGCTTGAGAATTCTTCAATTCTGATTTAAGGAATAACTTAATTATAGTTGAGAATATTACATCTTTGGTTGAACAATTTTGTATCTTGTATTGGACATCCAATAAATGCTGTCCTGCCTGACTTAATTGTTGGATCTCTTTGACTGGCATCTTCCCTGAATTTACAACACTACTTCCCTATTGTATTCCCTTGTCTGTTCTCACACCAACAATTTGTTAATTTAAATAGGTAGGAATGATAACTTAAAGATTGCAATTCAAATTGCCTTCCAATACACCGTGATTCCATAGTCTCCTATTAGTCTGTTGATACAAAATCTTGTACACTTTCAAATTATTCTCAATAATCTATAGAGATATCTATGAAAACATACTTGATCACTATTCAATGCTTAGGTGAAGATTTGATTCAAATTGAAATAGGTTTCTGCTATAAGGGAATAATGCGGTTTGCTCATTGCTGATGTAGGATTAATGGCTTGATTGGCCTATTCGTTGTACCACAAGCAAACTTAGATGCTGGAGGATGATATTTCAATGAGGGGCACTTCAACTGTCATTTCAACTCCGGATTATTTGTACACAATTTGTTTGATAACTTGTTTTTTGGCTTACGCACTATTGTTAGTGGATTGCTAATTCTTTTGATAGGCAGGATTCAAGAATGCATCTGAGTATTCGCTTTAAAAACACAAGACTGAAGTGACCATTTTGAGTGAATAATAATACTCTGAATGTATTAACGGTTCATTCATATTAAATTCCATCAACTAAGGCACAATGCTAACTTTTATGATTTAAGCGATTTTAAAGTCAAAACTGATTTTACCTTATTGTTGTTTCTTATTAATTAGGCCAGTGTATTCGTAATCCATGTGTTATGGGCCTGTAGCTATTAAAAACAAATTAATTGATATGGAAGCAATATTCTCATTATTTGGTGTCAGCAACACAACGTTCAGATATTGCTTCTTTAATTGCTCCTCGGTTATAGACATCTAAAACGCATGAGTCTATTTAAACTAGATTGTAACATGAATTGTTTAATTTACATATAATTTTCCATAAAGTTCTTTCGAGCATTCCGTCTCAAACTAACCAAATTCACCTATTTTCATTGATATTTTGCCAGCTGGCTATAATACTATAATCACTAGATTTAAAATACCAGATTATCCATCTTCACTTTGATACCTGATATTTTCACATTAAACTCCAAAGTCCCTTGAGTTTGGATAGGTATCGATTCTATGTCAGTCACTAGAGTTTCCTTTTACTAAGACCTTCCTGCACAAATACCCATTATTATTATTAATATGTATCTAATATATTATATTTAATATTTATCACGGGTCTTCTTTAAAGTATTCAGTTAAAACATTTAAGAACTTATTTTGCGAATCCACATTCATACTTCTCTTTCTCGATATCTCCTCCTTCTTCTTCGGTTTGTCCAAATTTAAAATAATTGCCAATTCCACATTCGAAGGATCGTCATTCAATTTCTTACTTAACTCTAATAACTCACTATTATATTTGATCAATTGATCCTCCTTCATTTCTTGGAATTGAATCAAGTATTGTTAGAATGTCAATTCCTACTTTTGTTATCTCAAGAAGCTCTGTGTGAATTCTTTGCACTTCTTTTTGAATTTGACCTAATTGAATAAATCAGGTATTCTAAATTATTGGCAATTTATTTTGATTTGAATCTAACGGAGAGTGATCATATTGAAAACTTGTTGAACTATTTCCAATTCCTCTGGAGTGGCATCCTTCAATTTCACTTGACTCAATTCAAATTGTTGTTTCCCAAATTATTCCCTTATTTGTTCAATGGTCAATTACTCTTTGTTCAAACTCCTCTTTTCACTTCTTTTCATTGTCACATATGCTGACTCTAACTTCTTAATCCCATTGTTTTGGTTGTATTTGAATGTGTAATCATAGATCCTCTTCGCCTACATGTATTACAATAGAGAGATTCGATATTGATCGAAGTACTTTTACTTTTGTTCTGGAGTCAAAAGCTTGTAATGTTGATTCAGCAATTTAATAATATCTCTTTATTCTACCTTTTATTGTAATTCTGATTTTAATTGTTTTTATTACTCATTCAAAAATAAGATGAAAGGTGATGCCACTCTCGAAGGAGGATTGGGAATTAGATATTTACCCTCGACTTGATTTCCCACCAACTAATATTTTCTGAGGAGCTTTTTCAAAACTTAATTCATTCTATTTATATATCACAATTTTAAAAGTAATTATATTGTGCATTAATAATTGTATTAGAATACCCAATAGTAATCATAATAATCAATTCAAATCTCATTAATCACAGGCGTATTTCTCCCGAGATCTCTTGGCTTGTTTTAGAAGGCTGTTAAGTTTTTCCTCGTCCTTCGACTTGTCTATTACACCACTTTTCTTTGATCCACAAATGCAGTTGTCAAACAATTCAAACTACTTATTCTCGGTAAATTATGTTGATTTCCTCCCTCATTTCGAATGTAGAAGTTCTCAATCCGTTCCGACTCAAATCTATATCTTTGCTGTTTGATAGATTCAAAGTCTTCAAAATCCCTATGATAAAAAAAGTCTGTATTGAGTTTTTTGCTGTTTGTGTGATTAGCCTTCTCCCATAACTTTTACAACTATAAATGCTTTAACCTCTCGTCCTCCATTTTCTTTGACTCTCTCAACTTAATAATAGAATCTAATAACTTCTTTCGTTATTGTTGAGTTTCCAAATTTCGAAGAGCCTTTGATATCTAATTGGAGTTGAAAGGATCATTCACACTTTGCATCTATTTACGAACTTTTGAGAGAAATAGTTATTTTTGTTAGAAAATCAATTATTTGGAGAAATTTGGAGGAGATAAGGAACTTGGGATTTTGTATTAAGAGACTGAATTAGATTTCATAAAACTTTAATAATCATAATCACTGATACAATTTATTGATTCCAAATTACAATAGTAAATTACAAATATTGATGGAAGTATAACTATATCACAAATCTTCATTAATCATCTCCTCCTCCAACCATTGTCTATCAATCATTCCTTCACTATCAATCTTTGGTCTCAGAGGATATGAGGTGGATGGTCTTCTCTTTCTTGATTTGCTCTTTCTACTGTTTTATTGTATCAACTAAGCTAGTAAGGCGTCAACGTAGTCGCCCTTCAAAGGAGATTTCGGAGTTTGAACCATGGACTGAGACCAACAAAGAGTGCTCTTTTTTGTCCTTTCTATGACTCATAATTTACTTGTACTTGTAGACTAATCCTTTTTTTGTGGACTTATAGGTCTCACAGGAGATATTTTCTTAGAATAAATCTTTTTGTATCCAATTGTTTTGTTCTTCTTTCCGTGTCTCCTCTTAATCGGACTTATGATGTCATCCTCTTCTGTGATTGTTTCCAATTAAGGCTTCTTACCCATTAAGCCATCATCTAGAGATATCTCCGTCACAACTGAATTATTCATGCATGACACCCAGACCATGTTTTCTCCAGGGTACACTAAGCATTAAAGCATAAATCGCTTCTTTATTGGATCCAATTACAATAAGACCTCTTGGGTTTGAATTTTAAGTGCCACCACTTCTTTGAGCTTGAAGTAATTAATGACTTCCTCCTTGTTCGTAAAACTTGTAAAATCTAAATCTATTAAAGTACAGAAGTTTAGTTGAATTTCCTCAGGCTCTGGATACATTATTCTTAAATCCTTAGAAGCCCCTTCCACTCTCAATGAAATACTCATATACGTTAAAATAAATTAATAATTAATAATGCAAACAATTAATGCTTCTGAAAGCATTTTTTATTATTTAGCTTAATTATGGAGAATTCAGATCAAACCAATTCACCATATAATCCAATCATTAATCCTAAATACTCCATTCCATTCAAAAAGCCTCTCTACTTCAAACTCAAAGATGTGATTGCCCAAAAAGTCAATCCTATGACTCCAAAGCTACCTCTTTTCCTGAAAAACATTCATGTCACTGTAAATCAGAAGTTATTTGTTATTGCAATTATTACCACTTACGTTGTGCAAAACACATTAGGTAACTACAATTTTGACTTTAATTAGAGGTTATTGGTTGAGCATATATATGTATTTCTAATATCAATTATATACAATAATAATTTAATATATAAAAGAAACTTAATTCAAATAAAAGCGAGAGAAATAAATAGGAATGCAAATCTGATTAACATTATACATCTGGGGTGGGGAGAATAGATGATAGTGAAATACTCATATTTCAATTATAGAACTATGAAGATTAAATAGTTTATTGATAGGGAATAAATACTCAGAAAGCATAACCAATGCATAGCATTTTTTAATTATTAATAATAAACATGTTTGAAATTTCATATTCTAACCATAGTTGAATATATTTTTATAACTTATAAATCTTTAATAACATATGAGTAATTAGAACAATGGGAAGGAATTACCTGATAATAATAAGAAAAATTAAAATAAGCAAGTATTTGAAAAAAGTTTACATTCCCACAAGATCGAATATGGAACTACATATCAGGGAGAATGGGTACGAAAATGTTTATTAAAATAAGAATGGAGATATAAGAGAAGGTTTTGGTGAATAATTGTGGCCAGATGGAGCAAAGTATGTTGGAGAGTGGGAAGATAATCAAGCTAATGGTAAAGGTACCTTCTATTATGCTGGAGGAGGGATATGTACATTTAGAAATATTTTTAGATGAAGGAGAATGGAAAAATAATAAGGCAAATGGAAAGGGGAAATTAACTTATGTAGATGGATCATATTATGAAGGGGATTGGTATGAAGACTAAAAACATGGAAAGGGAGTTGAAATTACGACTCCTGGAGACAAATATTATGGAGAACTTAAATATGGTGAAAAAGATGGGTTCGGTAAATATATTTGGCCAGATGGGAGTAGTTATGAAGGGGAATGGTAATGTAATCAAATGAATGGTGTTGGAAAATATATTTGGGAAGATGGGAGAAGTTATGAAGGTCAATATCAAATGTGTAAGATGCATGGGTAAGGAGTACACAAATGGCCAGATGAAAAAATGTATGAAGGAGGTTATTTTTAAGATAAAAAACATGGATACGGAGTTTTCACTTGGACGAATGGTAAGAAATATGCCGGAAATTGGTTTAAAGGAGAAAAAGATGGAAAAGGACAATTGATTACAGCTGGTGGAGAAATTTTTGAAGGAGAATGGAGTAAAGGGATTTTAATTAGTTCTAAATGAATTCATTATTTTTCACATTATTACGCCTGAATCCACAATACGTACTAATTTCTTTGGAGCTCCATTCGTTGATGAAACTAATTTATTTAAATTTATTGTAACTTTTTTCTAACTCGTCTAATATACTGTAATCCTCAACTATCTTTCCGAAAACTGTATGCAATCCATCAACCCATGAGCAATCTGTAAAAGTAAAAAAGAATTAAGACCCTATATTTCCATTTCCGTCATTGAACATTGAAACTAGTCCTCTCTAATCATGTTTGAATCTAATGGGTTCAGCTTTGAATGTTGGCCCATAAATACTGCATTACCCTGTTCCATCTTTATTCAAGATATCTCCACCAAGTGCCATGAAATTGCTATAAACCTTGTGAAATGGAATATCTCTAAAATTTAATTTCACATCTTGTCTAGATACTTAATATCATACATGGATTGGATTTTTCTCCTGTGCATAATGCTCTAAAATTTTCACAAGTTTTAGGCATTTCATCATAAAACAATTTAATAATGACTCTTTTGGGTTTATCAGCACCAATTTTTATATCCAAAAATACCAATTGTACCTTTACGGCAGTTTGCTTGCTGAAACTGTAAAATAATGATGAATCAGTAAGCATTTAAATTATTGATAATAATTATTAAAATTATCTCCTTAATTAGAAGCACAAAATGGATGTCTAAATAGATATTGGATTGAATAATGTGATGAAGTTTGATAATTAAATTTCATTCTTTCTTTACAATAATTTATGTCATCGTATCTACTCCAATATCTAGAAGCAATTAAGAAACATCTAAAAGTTGTAACTTTTGAATTGGACATACTAAAGTGAATTTCATTGGTGATTGTCTACTTTCATAAAACACAAAATCATAAAGATCCTATTATATTATGGAGAATATTGATACTTCAACAGCCGCATCATAACTAAATGTATATTGCTTGTTTTTTCCATCTGGCATTTAGAATAGGATAACTATGCCCTCTTCCAATTGAAAGCTAAATTTCTAACAAAAATTATGAAGATTGTTACTTATTCAAGTGTCATGAGTATAATCGATCTATACTCAGCATCATCCTAATCAATATTAAAATTTTGATAATTAGCTATTGATTACTAAAATCCAAATTGAATTCCTTATCCTTGGAATTTGGGAGTGGATTACTTCTTTTAAGGTTACTGAACTTCTTCTTCTTCGAATTCCTCATCTGTTGATTCCTAAAATTAAGAAGTTTGAAGTACATATTTTTCTCCTTTGCTTGCCTTCAATGCCTTTTCCATTTCAACTTCATCTGATCCTCCTATATTCAATTTATAGTTCTTCCTTTTGACCCTTCTATCATGTACTTGTTTGACGAATTGGGCAGTGAGAACCTTTTAGCGATCATTCTGATTGATATTCTAAAAGAGAAGATGAGATTGCGATTACATCTAATTGTGGTGGTGGGTAAACACCTTTTACAACGAATATTTAATACCCGTTCTCTTTTACTGATAACAGAAATGCTGATAGATAAAAGTCACTAATTATTTCTGGTCCTCTTTTATTCGTTGAATTTAAGTTGTACCAAACATTGTCAATCTTCCTTATTGCAAACCAATGAGCTGAGGAATTACATATAAATCCACTTTCTTAACTTAATTTATACAAAGTAAACAAATACCTCAAGTCTTAATTTTAGTTGAGTTTTGAATCTATAGATTCAATTGACAAATCGCCTAATTTTTTTAATGCTTCAGCCAACACCTAGATTGAGAAATTGCCATCCTCAGCTACATTTTGTGATTTGAAACGACGTCCTGTTTTTCCTAGCAATTCAATCTCCTGTCTGTCTAATTCTTAAGCAATTGTGGCTAAATCGACTTCATTAAAATAGGGTCCTTATAAAAGAGAATTGATGCAATGCACTCCGCATAATTAATCATATCCCTATTTTTCCCAATAGATGAGTTATTTAAAATTCATAAAATAAATAACATTATTTATACTGTACAATATTTTATTAGTAACTTAGATATCAAAGTTAGCAACATTGATGTTTAATAATAATATAACTTAAATCAACTTTATTCCTTGTCCCCCTTTTTAGCCTTTTCTGCCTCAGCTACAGCCTATGCTTCAGCAGCCGCTGCTTATTTGGCCTCCTCAATAGCTTTGCCGCATAATTGTATCCCAATCATAGTATAATCACCCTCTAATTGATGAATGTATTATATATGATACGTTAAGAAATGATATATTCCGATTGAGCTTTGGTTCTGATTCGAATGATTTCAAGATCGTTCTTGTGACATTAATAAATTGAATACATCCTGACTTCGCAATTCTCTTTGGATGCATTTTTTAGTAACATTCCATAAATCAGCAACTAAGGCGGACATGTGGACAGCCTTTTCATAAGTGATGTTTTTTTCTGATCTTTTCAATGGAATACCTAAAATAGATGGTTTCCGTTTAGATTACAATCCTGATTGAATATGACAAAGCCATTTGCTCCTTCCACTGCTGACAATCCTCTGAGTACTTCGTCAACATTGATGTCATTGATTGGTTACTATTTGAATAAAGTGAGAAGTTACCATTTCGAAAATAAAAATTTATAAATAATAATTACATAAATGAAGTCACATATATCTAAATACATCGCATTAAAGTAACTAAGAATAAAAGCTATAAATGATTACCTCTTTCGCAGTAGCCCGATGATGAGGATCCAAAACAAAGATCTGTCCCAGAAACACCCTAACATCCTTATCCTAACTATTAATTGTATACTCATTATTTCTTATCTTGGAAAACAGTTCCTTTTCTGATGAGCCCTTGTATGGGAAGCTCCCTTGAAGTAAGCCAACAAAAAGAACCCCTAAGGCCCATATATCAGTAGTCCTTCCATCATACTTCTGCTTTGTGACCACTTCAGGTGACATATAGCTTGGTGTACCACAATGACAACTAATGCTATTGTATAGAGTGCTAAACCCAAAATCAATGAGTCTAATTTTTTTATTGGTTATGAGAATATTCTCAAGCTTGATGTCTCGATGACATATGTTCTTCTCATGAATGTAGACTAGGAGCTTCAACAATTAATGAATGATATTGAATGCATAATCTTTTGATAAGGCTCTGTGCTATTTAACCAAAGTAAAGAGACTTTCACTTCCACAGTATTCCAACACTAAATTTATAGTGCTTCCACAATGATAGACATCCAATAATTTAACAATCTGCTCGTGATTCAGGGCTTTCAATGCGCTGATTTCTTTTACGAGATTATTGAGTCGCTCGCCTTTTAAGAATAACTTTTCATACACTTTTATTGCTACTTTCAAACCTTGCTTGTTAGTTCCTAGTCTTACTGTGGCGTAACTTCCCTTACCTATTGACTGTCCAATTGAGTAAGTAGTCCCATCACATGTTGGAGGTATTAATTTTAACAAATTATCATTCATCAAATTTTCTACAGTGCTAACATATGTTCTTAGCCTGATTTTGTGCAGTCCATCCACTTTTGTAGTCAAAGGTTCTCTTGAACTAATGTGTTAATCCATTTGTAATGGCTACAATAATTTTGGTGATGTCTTCCTAAACAGTTTGCGAGTCTGCTATGGAGTTTCCGAAGTGTGTTGATTCTCTTTATTATCCAAAGATTTCAGCTTGGGTCTCCGATATTGCATATGTTCGTTAAAAATTTATATATAGGTTTATTAATTTATTTGGCGCAATTGATGTCTAAATCCTCTGTCCTTCCTCCATCACCCATCACCATTCATAAACTTACTTTCAAATTAATGGCGCCTCCAAAATTATAAACCATCCCATCAGTAAGATTTCTCTAACTAACCATTTTAATAATAAATTAATGTCCAAAGAACAAAATAAATTCAAACATATCCTCCTCGTCCCCAACATCGTCTCAGATCAAGCCTTCTTGCAAAGACACAAGACATTCCAAACCTATGTGAAAAAAGCTCATTCAGATCTCTATTATCTGTAACTGAAGAAGATCGGAGGGTTGAGAAAATCTATTGCTGAAAAGGCTGATTATGGCTAAGTCCTACAATAGATCAAAAGTAACAGACTACAGAATGAGTATATGAATCAACAGAAGAAGAACCAAGGGTTTATGTACAATAATTAACTATGGTCAGATAAGTACTACAATCAAATCTACCAGATGACTCGTCTGTCTCAACTCTCAGAAGTTCTCAGCAAACAAAAAACTAAGGGGAGAGATTAACTAATCAAGGATTTCGAAATCTATTTTAATAAACATGTTCATCCTGCCAATGATGAATTCGCTGAAATATAGAAGGTTCTCCCCATTTCCACCTGCACTACTAAGAGTAGCTCAAGAATCAACTCCTAAAAATTCATATTAGCTACTGAAAGACGGTTAAATTCTAAACAAGACACCCAAGATCATGATACTAATAGGATCAAATCTTTATCACCTTCATTTCATAGGACAGTTAATGACAAATTATTAACCCTCATTGACGAAGCTAACAATTTACACACACAAAATCTTGAAACTATTAAGTATGTTTTATTCATGATCTTTAAATAGAAAAACCAGGCAATTCTAAACTGAATAATCCTCTTCTCGAAAAATAATGCATTCTTAGATCCAAAGAAGAAATGAACGCATCAATCTTCAAATCACTATGAGAAACAATTAAATACACTTTAAAAATAAATTTGTATAAGAAAGATTTTAGAAGGAAATAGAAAAATTATCTGCTTAGAACCTTTGAGATTTATTTATAATCATATTTTGATTAATCCTTATCCCTATATAATTGTGATTTGTTTATAGATAGGTTCCTTGTATTATTCAAATGACAGCTGCCTGGTCAATGATTCGGTTTGATCATCTGTTCTCTTGCTTTGCGATTTATACAAATGAAATGCGGACTGCTGGCTTATTTGGGTATCCCTTGACTTTTGGAACAAATTCAGCCTCTTTAGGATCAGCTATTTCACTCTTTTGATCAACTTTTTGAGTCTGGACAATACACTAGATAATGGACTAAATGGGAAATTTCTTTTGATTGTTGATTTTCTTACTAGGATGATTTAGTAAAGACTGTTGAGTATCTGTGGCCCGTTCGGAATCCCCATAATTAGAGAACCAGATAATCTTCTTAACAAGTCACGAACCTTTAAATAGATAGAAGCACATACTTATGTAATTGTATTCTCACTTAATTTAGTCTCAATTAACTAACATAAAAGCTTCTAGAACTCCAAGTCAATCTAACTGACTTTTTGATTCAAGCTTTGGTTCTCACCACTCTAATCAGTTATTTAACCCTTAGGTGAATCACTCTTTAAATTATTTAAATGTTCTGTGCTTTCAATCATCATTTCCATATCAATAGCAGTGTCACCTTTTGCTTGCATAATAATATAAATATTATTTAATCAACTTCAAATAGAAGCTATTAGAACTTCCTTAACAATAAATAAGTAATTATCTATATTTAATAATATATATACTTATTCGTATGCTATAATATGTAAGTTCCCACTAAATTTAAACCAATTTGACATATCAAATCCGATTGCATCATTTCCATATCATTTAAATAACCACTCACCCCTCGATTCCCTGTCCAAGTGTTTCATGCATCATCAATCATAATAGCATATATAATCAATTTATAATAAATTTTAATTTAATGAAATCTTTTGCAGCACCAATTTAAACGAGATGTCTTGAATCACTTCGTCTTTGAAAAGGTAAAATCCTAAGATTGGATTCATTTCTACATTTTAACTATCGAGTAATTTCTAAAAAGAATCTGTAATGTTAGTTTATGCTCTTTAGATCTACTTGGCTTCTTCCTATATGATAATAAGGGAAATGCTAATATAGTCTGTGTATATTATTTGTAAATATTTATAATGGACAGACTAAAACTAAGAAAATCTTATAATATAATTTTATATTAGCTATTAAGTTCATCTTAATTATGATTCATTGTTATCTGGATATAACAATTAATCATTTTACTGTATGAATATTCTTGGATATAGACAAGGGTTTAATGATTATTGTTGTTTATCTAAAAATTTGATCATTATTAATTATTAAACTATTCGGTTAAAAAAAATGAATGATGAATCACCTCTTAGATCAAAAAGCATTGAAATCAACCTCACCAAGATGCTTGATAGAATGAAAAACAATTCATATCATATGCAGAAAGTAAGCGTTGGTGATTTAATCAATAAAAGTCAAACTTAAATAATTGCAAAACAAATAAGGCAATCATAGACTCCTACGCCTGAGGAAAAGGAGAATAAGGAACTTACCTTCAAGCCACAAATTAATGTATTATTATCTTGTAATAAGAAATATCCCAATTATTTGAAGCAAACATCATTTCTAGAGAGGAATGAATAATGGCAAAAAAATAAACTGTAAAAACAATAGGAGACTAGCAAAGCCTATTTAGAGGAAAAAGAAAAGATTATAACCAAAGAATGCTCATTTAAACCGAAAATCACTCCTCATTTATCTGCAAGGATTCCCAGACAATAAAAATAGCAGCCACAACAAAACACAATTGCTATCAAATAATAAAACCCTTTATCAGCTGTCTCAATGCAAGCTGTATAATATGAACTAAGAAAGTAGTTGCATGGACTATAATTATGAGCTTATTTTAATTAATTATAATATATTTTCATTTTATTGGTCATGAGTGAAAATACAATACAAGAAACCACTTAGTAAGATATTTCCACAATGCAAATGTACATTGAATCAGTTTCAATTAACATGGAATCACTGATTGAGACTTATTATGAATACCTTCAATAGCGAGATGGAGATGACTAAGAAAGCTATAATCTGTTGAGTGATTTTACATAAAAGACTCTTAATAATTTGGAAGTGTTGCAAAATAGTTGGAATTTAATTAAAGAAAAATTGAATGATAAATATGATTAACCTCCTTTTAATAACTCATTCTAAATCTATTTTGATAATCAGATCTTGGGAGCCATTAAATCATAAGTACTGAATACAATTATCATAGGTAGACAATATAGTTGATACTATCAACAGACATGCTCCTAAATATGAAATTCAAGGAATAGTTTAAATTAATACTTAATAAAGTAGTTCTGAATTAATGGAAATAGAAGAAGGTGATACTTGATAAGTTTAAAATGTTAAATTAAAAATATAATGTTTATATTTGTTTATTCAATTATAAGTGTTATCTTTGGGGATGAATTCAATATTCTTTCCAAATTCCTCATATGTTTACTGATTACAGTGTTATTTTAATATTTCAGCCATTTTTTCATCTTATATTGAGTTCTCTATATATTAAGATTACGGTAGACATTCTTTTTGGCAACGAAGGGTTATAAATAGTCTGTGTTTTCCCTTCTTATTTCATAATACATTTTTTAAACTAAAATTAGCCATCCTTTGAGAACCAATTAAATAAGCAAGTTTAACCTCTAATTCAATATATCGTTCCTATTCCTGCTTTAGGATATAATTTTCAATTTCAGAATAATCCTATCATACAAAAAGAATAGATGGCTATATTCTGAGATATTATTGTTTTATCAACTTTTGAGGTTTTAAAATTTTAATTTAAGGAAAGCGATCAGGAGAGATCGTAAGGGATTATTAATTCTTCTTAAAAATCTAGATTTTAAAGATTTATTATTATTATTAATTTATACTATTTTTTTCACTTCTTTTTTAATAAATTTTGTTCATTATAAAATAAAATACAACTTTTAATAAATGATGTGATAAATTACTATTAAATCTCCCTATCTCTTCTGTGAGTCTAGAATTAAGCTTAAGGAAGAGTCTTTTATATTATAATAATAAGAAAATTGTGTGAGCATTATAAAATTAAATAATTCATTTTTTTTCTTTTTCCAAACATAACAACAAGTCTTTATACAAATAGTTAATGGCATATTTAATTTATTCATCATCGGATTCTCTATCATCATCAGATTTCTTAATATAATTTTAGATATTACATGTTTTTATAGGATTGATTAATATTCTTAAGGAATATTTAAATCTTTATCCTCATAGCAGATAAATTACCTTTAAGATTTATTTTTTTTCAAATTAATCATTGTCTTTTAGTTATTATCATTAATACCTATTTAGGCTTCTTATGTATTGGTCCTCTTCTCCTAATTGGAGTTTATTGTGCACTAGGAAAAGGGTACTCACTCATAGATACATTCTATTATAATGAGTATAAATAAATAATATAAAGGCAGACATAGACAAAAGAATTTTGTGGTGAATACCTCTTAACAAGTGACAGACAAGTCTTCTCTTGACTTTTGCCTATCAGAGTTCCTAGTTTTCATTTTATTAAATATTTTAATCTGTAGATCACTAATATAGTTAGCACAACAATCACAATAATAATAATCAATTTTTTTATTTCTTTCCAAAAAATATTCTTTTTCCTTTTTCAATTGTTAATTTACTTTTATCATTTAACTCGTTAGCAACATATTATACTATGTAATTGAGTAAATTTCTCAATTCTCATAATTTTATTAAAATAACTACATGGAAACAAGAAACCTATCCATTTCTTTTTTTATTAAATATTTATTATATCCAAAGATGGATTATCATCAAACCCAACTTAATTATTACTTTAATTTAGTTCTACAAGAAACCTTATAGTTTTGGATTTATATGAAAATCACAAATTTTATAATAAAATTTCATATAAATTTTCTCATATAATTTGAATTACATTAATGAGTAAATTTATTTCTGTTGTCTTTAGATATTAGAATCATTTGAATTCCTACAAAATAACTTTAGATTATTTTAATGGATCTCTTCATTGCAAATAATTTTGAACTGTTGTTACACATTTTAATAAGATTAAAAGTATAATTTCATTAATAAAGAGAATTCTTTTATTTAACTATTAATTCGGCATGGTAATCATATGAATTATGAAATGTATTAATTTAATATTAAAAAATAATGCTTAATTACAAGCGAGAAATTTTCAGAATTAATATTAGGCAATAAAAGCATGAGGAAATTTTTCTTTAGAAAAGAATTGTGTCTCACTAAAAGGAAAAAGAATAATCCTTTGAAATGTTAATACAGGCTATGGATAATGCAAAAGTTATAACTTTAAGAAATTTAGATGAATTAAATGGCTATTTATAATACTTTGCTAAAACAAAATTAACAATTGATTAAATTTTATTGGTTGAACATTATGCCAATACTTTAATGACAATTTTAATAAATCCTATAGTTTATAATGTGAATGAACTGATAAAAGAAATATTAACTCTTTTAGTAAATCTAGCCTAATTTTCGGAAAGGATTTCCATTAATTTGTTAAAAAGTAACTTTGTTAACTGTAATATAATTCAAATATTATCAAGTTTTATTTAAAATAAGATAGAAGTGATTCTAACTCTTGAATTGTTGATGAATTTATGGGGAAATTCTAACAGTCATTAAAAATATGATTAAAATCTTATACAAACAATTGAAATATATCTAGATTGTTGCATTTCGATAAATGATAATATAAGCATTCAATTAATTTCAAAGTGTTTAAAGAATTACCTTCAAAACATAAGTGATGAAAATAATTTTGAATATGAATATTTAATAAATATAGTAAGAAAATTACTAAATTATGGAGTTCAGGAGAGTGTTGACTTTTTAGATGTCTAAATAGAGGCATATTGCTCAATAGTTCAACTCTTTAATCATAATTTTGTAATCCAGGATCTGAATATGATTTTAAGCATTTTAGATTTGTGTATAAAGAAACCAGAATTAATAGAAATGATTACTAGAATATTTTCATATTTCAGCATAAATGAGCCAGATAGCTTTTATGAGAAATTGATTATGTCTGTGATTTAGTTTAGTAAGCATATTATTAGATCTTCACTTAATGAGCAAATTCCTTGCATTCTAAATTTATGCAGTATAATTTTCCATTAAGAATGTGAAAAGAACTACAATATTTTATAGCCTTATTATAATGATTCAGTTATCATAATGGAGATTATAAGGCTTTAGGAGGATGGTTAACCAAGAAAAATAAGGGAGGCAGCAATAAGATGCATTAAAATATTGATAGAAAACTCGAATGAAAATTAAATTCAGCTATTAATTTTTGAAAAAATACACTTAAAATTGATGGATGTACTTAATGATTTTTCACTTAATTCTAATTCAATACTATTTACTTTAATTTCTTTACATAATCTTATGAAAACATAAAGAAATAAATATCCTGAATGTTTAGAACCCTAGAATCTTATACATTTAACAAATTCTAAAAACAAGGATATTTAAAAAATAACTTATGAAATAATACAATAAGTTGAAGAAAGTAATCACAATTGTATGAGTAATATATTACTATGAATTATATAAATAAATCATTTTTGTTCTTGTTGAAAATATTTGACCATAATCTTAGCAGTAGTCTCATCATCCTCTAAATGATAAGGATACCCCAATTTCATTTATCCAGAGTCTGCCTTTTTTTATTTATATTAATCCATGAATCTAGATCTGGCTCCTCCTTGTGAACCCAAAGATTCACGACTAAAAGGATTATTGGAGTGATGACTTTAGATCTAAACCTATGAAACCTCTTGGATTTAAGTCAATTTCTATTTAGGTATAAATAGATCTGCTGTAAGCATTTACTAAGTGGGTTAGTCTTCTTAAGATGGAAATTGATTTTAGACTATGACAGCTTGTTGGGGAGGTTGTTTTGTTATTACTTTTTGGTTTAGGTAATTTATAGATTGTCTGTACAGTTTGTTAGGCTGTTGTGGTCTCAAATTATGTAAAGATTGGCCTTTATAACTAGAATATAAGTATGTGATTTACTTGTTACTATGTTAATAGGGTGTAATATGATCAATGCTTTTAGTTTATAAGAGTGTAGTTTTATAATGTTCTATTTATTTATTAGATGAGTATTCATCATAATTTTATTGCATATTTAGTATTTTATCCTACTTCATAGTTCTTAAAGATCTAGATATATGCATAGTGGTGCCAACTTGATCCTCTTTAACTGTGGTAATAAAATCACTCCTTTTATGCTGATTATAATAAAAAGGAAAAATACCTCTTTTTCTTTGAATCTTTATCTCGAAAGATCTCCAACTACTTCGTAACCATCAATATATTGGTTATTTTGATTATTGAGGTTAATAGGATGCTGTTCCCAAGGGTAGTCACTCCTATGGCCCATCATATAAACATGGATAAATGTTAAATGTATGATTATCCAACCATTTTTCTTTTTGTTCATCTTTCCAACTTGGTCTAATCAACATTTTCAAGTCTTTATTCTTGAAAACTATAGATATTTATGAATTACTTAGACATCTAATTGTTCACTCACCTTTTTTAATTCTTGGTTCACTCTTTCAACTTCAGTTCTCTAACTTAAACCAAATCTCATTGGCTCACTTTGCTTTGATAAATCTTTTGGTTTCAACCACTTTTCATGATTTTTAGTTGGAAGGTTTGGATCAAACTCACCTGTTGCTAAATGAGCAGACCTAAATTCTTGTTATGCGGTTTGAGCTCTGTTTTTTGCTACTTGGAATCTATTATTATTATATCTTATAAATTACGTTTTCAGATAGATTCCACCCATCTTTTCCATCTCCTTGTCTTTTTCTCTATCTCGAAATGAATGCTTGCTTGTAGGCAGTAATGGGTATGATCCATTTTTCATACTTTCTACATATTATTTAGACATCATTGTTTCTTAAAATGTCTCAATCCTTTATGAGGCACGAGCCTTCAATTATACAGATTATATATTTCGTTTTTAATCTGATTACTCTTTTATTTACTATCTTCATTTATTAATTTATTATACTTATCTTTTTCCTCCTTTTCTTTTTGCAGTTACTACTTTTACTTAAAGAAGTTATTAAGTGACATTTACTATAATTATATTTTTATATTTAAATAAATTCTTATAATTTATATAAAGTAACTGATGCTAATACTTTCAAATCTCGCTTACATCCTAAATTCTAATATTCCTAATCATTAATACCAAATCAAACACAAAGTTCCCCAATTTATGTTTAAGATTTAAAAAACTTGTTTTTAGTGTTATTTTCACTTTAGTAATCAGAAAATATTTAAGCATCTATAAAACCATCTTTCATCATAATCTTAAAATAGTATTACAACCTAAGAAAAATTCAGATTCTGAGAAAGCTTTTAAAAACTTAGATTTAAGTAAATCAATTATTATTAACAAAAAAAATCGATATCAAATAAAAAATTATCTTATGAAACCTCTTTATTGACACCAAAAAAATAAAAAAAGTAGAAGAAACTGCTTGTTCAAACTGAAAGATTGGAAATCAAATGCAATTTATGAGGGGTGCAGTCAACTTTGTTGTTATTTTAGCAAAATTAAACAATTAAAAATTATGAAAAGTTCATTTCTTATTATTATGTTTTAATATTAGCAGTTAAGAATTAATGATGATAAATAAAATTATGCATTTGAATCCTTTAAAAATGTATTATCTGATACTATATATTCTATTCTTATTTAACGACTAATTTTATAATTGATGGAGATTAAATTATGAATAAACAGCTTCAGCTGATATCGAATGTTAGAAAAGGAAAAGACAAAATAATTATTATTATTTAGATAATAATGAAATTATTGTATAATTATAAGATCATTAACTTACTAATCCAGCTGGCATAGAGCTTGTAATTGTTGCCAAGGGCTAGAATCCTAATTCCTCAGGTGGAATGCCAAATTCTACTAATTTTGCCTCATATACTCTGATAGAATCATTGTATGCTTTAGTTGCATGGTGAATAGAATATCTAAGATTCTTGACTAATTAATTTTTAGCTCTAAAAATAATAATAATAATATTGAATACTCAATAGATTCTTTGATTTTAATGGTTAATTGTTAGTACATTTATGGATCCATATTAACTCTCTCAACAATAGTTTTTAATTAAACTTCCTATTAATATTATAATGTTATTACTTTTTCTTCTAAACCATCTTACATATTTTATAATTGTTAACCCAACACATTATTTTACAAATCTGTGTGTTTTTTAACTTCCATAGCAATTCTTTCAAATTTTTCTTCTAACTCTTATTTTTCTCGTAATAATTTGTCATACTTAAAATTTAAGTCATTGCTATTATGTTTTAATTCTGCATATTTTTCTGTTAAAGTGGTATTTTTTGATTGCAAATTTTGCAAAGACATTTTATGCTAAAATATTATTAGACTATGATACTTTTGAAAATTATTTAAGAGCATTTTTGAGGATATCTCTTTCTTCAGTTGCTTATTTCAAGGGGATTCTAATGTTATTATTGGCAGCCTTCATGTCAGCTATGATTTTGCTATTCTTTTATAGTTTTGCATTGATGCTTGCTATTTCTTCCTTTTAATTTTTGATGAGTTCCAAGTTCTCTCTTGTAATAGTATTGTAATATTGTTTAAGTTCAGCAAATGCAGTTTCATGGTTATTAATCAGTTCATTTATGTGAAGATTTTTTCTTTCTTCGAGTTCATGGATTTCTACCTTAAGTCTTAGCTCTAATTCTTCTTTTAGCTTTTGAAGTCTCATTTTATATTTCTCTTCCATATTTTTTAAAGTCTCATCAAAAACCTATTTTGATTTATCAAGAGTTTTTTTGTTATTTTTTTCTTCTTTTTCAATAGCGTGGATATATGAATTTTCATATTCCTCTTATAATTTTTTTAAATGTGTTTTTTATCTTTTTTATTCATCACTTCTCTTAGAAAAATGATCATTCTCTAAATTGTGTGCTTCCTTTCCATCTTTTTCAATTTCATCATTTGCTTTTTCTTATTCATACTCAAGATGTTTAACCTAAATTAATTGATAGTTATACTTTTTATAAATAACTTTTTAATTGGATTCTATGAGTTTCCTCCAGTTACTCAGCTTCAGTTTCTTTGTTAACGATTTTGATATTTAGCTCTTAAATTTCTGATAAGCAATTTGAGAAAAAATTTTGAACCATATCCCGATCCATTTGGATATAATTTCTCTTTTACTTCAATTCAGTCAACTTATCTCTAAATATTTGTAAATTCTATGTAAGCTCTTAAGCAGTCATCTTAGTAAATTCATCTTCTGGTTCTTGTGGTGCTTTCTTAGGTTTCGGCTTGGGAGGCATGAATAATAATTAAACAAATAAATAATTTAGAAAAAGTTTTTATTTTTTTACATGAGAATTTTATGATTTAAAAAATATATAACGTTTTATTACATGAGACAAAGAAGTATCAATTTAATTTTTATAATATATGATCCACTTTTGTATATATTCCAAAGTATATAGATAGGTAAGAATAAATAAGAATAAATTATTTATTTATATTATAAAACTTTAGATTAAACTAACTCATTCGAAATCTACCTTATCAAAAGCATCTACAATTATCAATTAACTAATATGGATCAAGTCATTGATCATTATAAATAAAACTTAAAATAAATAATTTTTATATATTTATATGATTCCAAAATGTCAAAATGCCTATGATTACAATGATTTCAAAACCAATAATGGATATCCATAAATTTTAACTCATCACATATCTCCGATAAAGAATATATTGGCACCAAGCAGGTAGGAAATATTAATTGATATACTCCAAAGCAAATTTAATGGTTTTATAAAAGAAGTTGAATTGGCTAAATAAAAGATTATAAAGGTTATTAAAGACTGTTCAGAAAATAATATATTTACTATATAAGACAAGCCAATCAATTTTGATGATTACATGAGTTTTATAGAAATCAACACCAAGAATTATCTGCATGAGATAAAAAACCATCATAAGCTTACTATAAATTTGATAACACAAGAAAGTTCAGAAATCACTCATTAATCGTCCTCATTTGATATGTAACAAATGTGCGATAAATGCTAAGTGATGGTTGAGAAAGACTTAGTATAATTGGATTGTTTTCATTGCTATCATTAGAAATGTGTAGGCGATTACATTAAGATATAAATTAACAACAGTTGCAAGACCTTAAGATGCCTAAATTGCTAATAAAAAGTTAAAACCTCAATACTAAGAAAATTTGTTCCATTTTAATTAATAGATAAAATGTTTAAGGAATAATTAAAATCCATAAAAAACAGCTTTTTGCCTAATCAAATTTTCTGTTGCAAAAAACCTGGATGCAATTACTTTTGTATACGACAACTTGGAATAAAGGGACTAATTAGATGTCAGATTTGTGAAAGCCTTATAAATAACTGAATATATATATATATAACTAAATAATATCAAGCATTTGTTAATTCAACAACTAATTCACTTCTTCGATCTATCAAGACATTAATATCTAAAACATTAGCGGCCCTATAATTGAATTATAGCCTTTGTTTATAATAAAGGATGTAATAAATAGCCATTGGAGATATCATTAGCGTTAACACTTTCATGATAAACATTACAAATATCTAATTATTATTAATATTCAATGCTTACACTAATAATAGATGATGCCTCATAATATGATTTACAATCATCAAGAGTATAGGCACTCATGTTTGCCCAATAATCCCATCCAAATTAAATTAGACCAGATAGCAAATCGCAGCCCAAAAAGATTTTAATTTCTAAAGCTTGTTCCTCCATTTTATTTTAATCGGTAGGCTTTAATTCTTGTTTTGATATTTATAGTTAATCCAGCGCTTAAAATCCAAAACCACATGCAAATAAAGTTAAAATTACTGTAGTTCCAGATAAATAAACCAAATCCATTTTTAAGCAATAATAACTTAATATTATCTAATAAATTACTCATATGCTTCATTTGATATTATTGCAGTCCAAAACCATTCTATAAACACAAAGCCACTTATGATCTTTAAAAAGACTTCTAATTTATCTAAAAAATCTTTTTCAAATCCGATTTCTGCAAGCAAAGTACATAATAAAATTTCATTCAAAATTCTTAGACATCTAATAGTTGAAATTACAAAATCAGATCCTAAAGTCTGATTGACAATTTACCCCAAAATATAAAATAGGCACTAAGCAATATTAATTAACTCATAGAGATGCCATAAATAATTTTGTTCAATTTAGATAACAATTTATTGCGATCTCTAAATATAATTCGGAATCCATTAATAGCCATGATTGAAGCTGTAGTCGATATGGCCACTTCTAGAAATGCTTCAATGCAATTCGCACCATCACATTAAAATAATGTTGCCATTGTATTTTATTAGTTTTATAATTCAATTATTATAAGACTATACAATTTCAGAATTAAAATAATCTGACTTCCATTTAATGTAAATGAGAGTGGTTGCTTTAATTTTAGAATTTTTACATAGAGCTTCAAATTTTAAGTGTTTATCAACCCTTCTAGAATATTAAGAAGTAATGAATGGATAAATTATTTTGGTAAACAATTTTACCAATAGTGGATGAATTTTCAAAATCGAAAAATATTGAACTTTGTAGATTAATTGTAAATAAGAATTTATATCAGTGAATAATCATGAGTAAATTATTTTTATAATAAATTGTTTCTCATTTTAGCTTAAATTCCTTACAAAATTTTATCAAACTTTAAGATAATATTTCGTATTGGGTCAATAGGATATTGATACTTATTTATTTAATAATTTATTGATTAAAAAATAAGAGTTAGAGAAACTTTGAAAGTGATTCTATAATTGTCTCATTATATTCTAAAGTTTGTTAAACTAATTAACTTATGTATCAAAAATTATAAATTACTAATAGGAACTTGAAACTTAAAAAGGGAAGTGATATAAACATTCCTTTTTTAAATTCTTTAAATTGAAAATTTTTAATATTTTTTGACTAATAAATTTAAAGAGATATAAGATATCGGAATCAAACTCTTTTAGTTATTTTCATTGAACCATATATCCAAAGAATGCAATCTTTATAAATTTTATAACAAAAACAAAAAAGGAGATTCTATTTTTTAATTTACATTAAAAATAATTTGAAAGGTTTAAATATGTTATCAATAATTGCATAATGATTATCGACACTGTATCTGGTTATTAAAATCAATCAAATATTAAATATGAAATTATTAATAGCTATAGATTAAGTACAATTTCATATTATCAATGTTATGTTGTAATGAACTGATTAAAAGTAGAAAAATTAATGGACAATAATTATATAATGGATGCTTATTAATTTGAAAGTTAAGTAATTCTTACTAAATGAACAATAAAGATTGGTAATCAAAAGAGAGAAGAAGGATTCTTAGAATCTATAAATTTCCAATAAAGTGTGAGTATATAAGAGTATAAAAAATGGTTATCATTAATATAATAATTTATTAAATATGGATCCAAGGTCTTAAAATAATTCTGACAATTAAATTCACGGTGATGACAACGATGATTAACGTTCAGGAGACGATGCAGTAATTAATATATTAACTTTAAGGACAAGTTAAATAATTTCAAGCACAATATTAATGATGGTGGTGAAGTGATCCACGAAAATGTCAAAAGAATTGACATGAAAAAAACCTTGAATGACACTACCTTCATATTGACTTGCTTAAAAAATCATTTTGTTTTTTATAATCTAAGTGAAGCAGAACTGTAAATTTATTTGTTATTTTTAAAGTGAAAATATCGTAAACAAGATGTTCTATTGTGAAGCTGCTGCATAAACCTATATCTTCAAATAATAAGATCATGCAACATGCTTTTTTATATTATAGAGAGGAAGTTTAGAAGTTATAGTTAATGAAAAGGTAAATTTTGTGATTCAAAAATTTTAAGGCCAAAAGAGAATTAAAAACAGGAGATGGATTTGGAGAGTTAGCTCTGTTATATAATGCTCCTCGTTCCGCATCAGTAAAATGCTTCGAGAATTGTAATCTATGGGGAATCGATAGAAATACATTCAGAAGGGCTGTTGAAGAGATGATTACAAAGGAATACGAGGAAAACAGAAAGTTTATGGAAGTAGTTAGATTTTTTCGTATTTTCTTTATAATAAATTTAGATAATTTAACAAATGAGTAGAAGGATGCAATTGCTGCAGTTTTAATTGTTCAGAAATTTTATAAAAATTAAATCATTGTAAATGAAGGTGATCCTGGATCCTCATTTTATATTATCAAAGAAGTATATTGATTTAAAGTAAATTTTTAGGGAACTGTCTCTGTTCTAAAAGGAAACAAAGAAGTTAGAAAACTCTACAAGGGAGACTCCTTTGGTGAATAGGCTCTGTATTATAATACTGTGAGACAGATGACAGTCAGAGCAGAGGATGACGTTAAATGTTTGGCATTAGGAAGAGACTCTTTAACTAAAATTTTGGGAGATTAGGTTCATGTAGTTACATTTAGAAATTTGTAAAAATGGGCCTTCGAGAAGAATGCCTTATTAAGCAAATTAACCAAAGCATAAATCGACAAAGTGTTGGATGTGATGAAAATATCCTCATGCAAGGCTGGTGATGTGATTCTCAAAAAGGGAACATAAGCCAATCAAAAGATTATTGTTATTATTGAAGGTAGTTTGAAAAAGAGTAAATCTGGAATTACAGTTGCAACCAAAGCTTAAGCTTGGGGAGAAGAGTACTTCTTATAAACCAATAAGGCTAAGATGTATTAGATATAAACAATTATTTAGTTTAGATGATGATATAGTTATGGAAACTGATGGAGTAATTGCAGAAATTACTGCCGACAATTTTATAGATTGTATCTAAGGTGAATTAGAAGAAGTCATTAAGAAGAACGAGAAAATACTTGAAAAAAAATTACAAAAATCAGATCAAACTAAAAAGAAAGAGGCTTAGAATATCAAAAAATCAGAGTTAATTCATATTAAAACAATTGCCTATGGTCAATTTGGTCCAGTCTACTTAGTTAAAGCTAAATACAATTAACAATTATATGTCTTAAAAGCATTTAACAAAAATCAAATTAATGAATAAACTCTTGAAAAGTACTTTTAATAGATAGATAATTTAGATATTTACAATAAGAAAAGCAAGTTTTAGAAATTGTCAATTTCCCATTCATCATCTCGTTTATGAAAACATTTAAAGATACATTGGATGTGTACTTCCTCCTTGAGTATGTTAGAGGAATGGAATTATTTGATGTGATTAGAGATATCGGTAATTTCTAAAATAATCTTTAGGTCTCCTATCAACATACGATTCTCAATTTTATGTTGCTTCCATGATTCTAATTACAGAATATCTGCATCATTAAAACATCATATATAGAGATATCAAACCCGAAAATTTCATGGTTGATGACAAGGGATTCTTAAAATTAATAGATCTTGGAACTGCAAAAATCATTAAAGGAAAATAAGGAATTATTCGTACATATACAATTATAGGAACTCCCCATTGTATTATTATCACATAATCACTTTTATTAGATATGGCACCAGAAATCATTTGTGGTAAAGGATATAATTGTTTGGTTGATTTATGGTCTATTGGTATATGTCTTTATGAATTCATGTGTGGTATGGTGCCTTTTGGAGAAGAAGCAGAAGATCCCTATGAAATATATGAAGAAATCATCAAGAAGGATATTACCTATCCTAATTATCTGAAGGATAAGAAGGCCAAGAAGCTTATGGATCAGTAAAATTTATTTAAAATTGATTTTTAGATTGCTATCCAGAGTTCCTGAAGTTAGATTAGGTGGTTCATATGCAAGTTTGAAAGGAAATCCTTGGTTTGAAAATTTTGATTGGGTAAATTAAAAAATAATAATTCCTCTAGGAAAAACTATTGGAAAAAGAGATTAAAACACCTTATTTGCCACCAGCTGACAAATTACTACCAGAAATCGAAATAAAATCCCTTGAATAAAATAGTAGAATGATTGAAGATGAAATAAAAGTAACTAATATAATATATTCTAAAGTAAGAGCAATCTGTCAGGTAAATCGATGGTAATAATTAAGGAGATCAAGGATGGGAAAAAGATTTTTGATAATTTAAAATTAATATTGGAAAACCACATTTATCTATTAATAAAACTCTTTCCACTTTGTACGAAAATATATGATTCATAATCACCAATCAGATTTATTCCTTTACAAATCTTGCTCAATCATCTACTTTCCTTCTTCTGTCACTTCCAATTATGCAATCAATTTTATTTTTTTACCACCTTGCTCTGGAGTATAAGTTTAAGTCTCAATTTTCTTTATTGTCACGTATTGCTAAAATCACAACGAAATTAACCTTTCTTTGAAGAGTCTCAGCAACTTAAGCTACAGTCTTTGTTGCTTCTCCCAATCCATGTAAATCAACTTTTCCAAATTTTTTCAAGAAGATTTTCGATAAGAAGATAAATTGACCTGGTGATTTCTTTAAAGAAATATTCAAAACAGCAGTTTCTGGATCCAATGGTTGCTTTTGCTAATTCATTATTAATATGTTTAAATATATATTTAAAATGAATTGCAATATATACTAATTAGTATAATAAATGTTGCTTAATAAAGTCCATAACATTGCTTAAATCAGAAAAATTGTTATCTTTAGATAATAAAGCTCATCTAATCATATTCTATAACCTCAATAAATCCAGTTAGATTATTAATGAATTGATTGCTCCATAGAAACAGAATACCATGTTATATGGGAAAGTTGAAAATAGGATGTTTAATGTGAATATTCAATTGTCACGATTATTGAATATATTTGTGTTGTAAACCTAATTAAGAAATTAAATTTATTATATATTTTGGATGAATAGACATAACTAAATGGCAATTAGAGCGTCCTTAAAAAAAGCTCTGTTTAATGACAAGAAAAGAAATGCAGGCTTGAATTAAGGCCGCTCAAATTAATCTCCTTCTATTCCCAACAATTAACCTAGAGCTATAAATTAATAATTTAGACATTTTAGCGATGTTTATGAATATGGGAATGAATAAATAGGTAAAACAATAAGTTATTGCAAGGCGAGGGAGCCCATGGAATTGTTAAGAAATACTACAAAAGAGATGCAAATATCAATAATGAAGCTTAAGACAGAATTGCATATGCTGTGAAAGTATTCAGAACTGGTGATACGGAAGTAATTAATACAATTAGAGAAACCTTCCACTTAAATAGAGGGCTTAATGATCTTAATTTTGTTGTAAAGGCACATGACTTATTTATAAATTCAAAAAAGGAGGAGCATCATCTTGTTATGGAGTATTGTCCATATCCTAGTCTAGAACAAAGAATAGGATCGTTCGGTGAAGAAGATATCCAATAAATCACTCTCAATTTGGCTTAATCATTATTTTCATTGCATTAGAGAGGTGTTTGCCATAGAGATTTAAAACCAGATAATATACTTATAGGAGATTAATTAACAATCAAATTGATTGATTTTGGAGTCTCCAAAAGATTTTTAGTAAAAGGAAAAATAACGAAAAAAATAGATATGTGGACTAGAACTGGTTCATTATTTTATTAAGCACCAGAAATATTTATGGGAGGTGGATATGATGAGAAAAGTATTACAATTAAACTTATTATATAGTTGATATATGGTCAGCTGGTATAGTCTTGTATCAACTATTATTTGGTTAATTACCTTTTCAATCAGAAACCATCTTAGATACAATTGAAATGATTACTGACTCAAAATTGAACTCTATATTCCTCAGTCAGCTAAATCCTCTGATTTAAGATTTACTCAAAAGATTATTGGAAAAGGATCCCAATAAGAGACTATCAGCTGAAGGTATAATACTTAGTATTATTCTTAGGATTTGTTTTGCATCCATGGTTACATACAACCTAATAAAAAAAATCAAATAAGAGTTTCGATGATTGTGATATCATAGAAACAAGAAATAATGAAAACATATTACAAACTTCTCAGATTACCATTTAAAGATAGAATTATAGATATTAGAACCAATTAATTGTACCCATCTAAGAAGAAAGAGAATAAAGTTCTTTAAAAAATAGTTGGAATTGTTGGGAGAATCATGTTCACTATGTTCCTCAAGATGGTATAAGAGTTCCTAATCTTGATAATGGGTACGCGAATTAGAATGGCACATCTTAAGAATAAGTAAATGAACAAAAGAGAAGTGAGGATTTAACTGGTTTTTAAATAGGATTAGTGAGAACTTATTCAGAGCAATTTGATTAACCATGACTAAAAACATCTTCTTATTTTACAATTAATCTCAATTAATAAATTGTTTTGGTACTTCTCAAATAAATCTTGAATTTTTAATTGAAAATACAAACATGCATCATCTAGAACTATTTTTATAATAATATATATAAAAATAGTTGTAGTTTCAATGATAATTATTGTAATTACCATTAGAAATAAAGCACAATTCAATTTTTCTAAATTAGAATCTTTTAACTTTTTCCTTATGATTTAAGCTAAATTAAATAAAAAAACAAAAATTAAAACATCTAGAACAATCAGTTCTAAATCTTCTACTTAGTTTTCCTTAAAGATTTCTAACTAAACTCCAGTATTAATCAAATATTTATAAAATTTTACATTATTCATTAAATTATCGGTATAAAAAATTATAGGAAAAAAAATAATTCTTCCTGATTTTCTGGAAATTTATTGATAAATTAAGTAAGAAAATAATTTGAGATGATTAAATATGTTTAGACTTATATTCATAGAATTTCATTTGTTCTTACTTTTACTTTATGACATTGACTTAGTGATAGATTTATAGAAATTTGTATTTTATTAAATAAGCCCAGCCGAATTTTTACGATTAACTGGGGCATAATAATTGCTTTCAAACTAATCATAAGTCTGTTGAAAATGATTGGCTCGTGACGATTTTGGGATTGGAGGCTAAGATGTTCTGGTAGCGTAGGACATTAATTAATTGTTAAATCCTTTGTTAGGATTTATTTAAGGTCGTTTAGATTTAACAAAATTCAAGGCCTAATAATAAGTCATCTTCTTCTTCTCTATTAAATAGGCAATAACGATAGCTGCAGATCGGGAAACACCTGCCATGCAATGAACTTCGCTTCTTATAATAAATTGATACTACCTAATACTCCACCTATGTTAAATCCTCTTTCAATCCAATCATTGGCAGTTTGAAAGTATTACGATATGTTCGTTAATTCGATATCCAAAATTTCTATTTTGTGATGAACAATCCCTTCAAATTTTAAGTTCAATCCTGCAGCTACTGTTATGACTGTTCTAATCCCTTTGCTTTTAAGGAACTCCTTAACGATAAATATTTTTATTACTAAGTTTAGTGCAGACTCGTAGTCTCCTAACCATAAAGCTCCTCGATCGTTGAGAATCAAATTGCAATGTTATTACATAAAAATTAATATCATAAATGTAGAACATTTACTTTATATTCAAAAGGAATCAAGAAACTAGAAGGTTAAACTTCTATCCCAATTAAGTTATATCGATTGAAAAAATACTTGATGTGTAGTTTCAACTTAAATTGTACAATTAATAATGAAAGCACAATAGATGAAATCTAATTCTCAAAATAAATGATTCTCTCTGATAATTAATTAAGTCAATTTAATTTTAGCTAATAACTATACTAATAATAAATCGATAGCTACAGGCTCTTTTATTTATTTATGGAATAATTCTTTTTGTCGATTTGATTAAGTGTTAGTAAATTATTTTAAAAATAAAAATTAACTGATTTATATGCGGTGAATTATAAATTATTATAAAATACTTGGTACATTTTAGATCTTTTGAAATTTAATAAATTATAAATCATAAGATTATCATTATTGAAGCAATTTGGATTGTCATTACTATTTTTTTACTTTTCTTTTACAATTAAGTATAAAATGATCCATTAGATTTACCATTTAAAATGAAAACTTCTTTTATGATTCTTTCGCCTTATCCTCATAATAATTAAATATATCCTCATAAATTGCATACTAAGCGCAAAGCTATTCTATCTCTTATTCCATAAATTGTCTAAAAGAATCTTAGGGAATAGCTAGTTAATAATAAATTGATCAAAAAATAATGATTAAAACAACTTGCAAAATAATTCAACTAAAAAATTAAAATGCCATTAAAATCTAATTATATTTATGAAAGTTTGGTTAATTAATATTTATTTGTGATACAATAGAAAAGAATTATGAATTTTGATGAATCAAAATGTACTCAAATTTTCATTTCATTAGCAATAAAATGTTACCATTCACATTTCTTAATGCCTAATTTCAATACCTTTTCGTATAATTCACTAAGCAATACATCCTTATTTGGATGATTAAACGGCATATCTAGTTTTCTGCTTACCACTAATTAATAAAATTTTTTTTTATCATCCTAAGCATCTTCAACAATATTGTCAGAAGTTGTCTATCTTGATAATAAGCAATTTGTTTTAGGACTTTATATACTATCATTTGAAGAGCCATCTTTATTGAATACCATTATTATTTAAAGCTTTTTTTACTTCTCTTTAGCCAATGATATTAATTTTTAAACATTAAAGAAAATATGGCATTTCGATTCCTTAAATGATTTTGAATTTGTAAATGTTTTTAGATTTGTAATCTCTTTTTGCAAGAGATTACTATCTTCATTTTGTTAAATAATTTTGAATATTGAGGATTGTATAGATTCCTACTAAGGATCATATTTAATTGATTTAAATATGAGATTTTTTAGTTGTAGGATTTTCCCATTTATTTCATCGATTTAGTATTTAATCATTTGTTTAGGGTGATATTAAGATTTTGTTCTTTTTTGTAAAAGTTAAATAATATTTGGATTATCCTATTTTTAGAGAAGATTTGCATCTAAATTTTTAGAACTATGGTGACATGCTGCTATGAGGGATGTTTCAACTCTTGGAGTATAATTGGTTGATGATCTTTGCTTCTGAGATTTAGCATCATTTTCTATTTATTTGATTGTAGGTTTATTTTTTGGAGTTAGATCGTTTTTCATCATACTTCTCAATTTGGTATTAATTTGAGGTTGATTAGTTTGAGTGGGTGTCTTATTATTCTTTGATTAATTATTTGGATTTATTATTTACTGCTTTTTAGGCTGGAATTAAATAGGAGGGTGGTTTGCGAGAGTTGAGAGAATCTGTTATAAGCGATTCTTATCAAATTTAACGATTGGTCGCTAATTTTTTGTTTGAGCAGGATGATTTATCTAAATGCAATTGTTATTCTATAGTAAAAGGTTTTATTCATATTTTGAATTATCGAATGGCAATAATATGCTATCATTAAGCTGTTAGGAGGAGTCTGTGATTGATGAAAAAATTCGCTCATATTCCTTTGGTAGCTCTTTCTTCAAAATAACATTTGATATAGATTTCTGGAAAGTTCTTCTTTCTTCAACCTGGATATCATTATCAACAGGTTGGAATATTGGATTCATGAATCCTTTCATTTTTAATTATTATTTAATATATCTCAATACTCATAGCGATTATATCATAAATTTTAATTATGAGTTTCATAATTATGTTTGTGAAAGTAATACCATAATATTTAAATTTAATGATTTGATATAACTGTCAACTGTATTATTGAGATGGAGTTGATTAACAATAAATAATAAAATTATATATATATATAGATAATTCAGTTAAGTTTTTTATGTAATCTAGTTTAGAAACATTTTATTTTTTGCTTGAGGTCATAGTTTTCTTAACTTAATAATATAACTTATTCCTAATATTTGTCAGCTTTCTCACATTATAATTATTTTGAAACCAAATAATCACTCTCCAACATCTAAACATATTCTTTAAGGTTCCTCTGATTAAACTACTATTTCCTTATAATTTTGAGTTGATTTTATAAAAGTTGTAATTATGCTTTTTGCTCCTTTAACTATTTAGTTGATGATCGAAGACAATCTTCATATTAGATGCACAATTCTGACTTTTCATCTAATGCTTTCCTTAGATTAGCAGTCACATCTTTATCCTCATAACTATCTTCCAATAATTCAAAGGCTGTTATATTGGTATCTTCTCTTTAATTCTAATCAGTTGAATGAGCTGTCCATTATAATTGGTAATTTTCAGAAAGGACCTTGTCTTTACATTCATTTTGTGTTTCCAACTAATCTTTCAATTCCTTAATTTGATTAAGTAGATCTTTGTTATTTTATGCTAATTTATTATTTTGAAGTTTTAGCGCTGATCCCTATTTTGATATTTAACTTATTTGGATATTTTATTTCTTTTATAAATTGAAATGAATACATTAATTTTAATTTCTATTGTATTTTTCTCCTTCTAAAAATGTTCTTTCATTAATTCCATTTACCTCTACATTTTGATTAACTGTTAGTTTAGTTCTTGGCTTTCGTCTATTAACTATTAATTAATATTTGTTAACTAATTGATAGTGTTCCTATCGAACATCGATTAATTCTCTTTCATTTCCAACTAGAATAACAGAATTTTATACTTCTCTATCAAGCGAATATACTTTTTCTTCTAAATAATGCAGGGTTTCTAAGATTTCTATTTTCTCTTATTGCCCATCATTACTACTTTGTTGGATTTGATCTAATAAGTAAGTGTTCCACTTTCTTTCCTATTCTTATAATTGCTCAAAATGTTTCATCTAGATTGCGTCAATCCTTTAATTTAAATCATTGATGTGACTATGTTCAATCAGATTACTTACTTTTTGAGTTGCATAATTTCATCATCTTTATTATGCTGTTTAGATCCATGATTGGCCTGAATCATGGCTTCTAACTATTATATTTTCTCATCTTTCTCCATTATTATATCAATCGCACTCTTCTCAAGATCTTAAATCTATGACTACAATTAAGAAATGAATTATTTCATGTTCCTTAACATTTAACTTTTCTAATCCTAATCTAAATGCTCAAATTCTTCTATATATTTGTTATCCATAATAATTATTATTAAAATGAGGCTTTATTTACAAATTTAGTGTTTCCTCTCTTCTACCAATCTAAAATAACTGAATAATGTGAAATTAGTCAATCATTAACCATGAATACTCAGGCATCCAAGTTTCTGACTAGAGTCAGTTAAGATTTATATTTCATATCCATTTTGCATAATTATTACAAATTAATATTCAAATGACTAGCCTCTGAGTCATTAATATTTAAAGGCACACTAAATAACTGCCATGAAATATATAGAAGTTTAAAAAGATATTAAAAAAGACTAAAAAATGGAGTTTATTAAATTTTTTTAAAGATATACTCATAAGAGATGTATAATACGAGTCCTACAACATAAAAAAATATAATATTTGATAACTGTATATTTATGAGGCGTTTTAATTTTAAATACATAAAAAAATGAATGACAATATTTATTTAATTGAGGAATATCCCCTATATTTAAATTTATCTAATTAAAACTTGATGGTTTTCTCCCAATTTATAAACAATATGAAATATAGTCCAAGTATTTATTTTTCCATTTCTATTATTATATTTATTTTTAATTTAATGAAGTTGATTTTATTAACCTTTTTGTTATAACTTAAATTTATTCTACAGTGAGAACAACGTTCAATAATTAAGTTAACAAGTACTCTCATATATTTCATACTTTTCTTTATTTTTTAACTTTTTAACTGATAACTAACTGCTGAGATTTGAAACAAGAATACTCAAATAAGTAGAACTAAATGATTGAGTTATCTACATTTCAGAATTTCGAATCAGGAGAAAGCCAAATCTTGGAAATGAAGGAAATGAGAAATAATCAATTGATAGTGCAAATTTGATTGATTATTTTATTTGAATTATGGGTTGTTGTATTAGTACTCCTTATGTCTATCCTGATGGAGGAGTATACGATGGTGAAATCAAAAATGGTCTTCCTGTATAGTATCTCTTTAAATCTAGCACGGAAAAGGTAAAATATAGTGGAAAAATGGA